TCAACTACATGATTTTATTTCCGAAGAAGTTGCACCAGGTTATCTTGTTCTAAGGCAGCGTGTGTACCTTACGGTTTACCTCTACAGAGAAACAGGAGATTTATCAAATATCATGGAGGGTCCGATTACCGGTGCAAAATCAAAAACAGAAACTTGTAGATGGTCCTCACTAGTCACTACTGGTTATAAAGCATCATAACTTGAACGTCAAAGAAAAGAATTTGTCATAAATCAATGACCGTGCGGTAATCATTTTTAAATTCTTTATTATACTATATGAGACAATATTCTATTAGAATAAACAATGATAAAGGAAGAATTTTTCTATAAGATTCATTGAAAAATTTAGTGTTTCTAATAACTGCTATTTAGAAGAAAAGTTGTAACTGTGTGCTTGACGTTCTGTCTAATGAAGCTAAAATTGCAAACAGAAAAGTTTTTCTTCTACTCATATTCAAAGAAATGTTTATACTAAAACATCACAAAATATCACTTATCCTGCAATTTGAATAGTTATTACAAGATGTACTTTCAAATCAGTTCCTGAAAACAAGTATTTGCGACCAAAAATCTTTTTTAGACGAAGAATCACATGCAGGGGACCATAAATCCATCCTTCCACAGCTCTTTGTCTGGGGCGCCAATTTTCCAGTTTATTTCTTGTTAAGTGGATATTCAGTAGGGATTAGGAATTACCATAGCTAATCATGAAAACATCATTTTATAACGCTATTGATTTCAATAACGAACCTGCCTTAGTCCCATGCGCTAATAAAGTATGTAAACGAATTTCATTGTAACTCGATGCGCCTTCTTTCCAGATGTGCTTTGTATGGAAATTGGGCTATATTGAGAGACAGAAAAAAAGGACTTGGGTGTTCATTTACAGCATAATAGAGATAATGCACTATTCATTCATGTTACTCGATATATAAAAAAAATATTGATTTCGGAAAGCTGACCAAATACTCTCTTTCTTGTTTCCACTCACAAAAAAGAGGAAAAAAACTGGTGTTTTGGTGTGAACTGTTGGTTCACAAGCCATAAGACAAATCTTCGAAACAATGGAACGGATGCGTGAATGGTCGATTCCTCAATATCATCAATACCTGTTCTTTGATTCGGGCTATTGGAGAAACCTCTTGGAATCTCTAGGGTCCGAGGACCCACTGTCACGTGATGTGATTTCTATTTGTATCCTTTCAAATTACACTTTATTTGCTTTTGTGGACGTAATTACAGAAGCAAATGACAACCGCGGTGTGTTTTAGCTGCTGATTAAAGAAAAGCGTAAATCAATGGGACATGACGGCCATTAAATACATTGAGAAGGGGGGAAAACGACGTTCGCTTTCTTTCTCATTTTCCCTTTACCTTTTTACTTTTTAAGAAAGATTCATTCATTCATTTATTTCTCTCAAAAACCATGTGTATGGTACAAGAGGTACATATATACAAATTTACAATAAATATGAACGAGCAGAAATTACAGGAGGACAGACAGTGTCAAAAATTTTGGTGATAAATATACACAATTTTCGTAAGACTGCTGGATCAGTACTTGTCATCAAATTACAGAATTTTATAATATTTGGATGTACTAAGTACAAAGAAAAGGACGTTGATGTGTTTTTTAATGGTCCTTTACATGTTTATAAAATATACATGCATTTTTTTCTACAACATTATTATTTTTTTTTTGGACACTCATTGTATTTCATTTAGTGTGTGCATGTGTATGTGTAATAAGAAAAGGATCTACTAAATTAAAAAAAAACTTGTAGCAAATCATTTTGCATACTATATATACGTATATTACACAATAAAATATATTCAAACCAATGATCCAAGGGGTAGAGTATCAAAGCAATAACACATATACCCCCACCCTCTCTAACACATCCAGATCCCAATAGGTCACTGGACTTATGTTTCACGACCATAGTGATGTTGACTTTAATTATATTGTACTGAAAATGATACTCACATTGTGTTAAATATTTGTGAACTATTTTATACTGATACAACTATCTATAACTGTTGGTCTTATGTTAAATATATTGGATAAGATATTACGTATACTTACTTTGAGGTATCTGATTTAAAATAGAAAACGAATAATTCATTATCTTATCATGCGCGTTTTATATTCACTCTTTAAAAATGGGAATATTGTGAATATTGTTCAATCTTTAGGCTTAAATTCATTGAAACATGTGACAAATGTTAACAAATAAGAAGACAAATGTTAACAAATAAGAATTAAACATCTATATAATAAATTTTTTCTAGAAAAATGTGTTAAATAGTTAATTTCAATAGCATAAAAGTGAATTGCATATTTTTGGGTGAGTTAATTTAACGGTCTTTTAAAAGAATAAATAATAGGGTTTTTTGTCAAGGTTAAAGTCTGCAAGATTTTCATATTTTCCTTCAATATTTAAGTATTTGCCTTCAATATTTTTAAAGTTTCTTTCAGCATGAATCAGCCCTACTCAAAGTTGTAGTAACTTAAAGAACTAACAATATTATGATATAATTTCTTAAGAGATTTGTAAAGCGTTCACTTGTAAGAGGCGGTGAGGATTGTTAGTCACAAAGCAATGCATGCGAATATATTTTCCCAGTAATAATATAGGTTTCTTTATAATTAAACACTCATACTTTAGTAATTTTACTCTCGTATGGGAACGGTGGTGTATTTTTCCAACATGCATACCGATTATAAGACATACATGTATATATATTTCACATTTTTCATTTGATTTAATTTACCCCCGATCATAGAAAAAATATGAACTTCAAATAAAGGGTTTGAAATAACATTTTGAGAAGCACTGACCAGCAAATCTAGATCAAAAAAATAAAATCATTTTAAATTAATGTATTTTAAATAGTTATGAAAACGAATTATTAATCTTTCCCGGCGGAAACGAGCCCATGTAACTCAATCTTCCCCTGACGATACCCTGGCTAATACCGGCGATTCTGCACATGTTATGATACTGAAACAAGATATCCTCTTTAATCTCTCTTATCTCTGGACGTGAGGGGTATGACAAGCCTCATCAAAATTCTGGGGCCCCCATCGTTTCAACACTGACAAGAGTTTTTGTGTTAATGACCAGTGCAATCAGCGAGACCTATACTTGATCGAGGGTTCATGAGTCACTCTAGTTGGTGCATTTTGTACCCGTTTTTATTCATTTTGATGAAGTATCACTTGGTTCTGTTGCCTGTCAGATGCACATGTTTCCGAAGTGTTTACTGGTCAATTATCGCGGGGGTAAATAAACCCAGACAACTGTTATAGAGAGGGAGATTCTTGATGGTGAAGAACCGACAAAGAACAGAATGCCTGCACTGTTCGGCCGCATGCTGACAGAACCCTTCAAGCCAGCTTGTTTATAACTTGTATCAATATATAAATAGCCCTTCATTCCGCGTGTACACAATTAAACAATGGGTGCATTCACAGTTCTACCATTAGTACCAACTTTCAATATACCATTGGTGCAATAATTTGACAATGGTAACAACTGTACCAATAAACCCTGAACGGATATTGGCATACAAATGTAACGATTTTACCAATGTTAACTATGGGAGTCCAATGAAAACGTTGGTAATACTGAATTACAGATTTCGTTGTCTTCTAAGTTATTGAAACATGCCAGAATCGCAAGAAAATCATAACAGACTCATAGCCGAGAAACAAACCACATCAGGATCACACTTCTTTAGTTGCCATATCTATGATTTTTATATAATCCATTTAATGGATCATGTCTAATTCATACTTCAAAATCATGAATTTAAGTGTTTGATATGATTTTTATGTGATTTTGGCATTTGTTAAAATGGCTTAGAGGAAAAATTGTTTATATCATTGTGAATCCGAGATCCAAGTCTTTCTAGCTTGTTGCCATGTCGATAACTAGCTGTGACATCATTTACCAACATTAACCACACTCTAGATTGTCTGCAGAAAAATATACCATTGGCAAAAAACATTGGTACCGGTGGCATGCCATTGGTAATTAATTTTACCAACGGCAACTTTTGTCTACCAACGGCAGAACTGTGAACGCACCCATTAACGGCGAAGACTTCATATCCTTAGAAAAGTGATTAATGGTGTTTTCATGTTTTTTTTCACTAATGTGTCGCTGTACACTCTTTTGAAATAAACGCACCTGTGTGATAACTTTTTGGAGTTTTGGTCAAGGTTTCATCTTCTTAACTTTGGTATTTATGTGGTATGAATGGACAGACAAAAAATATTTGTCTAGTAAACAAACCGACATTTTAACAAATGGCCTTCAGTTGCTACGTCCCGGGGGCGCAGTACTTTGTCTATGCCTGTAACTGGACCATGAAGATGCACGGAGCACGGGAGCCTCTGGACATATCTTTAGAAGGGTTTTAGAGATTTATAGAATGTACTTAAACACGTGGAAAACATTAAGTAAATCGACATTCTAGCTGGGCGGTGTCAAATGTGAACTTGCTTCGATATTCCCTGCTCAATTACACTATCATCTCCATTTACTCCTATCTATAATTTTACATTGTGCAACGCACATAACACATAATATACCAACAGCTGTATCGTATCGCAGTGGGTAACCTACTTAATTGCGCAGAAAATTCTTTAATTCCATTCATTATATTGCTCATATAAAGATTGAATCTTACTCCGTGGCTATCGTAAAATCTTGAATATTTAATACCGTTCTAGTTGAAAGCTATGTTATAAATGTCTTTATTTATAACTGTGGTGTTGGGCCCGGTATGTGCTTTGTTATGTTACAATGTTTCCCCTTTCTCTTTCTCATGATTTACAAAGGGGATAAACAAATCAAACCACTTGATGTTTGATTATTTCAACGTCCATGTATTGATGAAGTTCGCCAAACCTCCAATGAAAAAGTTCCCAGATTCAGATAGAGCTCTGATTTACATACATTACCGTAAATTGATAAGTAAAAATAACTTACCAGAGATTTCAGTTGAAATAGGATTCACAAGAAACGTGAAAAGTAATAATCCAATAAGTAACATACTCAGGATTCAGAATAAAGAACTTGAAAATCCATCACAAAAAATACTGAATTGTACTTGACTTCATGTACAAAAAACAACACCAAAGGATAGCCTGTCCTACATTGTAAATGTTATTCTAATTTCCTCAGTCTGACAGGATGAAAAAGATGCATGAAAATAATCAACGCGCGTGCGTCATGACCTTCCTCCTCAGCATCCAAAACCAAAAGAGGAACTGGTTATCAGCAGACGACCGCTGGAGCGCGCGCTGTAGGTACCGGACACGCACCTTGTTCACAGACAAGCATCTGTTCGAAGAATCGATTGATTTTACAGGATCAACTTTGACAAATAATATTTTACTCCGAAAACTAAAAAATGTAGTTGATAAATATCAAATGCGTCCGTCCTATTTGATCAGAGATACTGAAATTTTTGTTTAATCCTCTTCACCTTTCATTTGAAATTTCTTCACACTGACTGTTTTAAAATATGCTTGCAATGTGAGACTGTACTACTATAAGGTTATTTAATTTCTTTTCACCATTTAAAATCATGTCGAGTATTTAGACACTGTATGCTTACGCTGAAGGGAAAAAAATGCATGGCCAGAGATTAAATCGTTAATTCGTTAATCAATGCTCCGCCTTCTTAAGTAACTGGTACTATTAAAATTTACTTTATCGATTGATATGATATGGCTGCAATTAAATGAGGCATTTATAATTGCTAGTGTTACACTAAACGTCGATTTTAAATACAGTCGACCACTAGAATACTTAATATAGGATAAAACTTTTTCCCTTGGCGTTATGAATTGAAATTATCTAGATCTATTTCATTTAATATTTCTATTTATTTGACCATGGCATATTTATTTCATATTGTCTGTTAAGCTAGCTGAATCAAGAAAGCAGAAAATGTATCATATGCATGATTATATCATAATCTGGTCCAAATTTTAGATTTGATGTATTTAAAATTGTGAAGTGGTTTCACAGTTAATGTTATATATTTTCAAAAAGGAAAATAATCCCGAAAAGAATTTTTGTATGCAGAAATGAAAATTAAAATTCAAAAAAAAAAGTTGCCTTATAATTTAAATGTAATATAAATTTAAAAATAATATATAAATTTAATTTAATAATTTTAAGTTTCATAGAGAAAATATTGAAAAACTTAAATATCAAATTCAAAATGTTCAAAATATTCAAAATAAATTAATGAATGGAACTTAATTAAATTCACAATACAACTTGGACTTAAAAAAAAAACAGCCAAATAAAGCCAATGCCCATGCAACAATATCCATCTTGGAGACAGAAATAAAAACCTGTCAAGATGGAGATAGAGAGAGAGAAAGATCCCGTCGAGTTGGAGAAATCTTGTCGAGTTTTCTCGTTCATCTTTATTTACAGTTCCAACATGCCAACGCAGGTTATCAATTTTTTCTCCCAAGACTCGGTAAATTCCTTTAGCCGTGACAAGTGACAGAGACTATAATGGCGTGTGGTTGATAAACAGAATCAAGCTGCGAGGTATCTTTTTACAAATATGGCAAGGGCTGTTAAATTTTTCCAGATAGCAATCAACAAGTTTGAATCGATATACCAAATACTGCTAAAAAGCCATATAAAATTAAAAACTAGACCCTTGTTTAGAAAACCAGAGCAAAGTTTGATGGACATTGATTTAGCGGATGCTTATAAATATGAGGGACATATAATCTTTCATGGGAAATATATTTGTAGATTATGGGAAATTAAGAAAAATGTAAATAATGATATGATCCTGGTTTTCAGGCGGTAAAGTATTTTCTTGGGACCAATAAAGTCACGTGATAGCCCAGTTACGTTAGATGGCTTCCGAAACGAGTATATAACTCAATTAGTAGCTGGAAGTTTCAACACTAAATCACCATTTCAGGACAGAAGGTGATGCTGGATTAGAAAGTAAATGTCTGTGAAAAAAATCCATTACTGATTTAATTCTGTCATCTCTTTAAAAGCAAGCTTTACGAAAGATTTACGGGAAATCGATTTTTGTCTTCTCTGAAAAACGGTTGCCTAAAGAGCCGTTTGCGATCATTGATAAATCGTTTATATTTTATTCCCTTTTTTTTCAACTTGATTCTTAAAGTTTTTGTCCACCCATTTAACTTTAAGCTGGAGTATATTAAAGTTGGTCTGTCCGTCTGTCTCGATGTATTTATGTCTGAGTAAAACATTTTCGTTTCTGAACAAATATTAAGTAGTCTTTAAGGTTTTGCAATGAAATTTTATGTATAAGCCTATGTATAATAAGACCGATATTGATTTTGATATTAAAATTTGATTTTTTATACTAAAACTCCTCATGGCCTTAAAAAAACTGACGGTCCAAATTACGTTCGAGGTCTGTAATACCGGTATTTACTGCATAATGCGTATAGCTAGTTTTCATAGAAAAAAAATTATAAGCGATTGCAATAAATTACTTTAACTTTTTTATAAAAAGTCCCGTGGAATTTGGGCCAAAAATTAAGATTGATGTCCTTCATCCGTCCATCCGATCTTTTTCCTTCCGTCGCACTTCGTGCTTAGTTCAGTTCTTAGTTCAGTTTCAAAGAAACTATTCAACATATTTTATCTAATTTCATATGCTGATACATATCGATAAGAGGTATTCAACTGCATCAACATTTTTTGACCTTCACCTTTCTTTTGAACTTGACCTCACTTTTCTTAAATTGGTGTTTACTAGTATCCCAGTTTTAATTAAACCATTCAGCTGATTCCAGTGTAATCATATGCTGAAGTAAGCTATTCAACTGCACCAACATTTTTTGACCTTGACCTTTCCTTTAACCTTCATTTCACTATTCTAAAATGAGTGATTAGCTCAGTTTTTTAAAGAATCCTTTTAAGAAAGTGCAATCAAACTTCATATACAGATACTAGTACATACTGATATTTATAAGCTCTTCAACTGCATTTATATAACATTTTTGACATTAAACTTTCCTTTGACCTTTACCCCAATTTTCTAAATTAGTGTTAGTTCAGTTTGAAATAAAACATTAAAGATATTTATATCCAGCTTGCATAAAGCTAATACTTATTAGTGAGACCTAATTAAGGTTTTTCTAACCTCGCAATTTTAATTATTCAAAGTACAAAAACTGCATTTATTTTCATTTATTATAGTTTTAATTGACCAGTTATCGCAAAAAATTTATAGGTCGCCATATTATTTAAGACGGGGGACATAAATAAACAGAAGTGTATGTCAACATGAAAAATCCTAATCTTATTGAAAATAGCATTGTATATATTATGTAAAAACTCGTTCAAATGCATAATTATGATACTAAGAGTTCCAAAATACTTGCTACTTATAAGATGATTTTGAAATATGAATATCAGGGAAAATATTAAATACATTAAAAGGAAAATAAAGAAAATGAATGAAGATATCTGAGAAGGAGTTACTGCCCTTGTCACAATTTTTTCAAAGACTAAATAATTGATTAAATAATGAAAATATGCATTTTTAAACTTCTATCATTTAACAATAGTTATAATTACACCTATTGAGAAGCAATATATCAAAAAATGTTCTACTGGGTATGAATTTAAATTGATAACAGTTTTTGCAAAAACCTTTGACATCACAGGAGGATGGAAATACCTTAACTGCATTAAAATTTTTGATCTTGAACTTTCCTGTGACTTTGGTCTCACTTTTCTTAAATTTACATTTTACCAAGTTTTAAAGAAACAAAGATATTTTATGTAAGTTTATTTACTTATACATTTTGATAGTTTTTATCCAATTATTTTAAAATCCCGCGTCCAGTACTACTTAGGTCAGTACCAGCGCTGGCTATTAAAAGATCAGAATACTCCCTCACTGAGCAGTGGCGCTGAGTTCCATACTCCGAGGCTCTGTAGAGAAGTGGACAGGCTTTCGCCTACATCAATATGAATGTCCACTTCTCTAAAGAGAATACATTCCATCTACCTGCATTAAGATATACTAGTATTTTAGTCTTTGACTATATTTACCAGGCCTGCAGGTACCTTGCACCTGTAAGTGCTAGCGTAGCATGAAATATCTGACGTTTTCGAGGCGTTTTTCTCAATTTTGATATTTGATTGCAGGAAAATGTTTGCAGTGGCGGATCCAGAGGGTGAGTTATGGGGGTTGCAACTTCCCCCCCCCCCCTCTTTGGATTTGCATAAATAAAAGAAAGAAAGAAAAGAGAAAGAAGAAAGTCTTAATTTTTGTTGTGTTTTTCTAAAGAAAATTTTCAGTGAAAGGCTTATGTTGTAATACATGTATATAAAGAAATTCGGTTGTGAATACAAAATGAAACACCACCCCCTTTATAAAATAGAATTTTCGGGTTCGGAGATATATTTTCCTCAGTTTCTTTTTCAAAAACTTTCAAGTAATTCATACAAGTACTTTTTCCCAGGTTGATCAACCTCCCACTTTTAAAAATCATACTCCACCCGGTATCCTATTGAGTTATTTCACTACATGTATGTGTAAAACACACGTTGTAATAACGCTTTTCCCCTTCAACCCCCCCCCCCCTTTTTTTTGAAAAACTTCTAAATCGGCGCTTGGTTCGCGTCTCTTTTTTACAATTTTTAAATCATAATAAAAGTTTACACGAAAAATGTCAAATATTTCTTATTTTTGGTTTCGAGTAGAGACATTGCAAACAACGTCTTGGACAACCAAAGAACGATAACTCGAATTTGACCTTGAAGAATCGCTCTTTCGAGAAAGAGGTAAAAAGATATGAAAACTTGCCGAGTGAACGCTTTTATGAAGATAACATTAAAGTAGTAAAACAGTGATACATTTGATATGTAGACCTAATGCTAAAATGAACATGCGATATCAAAAGTGGTTTTCTAGAATTCATTTATTTGTATTGTGGCATAGCACAAACACAGCTGCCTATAGAGGAGATGAAACTACTCTTGCAGGACGACACTGTTTCAACCAAACAGGAAATGGTAGGCAAATAAATATTCGGGACAATTGAAAAGTGAGACTTCAATGTAGAGATACATGTGCATTACTCTAATTGAAAATTACAATTGAAAAGTGAGACTTCAATCTAGAGATACATGTGCATTACACTAAGTATACAGTAAAGGTAGATTTTTTCTACTTCATTAGAAAACCAAACAGAATGTACTCTGTGTTTCTTTCCACAAAACTGTTTGGCCAACAACACATGTAAAGAAGAAACCAAAGGGAATACATGTGAACAGTGCACTTTTAGTTTTGGAAGCAGTGCTATGAGTATGTATGATTCCTGAATTTTTAAAGGTGCAATCTGCTTTTTTATTGAAACCAATTATTCTTTTATATACCCGTAAAACATAATTTTTATCTGAACACAAAGATCAAACGGGTGATGATATTTGTATATTGCATTATTAGAATATTGATAATTAGAATATTGATAATGATTAATGAATTGGGCTGTTTCATTTTCAGACAATTATAGATTAGGGAATACCTGTATTTCATGTGAAGCTATACCAGTGACCACCATTGCATTCGGAATTTATGTCATACTTTTCATAATGGCAGTCATTACCAATGGCTTCAGTTGCTCTCTCTGTACAAAGGTAATAATTCATCCCACATTTTGAAAGGCCCCAAACAGACTTTTCCAATACATGATGTTTTCCTGAGAGAAAAGGGTTTAAAAAGATAGATGACATATATGTTTATTTTATTTACAGCTCAAAGTTATATGCCATTTTCTCCAGATGCTGTACCTGACATTTCTCATCAAGCTCCAGTGGCCAGTGCTTATTCAGAAAACAGTGATGGGCCTGGCATTTGTTACCTTCAATTCCAATATCATTCCACTTAGTAAGAAATGTCAAACCTTTGTCTTAAGTAGTTATTTATGACTTTGTTTCCACTGATATACATAATGATGTTTTGATATAAATCAAACACAGTGGTAAAAGAATAATCATTACCTTGGGACCACCAATAAAGACATATTAAAGAGAGTAAACATTTCTTTTCTAATCAAAGATCTTGACATTTTTTCTGCTGATAGCATATAGAGGTTAAGAGATAGGGTAACAGTGGATTTAATCAAATTAAGAATGTCTTTTTGCAATGACTGGTGTCATGGTGGAACTTAATTGATAGAAAAAGGTATGACATTGTATCATTTTTTAAATTTCAAGAAGTATATGTTTATGAAACCTTGAACGATCAGTAGTAGTATGATTTAAGTATGATTTAGAAAAACACAAACCATCCAAATCCCTGATATCCATGTAGTGTTTGAAGTCATAAGCTACAGATCTAAGATTACTGTAAAATCACATATTTTCATGGGGTTCAAATTTTCAAGTTTTGAGGAAAAGATACTAGTATTACTTGTGGAGATTTGATTTTGTGGTTTGCTTATAAAATTTATCATTTCATGGCAGACATAAATTTGTGTGTCTCTTCTTACATTGAAAACAACAAAAACTAGGGCTAATTGTAACGGGAACCGTTACAGATGTTCCCCAAACGCTCCCCAACTCCCTGTTAGTGCCTTACTCCCTGTAAGCTTCATTAAATAAGACGAACTCTATGCCTTTTAGACTATAACAATGTTTTCCCTATATTAAGAATATTCAAATTTATGCATTGCACGCATGCGCATTTGAATGCATGTGCGTAATGACCTTATAATCTTGTCTACACTATTTATATACTAGAAATTACAGCGTTTTATCCACAAGTATTAAAAAATACGTTTTAATCTAGTGTATTTGTTATTTTACTCATTTCACGTGCACGCACATGCGTGCATGTGCATGTCAACCATATATTCTTGTAGGAGTCTGTTATGTTTGTCTATGTTCTAAATCCCATCCTGTTTGGTTGAAAAACGAGGAAGTTATAGCCATTTTAAGTTTAAGCCAATCAGATTGCAGCGCACGTGTATGCGCATGTTTTAACAAAAACTGTTATATATCATATTGTAGGACATCCTAATGCATGATTATGTTTAAAATTTTAAAGCATATCGTCAAAAACTAAAAAAAAGATATTGCGATTTTTGTTTCAGCGAATCACAGCAAAGCACACGTGCATGCCTGTGCATGACGACCATACCTCCTTGTGGGAGTCCATTATGTTTGTCTATGTTCTAAATCCCATGCTGTTTCATTGAAAAACAAGGGAATTATAGCCATTTAAAGTTTAAGCCAATCAGATTGCAGCGCACGTGCATGCGCATGTTTACATGACAATTGTTATATATCATATTGTAGAACATCCTAAAGTATGCCTATATTTTAAATTTCATAGCATTTTGTCAAAAAACAGAAAAGATATTGAGATTTCTGTTTCAGCCAATCAGAGCGAAGCGCACGTGCATGCGCGTGAGTTCGTGCTAATTTGACAGTGTCACATTATCTACACTATGAATATATCCTTATTAAATGAGTTTTAAAATATTTCATCAAAAAATGTTAAAGTTATGGCTATATAAAGTATATCCGTCATTTCACTCATTTCACTCGCCCGCACGTGCATGCGTATGCGCGCAAAATAACCTTCGTGTTGCACACCTACACTACACACCTATTAACCCTAAAAAGGTTTTAGCTCAGTTGGGTGAACAGTTTCTGAGAACACTCGCGGACAAAAAAAGTACCGGAGAACAAAGAAGAAAAAAAAGAATAATAATAACTAGATGCGTTCTTGTTGCTAGAGCAACAAGCGGTCTTCCGACCGACTTTTCGTTAGAGATCTATGCTGCATCATTCCATGAAATAGATTTCAGAATGTTTTCTTTTCGTTTACATTCATTTACAGCAGTCTCTCAACATATATCATGATTATTACAGGTAAACCTCAAAATGTTTTTCAATATAGCTTTTAAAAATCGGCAAAATATTTCATACATGTTATAAAAGTGAGAAAAGTCATTTGCAATTGAAAAATGAGAGAAACAAAGAAAAAATTTGGAAACGCCCACAGCGGGATTCGAACCCTCGACAGTGGGTCAAAGATTGGTTCGGTCATATCTTTTCAATAAATGCACTCATCAAGATACTGAACATATATTTAGAATTCTCATTAGAAACACTATAAACCCTGTAAATCCTGAAGAAACATATTGAAAAACAAAAAAGTTGAAAAAAGGGACTTTTTGAATTCACTTCCGTTTGAGACCGGAAGTGCAGATGACGGAAAATAAAGGTCGTTCCCCATAATGGAGTTCAATGTTCTATCACCTCAGTGAGTTTCACTTTCATAGCTTTAGCCGTTCTCGAGAAAACTGCTGGACAAAATGCCTTTTAAAAAAAACAAAAATCCCCCAAAATCGCGAACGAAAGTTAATTTCGAAAAAATGAAAAACACGTCTGGAGATTTTCTCATGATGCATCATTCCTGTGAAAATCTTTTAAATCCATCCACGCACAGCTGAGATATCGCCCTAACTATGAAAAAAAGAATAATAATAATAATAATAAAAAACAGACGAATAACAATAAGGTCTTCCGAAGGAAGTCGGAAGACCTTAATAATAATAATAATAATAAGAAACAGAGTAAAAACAATATGTTCCCAAACTCTGTTTGGGGAACATAATTAACACACATCCCCCACCCCCAAAATTTAGTGATCTCACTGTATTTTCATTATTTACAGAATGTTTGATTCCATCTCTCTCTTTCCTAAGTATCCACTACCTAGAGTGGACCAGCTCCTTCCTGATTGTGGTCATTATTTTCCTCATTACAGTCCTAGTGGACAGGAGTTTGGTGAGCCCTACTGTTTATTAAGCCCTCGATCAAGGAATATTTATTGATCCTCATAACTTGACCAGATGTAAGAGATTTAGGTTGAGTGAGAGGGTTGATTTGACGATTTGGTCTGAGTTGTTCAATGACAATGAGGGCATTATGAACTGATTAACAAATAATTAATATACTGTTGTAATTAAATCAGATAATTAACTTCATATTATTATATTGATATTTTCAATCTTCATAAGTGAGAGTCATTTTTTAAATTGAATTCTAACAGTTTCTGACAAAATTTTATTAAGAGACTGCCAAATATATACATGTTCATGTGAAATAAACCATTGCATTGAATTTCAACCTTTCTGAAGAAGGGAATGAATAATATTGGCATTTTCTTTAATTTACTGGTGAATTCCAACTTAGCTTTGTAATAGAATATTAGAATAAAAATAATCAGAAATAGGATCTATTATTTAATTATATATTTGATATATCTAATCAAAGAATTTGGTACATACATGTATTTTTTATATTATCTGTAAAATAAAAAAAGGAAACTTTATACAGAAATATGTTCGTCTTTTCATGCTCTTTGTAAAGGACAAGAAATTATGAATTTAAAACTAGAAAGACAGTCTTTTTTCTTTCAACAGGGTACTGCAATTCAAAAGAAAACAAATAAAGCCAGAAAACAGAAGAGATGGCGTTATCAAGTGACTTTCTTGAGGATGGCGTTCTTTGTGGTAGTAGTGATGTACATGCCTGTAACTCTGTCTGTGGTCCATAGTTCACTCTGCTCTGGGATAATTCCTGCTGTTAGTATAATTTCATAAAATTCTAGAGGAGAAAATATTATCTGTTGTCAAAGATGTGAGCTGTCAATTACAATTTTCAAAAATGTTCATGCTTTAGTGACGTTACTTTAAGTGGATCTGTCAGTCAATCTATCTAGCTGTCATTTCATCCATCTATATTTCTGTCTGTCTGTAACACTTTCTTTTCCACAAGAAATTGTATACAGGGTTATTTTGGCCTGTGTAATTTTTGCACTTGAGAACAATTTTGCCCTATTTTAAATTTACCCAAAGTTTTGTTTCAGAAATTATCTGTGTGATTTGAAATGGCCCCATTTTAAATTCACCCAATCATGAAGAGGGTGAAAGGGGCAAAAGTAAAACAGAGCGAAAATTTCACGGATTGTACATTTTGGCTGTGTTTAGCAACGATTGTGCTAACTTGAAAGTTTCAAAGAATATTTGCACATTATATTTTGGAGATGATGAATGAAAAGCTATATATGCAAATTATAAAGTTTTTGGTACACAATTCTTTTTGATATACCGTAGTTCTAATTTTCTTTCCCTAGAAAGTTACACTAAATGCAGAAAAAAATGTATTTTTCTACCTCCAAGATGAATCTTGTGACCAGATTATATTCCAGGTATCCATTTTTCAATTAGATATCAAAATGTTGTCAAGTTAATCTATGATTGGTTAGGCATTTTGAAAAAAATATATATTTATCTTTTCTAATTTTTTTTTTTTTTTGACATTTACATTAGAATGTTAGGTTTTGCTTGTTTTATCAGCAATTATATCTTAGTTAAATGTGTCAAGGAGACACTTCTGTCATAAAAAGGTCATATTTCCCAGGGGAGTTTACATTATACCAATTTAAATTGTAAATGACCCTAAAAAGAAGGAATTAAAGTGGAATGAACTATAGAATGTGTCAATTTAATAAAGTTCTGTAATATTTTTTGAATTTCTGGTTTAAACAGGCCGGGGCACCTTTTGCAAAAGAGCATCCTATAAAATTCAGAGAAAATAAATAGTAAACAAGCTAAAATGTCATTGAACAGTAACGCTACAAATTGTTGACAAAAAAAACTGTTGACTGAAAAATCTTGCAGAATGAATTATCCTGTTAAATATTGCATGCATAAAAATGTCCTAATATTTTTTTAAGATGAAATTTATTTTTACAAATTAAAATAGAAAGGAAATTAAGCTCTTTTTTGGGGGGCAAATTTTCATTCAAGTCATAATAAAGATTGTGGCCCCTGCTCTTGAAATCATTCATTTTTAGCTCATCTGAGCTGAAAGCTCAAATGAGCTTTTCTGATCACAATTTGTCCGCCGTCTGCCTGTTTGTCTGTCTGTCTGTAAACTTTTCACATTTTCATCTTCTTCTCAAGAACTACTGGGTCAATTTCAACCAAACTTGCACAAAGTATCCTTAGGTAAAGGGGATTCAAGTTTGTTCAAATGAAGGTCCACCCCTTCTTCCAAAGGGAGATAATTATGAATTTGTGAAAAATTAATGGCATTTTTGAAAAAATCTTCTTCTCAAGAACCACTGGGCCAGGATAGATGAAACTCGTGTGGATTCATCCTCAGGTAGTGTAGATTCAAGTTTGTTCAAGTCATGTACGGGGGTAGGGCGGGGCCACAATGGCTGACCAAGTTTTACATAGAAATATATATGAAAATTCTTCAAAAATCATCTTCTCAAGAATAGCAAATCCATGATTGGTCATGGGACTTCTTTTGGATTTAAACTTTTCAATTCAATAATAAACCAATTTCTACTTTTTTCTAGTGTATGTCAGGTGAGCGATTACATATAAATCCTATGTTTTTAAAGAGGGTGCAAAGTGGATAAACTTTTCTGCATATATAATGGATTTTATCATCTTCTTATTGCAGAATATTCAGTTTTTCGGCACCATTTTCCTGATATTCTACGTTCTACTCATTCCGGTTCTAATCGTCTTTATAACACTGAGGCAGAAGAAGTGGAGTTTATTGTCAGAAGTTAATCAGCTGTACAGGTAATACTCTACGTCACTACACTGTGGAATCAGGGGTTCAGTTCTAATCAGCTGTACAGGTAATATTCTACGTCACTACACTGTGGAATCAGGGGTTCAGCTGTACAGGTAATATTCTATGTCACTACACTGTGGAATCAGGGGTTCAGTTCTAATCAGCTGTACAGGTAATATTCTACGTCACTACACTGTGGAATCAGGGGTTCAGTTCTAATCAGCTGTACAGGTAATATTCTATGTCACTACACTGTGGAATCAGGGGTTCAGTTCCTCATTTTCCTCACAGTGTGTTTCCAGGGATATTGGTATTCACAGCTGATAAACTCAGTGGAAGGGCTAAATCAGAAATAAGGTTTCATTGATTTCAGAAACCAAATAAAATTATTCCTGACTATAATTGAAAGACTTGAAGAAGAAATATTTAAAATTGTGATACAATTAATAGAAGTTTGGAAATGCAACACATTATCCAACTGTCCAAAGCCCTATTACTGGTAATATGTACATTGTACATGCATGATATACTTGAATTATGCTTTCTCTCTCTCTCACTTTCTCTCATTTTAAATTTCTTCAGTACCTATAATAAAAATTTTGAATTGTTACTTCCAGACCATTATATGAGTCCTATCACCCTCGCTGCTGCTTTTGGGAAGCATTTCCGATGATCCGGAAACTGGTCAGCATAGCGATCACAGATGTTTATCCACTAAGGTGATAATAAGTTATTCAAGGTTTTAGCTAAAGTGTAAAACATCTATCTCAAATTTTATATGCCAATACATATCATCTTTTGGAATTTAATAATTTGGGGTTTAATAGAAGTTAATCACATCTGTACAAATTTTAGTTGTTTTTTAAAAATGTTAAAAAGTTTGAATTTTTATATAAAAACAGTTTATTGTTGATAAAAAATGTAAAAATTGGAGAATGTTTGTTACTTGCATCACTTGTGATTCAATATTCTGGGTCCGTACACTGTGGAATCAGGGGTTCAGGCGGGGTAATATTCTATGTCACTACAGAGATGTGGGGGTCGGGGGGCGAAGCCCTAAAAAAATTGCTGTAAACGGCTAATTTTACCATTTCCTGTTTTGGAATGCTTACCACTTTATTATATTACCTATTTATGTACTATTTCGGATAGATATGATCAAATAAATTCCAATCGTAATTCACACTGTGTGTCGTAAGGGGCGACTGAATGGGGAGTGTGTATCGTAAAAGGCTACTGAATGGGGACCCGAAATGATCTGAGTTACTACACTGTGGTCCTCCTGAGTTACTTAATCAGCTGTCCAGGTAATATTGTATAATCACTACACTGTGGAATATTTCACTTATATGACGTGTTGTAAGAAGCAATATTCTACAGTCACTACACTGTGGAATCAAAAACGGGTTCTGTGTCACAGCAGGTGTGTCACGATAATCCCTTCCTCACTAAAGGCCCTCAGAGCGCCGAGCATAGGTAATATTCTTTGTCAATACACTGTTATGGCATATAAGTGAAAAATTCTTGAGTCAATAACCAACCAACTAACGTTAACTCACAATACTCATCTGATGCTTCAACTGAATTTTCACTTCTGAATGTAAATACATGTATAAACAATGATAAATACGAAACTGACTTTTCCCAAGAAAAAGATAAAATTATTTAAGTCAATAGGGGTATCTGGGAATATTCTACCCGTCACTACACTGTGGAATCAGTTTTCACTGTACTAAATGCAGTTCTAAAATAATCGATAGCCGTAGTTCGAATTTCGTTATGGGACATGGGGACTGGTCCTTCAGATGAGACCGCATAAAGTTAAGCGAAGCCCCGTGTCACAACTGTGGCATGATAAAGATCCCTCTCTGCTCAAAGGCCCTGAATGCCGAGCATAAGTAATAGTGACACTCACTGGATAGCTGAAAAATTGCTCAGGTGGCTATAATCAGACAAATAAATGAACAATCTTGATCCAGCTGCTTGTGTTGTGTTTCTTATTTCCAAAACAAACCAAAAAAAAAAAGAAAATCTAGAGGAGGCAATTGCCTCCGTTGCCTCAATGGTAGCTACGGCCCTGATATTGATTTAAATTTAGTGACAAATACTAGTACTACATGTACCGGTACTATAAATTGCATTACATGCTAGGTTGAATTGAAAAGCTTTTCAATTTTATGAGGAAATCATGCAAAAGTGACAATAGTTTTTTTTTATAAAAGCAATTTTTTTTTATGAAGTTTTATTTCAAAATATGAATTATTTTAACTTTTTCAGTATTTTTATACAGTGCCTGATTCAATTGTCAACAACTGGTGTATATTTCATTCACTATTCTACTGAGGCCATACAGGTAACCTACCTGTCCTTTCTGTTTTAATCACCTGTACAGGTAATATTTTCTATGTCAAAATTTGTCCGTTGTCTGTTCGTTGTTCGTGTGTTTCGTAGTATTGGTTGTCGTCGTTGTCGTCGTAAACTTTTCACATTTTCATCTTCTTCTCCAAAAATAAAATAATTCCAATTTCAACAAAACTTGGCACAAAATATTTAAAATTCTGATACAATTAATAGAAGTTTGGAAATGCAACACATTATCCAATTGTCCAAAGCCCTATTACTGGTAATATGTACATTGTACATGCATGATATACTTGAATTATGCTCTCTCTCTCTCTCTCTCTCTCTCTCTCTCTCTCTCTCTCTCTCTCTCTCTCTCTCTCTCTCTCACTTTCTCTCATTTTAAATTTCTTCAGTACCTATAATAAAAATTTTGAATTGTTACTTCCAGACCATTATATGAGTCCTATCACCCTCGCTGCTGCTTTTGGGAAGCATTTCCGATGATCCGGAAACTGGTCAGCATAGCGATCACAGATGTTTATCCACTAAGGTGATAAAAAGTTATTCAAGGTTTTAGCTAAAGTGTAAAACATCTATCTGAAATTTTATATGCCAATACATATCATCTTTTGGAATTTAATAATTTGGGGTTTAATATGATGCATCGGAACACTCTACATCTGTGCAAAATTTTAGTTGTTTTTTAAAAATGTTAAAAAGTTTGAATTTTTATATAAAAACAGTTTATTGTTGATAAAAAAAAATGTAAAAATTGGAGAATGTTTGTTACTTGCATCACTTGTGATTCAGTATTGATTTAAATTTAGTGACAAATACTAGTACTACATGTACTATAAATTGCATTACATGCTAGGTTGAATTGAAAAGCTTTTCAATTTTATGAGGAAATATATAGTGACAATAGTTTTTTTTTTATAAAAGCAATTTTTTTTATGAAGTTTTATTTCAAAATATGAATTATTTTAACTTTTTCAGTATTTTTATACAGTGCCTGATTCAATTGTCAACAACTGGTGTATATTTCATTCTCCTCATTCTACTGAGGCCATACAGGTAACCTACCTGTCCTTTCTGGGGGTTTTTTTGTTTGTTTTTCTTTTTACTTTTTATTTAAAGTTGAATAAATGAAATTGTGGGCAATTTCAAATTATTTAGAATAAATACACATGCAGGCGTAATTAGAACAATTACAGGTGTGTTTGTGATGGGGGGGGGGGTGGAAATGGATATTTATTTCAGGATGCTCTTAACTTAAAACAATACCAGATAATTGGACTGATATTTTCCTTATTTAACATTAATTGAGGGTAGCTTGATAAACTTTTTTACCTATGTTTTTTTTAAACTCCAGACTCTGATTTTTGCTAGGTCAGTTGTATGGGGTAACAGAAAAACAGAGATCCACACATTTTTTGAGGTAAAAATTCTATTATATTCTTTTTGTTACAAAATGATGGAATATGTATATATAGTTTCAACATCAGTTCAGTGAGTTGAACAATAGTTTTAAGCTCTAATCTTTTTTTCCCCCTTATTTTCCTGAAGAATGTTATTTGGAATACACATACATATGTATATGTAAGCAAGATAAAATTTTCATTAAGTTGTTTTTAATGCATACATTTAAAAAATACATTTGCAAGAATAAAAATTTCTTGAGCAACCAGACTCTAGTGATTACCCAATAAAAATTTCTAGCGAATAAGACTGGAGAGCAAATACTAGTACAATGGCTGATACATGTATGTAAATGAATTCAAATCTGTTTGGTTTCCAATAAATAGATATTGTCGACCCTGACAGTAGGTTTGGTGCAGTCTGTACCCCTCCTGGTGACCCTAGGAGCAAACACCCCCACCCTGGAGTATCTGGTTCTGGGCTGCATTGGATTGACACTGTTAATAGGGGTGGTCATGATCTTTTTGACTCCAGTGGAAAAAGTTGAAGAGGTGAATGCTTCTTAACATCATGTTCCTAATGGCTCACTCTTGCTGTCTAATTCATATTTATGGGGAAAAATGCAGAAATACTGGGTAATTCTGCTTTGCATTTTTGTCATGATTCGCATGAAAAGAACTAATGAATGTAGAAATTCATGCTTATGAATGAACCTTATATCATTTTATTTTTTATACTAGTATATCTATATACTGTATACAGGGTTATTTTTGCCCCGTGTTATTTTCGCCCTTTTGCACTTGCACAATTTTGCCCCATTTTAAATTCGCCATATCATAGTTCTGTTTAAGAAATCATGCTGTTTAATTTGAATTCGCCTCGTTTTAAATTCACCCAATCAAGAAGAGGGCGAAAGGGGCGAAAATAAAACGGGGGCGAAAATTTCCCTGTATACAGTATATAATTAAAGTATTTCTAATGATTTTCCCAATTTTGAGACCTTTCTGCCATTGCATCGAGATATGCTCTACAGTTATTTTTCATAATTATCATCTTTTTCATTTTAAGATACCTCCATCAGGTGGAAACCTAGCCTCTTCTAGTGAAAGCCTGCGTTCACGACACAACAAAGTGGCACCAGCCCCCATGACTTACGAAGATGTCATTCAAGAGAGAAGGGGACATTTAGAATTCTAGGGGACTTATCCTTATTTAGAATTCTAAGGAAATTATCCTCATTTAGAATTCTAGGGGACTTATCCTCATTTAGAATTCTAGGGGACTTATCCTCATTTAGAATTCTAGGGGACTTATCCTCATTTTGAATTTTAGGGGATTACCCTCATTTTGAATTTTAGTGGACTTACCCATGGTTGTGATAGATTTAATTGTTTACATAAAGAGGTGCGTTATTCAGTGAATGTAATTTCTAGACACTTTCTGGAAATAATGAAAAGCTGATTTATTTGTTTTGCTTACTTTTTTATCAATAAATATCAATTTTATACTTGTTTTATACCATTTGAACTTGTCATTTAGCTTTCTATGAACATTGGATGAGAGGAGAGTGCATACTGCACAAGAAAAAAGATTTTTAGTTTAAAAATAAACATTTAAATCTAGCCTATATATTCATCAACGTTTCTAAAGATATACAAGTATGCATAAACATGCACTTTCAGTGCCCTAAATTTTATACTACAATAATTATTCATCATTTTTCACAATTACTGAACATATAATGAACAATAAAATTGTCAAACATGAGATCAAATAGGACCCATTTTTGTTGCTTTAAACTTCATTTGAATTGAGTGTGAAAAGAAACATAACTCCCATAAACCTGCATTTCCTTGCCGAGATAATGTTGTTCTTTATAATAAATCTGATGTTCTTGATCATCATCAAGCAGTTGTTGAGATCAGTTTATAAAATTCCTTGGACCCTGGAGGCCAACACCAGAATTTTAACTTTTCAGCATTCATATGATATGGCCAATGATGTGAATTTTTAAAAAGAAAAATAATGCAAGTCTAATAATGTAGCAAGCATCAAAAGTAGCTGAACATTAAAAATGCACTGTTTGATGAAATGTGTTTATACCTTTAGTTTCAGTCATTGCTCAGTTTACACTTTCTTTAAAATATTCTTTTAATCTTGCACTTCTCATAAAGTCTGAACCCCCACAAAGATTTTTCATTCCAAATATTTTCCTCATTAAAATAAAAAAAAGAACAAAATGATTACAGTATTCTCAATGATTTTAATGGACAAAATGTTTGTAATAAACATATCCATTATAAATACTTTTTCTGTTGAACAGAAAGATAAGTAAATGTAAATGATTTGTTACATTCAAACATAAATCTCTGAAACCTCTGATACTTTGATACCGAAAGGTAACAATTCTCAAAATACATATACACTCATTTAAAACAAACTGATGATTTGTGTATAGTTTCTGCTAACAAGAAACAAAAATCTTAAAACAATTCAGCTACAAAAATTACAATTTATTATAGTGTTTTGAAAAGAAATTGAAAATTATGATAAAAGTACACAACTGCTTTTGATAGAGCAAGTGTTCATCATTTCTCTTCTCACAAGTGAATTTAAGACTGTTTGCCAAGATATTATACGTTTCAAAATTATGCAAATTGTAGGATACAGTATTACAACTTTAAAATGCCCCAATCTTGTTTATTTTTTTTTTTTGTAATGAAACTCTAGTCACTATTATAATTGTTTATTCATCTATTTTATTTTTTTGGTATGATAAAACATTTTTAAGGGAACAGTAATCTAAAAGAACACATACTTTTCTTTGGTCAATGTCTACTTTTCAAAGTTATTCTACCCCATCTCTGTTTTTTTATAACCTAAATCTAAATTTATACAAAAAAATCTAAATTGAGCTGCCCCATAAATTTTTTAAAAAAAAATTAAATCTGATGGATGATATTACTTCAACCAGAAAAAAATTGTGTTTCATCCCGACATCTATGTAAAATGTCAATGCTAAGAAAAATTAAAAAGACAAAAAAAGAAAGAAAAACACATCCAGATATCCTTTTCACTCACACATAGATGAATAAATTCAATAAAATATACTTATCAATTGTATATAAAATAATAACATTTCTGAAAGCACCTTCTCTGTGCATTATAATTATAGATCAAGTCATTCTACAATGGTTGATACTGAATCAGGTGAGACAGATTAAAGGGGGGGGGGGGTTACAAAGAAATTTTAAAATAATGTAAAGGGGAAAATATATTTTCTTTCTTTCTTGTTTTTAATTTTGAAAATGTATATTTTAATCCTCCTAAGAAATTTATGAGAAAGGCAATCTCCAAAGAACAGAAACAGTTTCTAATCATAAAAACAAATATGAAATTTATAGAAAAAATTTCAATAACCTAACAATTTTTTTTTAATTTTTGTTAATTCAGCACTTTTGTACACTTAAAGAGATGCCTATTTCCCTGGATCCCTGCCTGGGACACTTTTTCATTCGGTACTTCAAAAACTCAACTTGATCATAGACAGGACTTTAAAGCTTATTGAGGGGAGGGGGGTTAAAGCTAGGAATGGTTAACAAAAAATAAACAAAAACAATATTTGCCACACCTTAAATATCAAAACAAAATACCACTTAATTTCCAGATAAAACAACCAACAAATTATTAATACCCCTAAATCAGGTTTCTAGAAAGAGGATAAAATCAATTTTAGATTCTAAAACCTCTTCAATAAGGAGACTTTTGTCAATATCTTGTAACAAAATATAGATGGCACTCTTCTTTCTGAAAACATCTTAGCACTATAGATTTCTTTTATCTTTATACAATTTTTAAAATTTAAATCTGTCAGCTTTCATGTAATTCCTGCCAAATTGTCCATGATTAAGTTATTATTCCTCATCAACAAAAAAAATAAATAAAACGATTTCCAATATTTCAATATGTACACAATGCAATGGAATGAAATTACACCTCAAAAGTAGACATATCCTGTAGTTAGTACATTGTAACTGCCCATAAAAAATGATTCCATAACTAATAACATTTGAGATAAAATTAAAATGCTACAAATTGTAATAAATATTGCATCATGCATTAATCTTGTGTGTGATACTTTTTGTCGTTTATTGGTGTAGGATGCGGCGTAATGCCCCCCAATGCCCTGTGAATCTTGCCCCACATACTCCCCCTCCAGACGGGGCTCAGGGGCCGGTAACAATGACTGTAATTTCTCTTCTGGCCTTGTGGGGTCTTCTGAAATTTAAAACACAAGTTCATCATTGACTGGTTTCAAAAGGCTTATCAAAAAACTCATTCCAATGTTCCTTTACTAACCAATCTGTGATGATTTTTCAAACAATTCAAAAGATTGATCACAAATCCAAGTTTTCTAAAATTATAGTTCATTTATAGAATTTTTAAATGAAAACACTGAAGTAAGCATGTTTATTAATAAAATTAAGTGAGTTTACTTTTCCTAAAAGCCTATTTCATGTGTACAATGTATTTTTACTTTCATTAACATACCAGTAAAGGTTGATTTTCTGTCCTAGATGTACCAGGAGGGTGTATTGGTTCTTTGTATGACTGGGACTGTGCTAAGGACTGATGGTAATAATCTATGGTCTGCAAAAATAAGAAAGCAATTGTCTAGGCATCAAAACTTACCAAAACAGAAATACAGAAATAAAACGAAATACAGAATTAAAACGTACCTTCACACTATTTTCTTAATTTATGCCCATGCACCTTTGTGGGAAGTGGTTCTGCTGAGGCTGAGCTATGAGGGTGATATGATTCGTAGCTGGACTGAGGCAATGTCGCTGAATGATGAGAAAATGAATGTTGGAATTTTATTTTGCGCAAAACATCGGGATCCAACTCTCATAGCTTAAGTGCAGTCATTCTTTATGATATAGACAAAAAATAATTCAATTTCATGTCTCAAAATTCAATGTTGGAATTTATTTAAACTCCATTTTAACTGTATATAAGTTCATTTATTTTTTTATCACTTTAAATAAGTAATAAAATAAGATGATACATATTTAATATTCCATTTGATTTCCATTTGGGTCAGTTTGATTTCCATTTGGGTCCATTTGTGTTTCCATTTGGGTTCCATTTGGGTAAATCGACGTGCCGCCAAGTTATGACGAATTCTCTTACCCCACTCATTGGGATTGATCTGAACTGCACCATCGCGATTTTCACGAATATTTTTTTTAAATGGCGCACTTTGAAATAATGTCGGGGCAACACAAAATACAGTTTTACACACTAATACAGAGAGCGCAGGAAATGAAAGCAAATATCAGCAGAAATGGCTTTTGATTCACAAGTACCAAAACAGAATCACTACTTTGATGTAATTAGTTTTAAATACATTATGAATAACAATAAACACTGTTTTCTGAGAAATTGTGCTCATTTATAAAGAAAACAAATAAAATATGCTCCCCGGCCTAAATTCATACACCTCACATTTATAATAACGTACAATTTTTCTGTTTAGTTTCTTACTCATGCAAGCCTTATAGATATAAATACTAATGTAGGTATAAAATTACCTGGTTTTTTTTTTTAGCAGTAGCGGATCCAGAAGTTCATGTGGTGGTGGTGGGGGGGGGGGGTGAAGCTTTAACCTTGCCCATAAATTTTTATTTAGTGGAGCTATGACTCTCATATTTCACATATGTATTCCTAGTGATAAGACCTTTCATTGGGTACCACCGAATTTGACGTTTTGACCTTGACCTTGGAGTACGACTCACTTTTACAAAATAATTCCAAACTTTTACTTTGGCCATAACTTCTGAATGGTAGGTATTACAACTTTCATATTTCACAAATATATTCCTTGTGACAAGACCTTTTATTGGATACCAATAACTCTGACCTTTTGACCTTGACCTTGGACATTTCCGTACTAATGAAAAAACTTTAACCTTGAACATAACATCTAATTTTAATTAGATTGCCTTTGAACAGCAGATACTAGGATTTTCATATTTCACAAATGTATTCCTTGTGGCAAGACCTTTCATTTGATATTAACAACCTTGAACTCTTGACCTTGACCTTGGAGATTTTTCGTACTTATGAAAAAACTTTAACTTTGACTATAACTTTTGAATGGTAAGGGCAGGGCTTTCATACTTCTCATATGTAATCCTTGTGAGAAGACTTTTCATTAGATACCAAGAACTTTAACCCTTTGACCTTGACCTTGGAGTTAAGTGATGATTTCTAAATAAATGACATATGATAGGGTGTTCATATGAAACAAAAATATGTCATAAAAAATGACATCTCACCCACAAAGACACCGAAAGCGGGGGACCACAATTCCTTGAATTTGCTTGTTTTTAATGGTTCAAATTAGTGCATTTTCCAGCATTTTGGGGTACTTTTTGTAGCTTTTTTAAAGGCCGATCATCACAATTTTTTAATAAAATATTTTCAATTTAATTTAACTTGAACATTAGACTCTAGACTTTGCTTTTAAAAATTGTTAAATCTGACAATTTTAGGAATACAAGCAGTTGACTTCAAGTTGTCTTTACTTTAAATGCACCTACAATTAATCTATTCGAATGTCAAGCTGACTTCCAAGATACAACTAATGTGCAAAATTTTTAAACACTAAAAAAATTAAAAATTGAATTCTTTTCAGAACCCCTAACTAGTGCTTTTCAACTTACTTGAGTATAAATTATATACTGTCAACATGGTCAATATGATTTGGAATATAAACACACGTGTACAATAAATGCATGGAATTTCAAACTGAAGAAAAAATTACATAAACTGGAGAATCTGTCAAAACTGTAAAATCAAGGGCGTTGCCCTGGACCCAATGGGGGCCTAAGGCGGCCCCCATACCCCCGACCCATTGTTTTGGGGATTGTTGGGTCATTGGCTTAACAACCCCACTTTCCAGATACATCCCCCGGGTTCGAGAAGGGAAATGAAAGGAAATTTTTTTTTTAAAAATGTCATTCTGTGGCATGAAATTAAAAATAATAGTATGTGCGGATCTAGTAGGGGCTGAAGGGGGGAGGGGGGTACTTTACAAAGGGCGGTCGGGACAATAAGGAGGTATGGTCTAAAATTAAATTGCAAAAACCCAAAAACTTTAAAGAAATTCTTGTTCAAAATACTATATGCTGCGAAAAATAAAATTAATATGGCTTTAATACACAGGTATTATAGCCATTTCATAGCAGGGGGATGCCCGTTCGTTATTTGTCGTTACAAACATGTATCTTAAAAATATTCATATAATTCTCACGGATGATAGTGGACTGGACCCCCCCCCCCCCTTTTACACCCCAGACCCAAAGCAATTTTTTAATTTCACTGTAAAAGCTCAAAGGCTTATAGAGATATTGCTCTAGACAAAAGTGTAACAGACGGACAGAATTATAAGACGAACGGGCAGACCGAAATTAATATCCCCAACTTTCGGGGGGGGGGGGGGGGTCAGCGCAAAAATGGAAGTTTAGTGAATTGTGTTTTTGACATGATTTAAGATATATGAGAGCAAGTTCCATATTAGCATGCCATCATAGTACCTATGCCACCCCCCTTCCCCCAACCCCTGGAATATATATAAATCCGGGTCCAAAGATATTTTTTTGGCTTTCTGTCATTTATAACATTTACAGTTTACAACATATAAAACTTTTTTTAAAATAAAAAGTAAATTCTATGTACCTTTTGGATTTTTCATATGAAATACACTGTAAATATGTACTAGTTAATTTATGAAAGCAGACAAATATGAATATCTTGGGACCAGGTATGTATATTGGGGTTGGGGTTGGGAGGTTGTTTGGTCTACAAGCACTTGTGATAAGCATAGAACAGAACAGAACAGAACAGAACATTTTATTACTAATTTAGAGCCCATAACAGACAAATATGAGATTGTTATAATAATAAGGAAAAGATAAGCCAATGAATAGCAAAACAATTATACAATTAGTAATTGACATAAATCATTTTAACAATAATCCTGTCTAAAAGGAATACATCAAATATGCATGTATGTGTAACAGACTAATGTTTAGTGAATTGTGTTTTTGACATGATTTAAGATATATGAGAGCAAGTTCCATATTAGCATGCCATCATAGTACCTATGCCACCCCCCTTCCCCCAACCCCTGGAATATATATAAATCCGGGTCCAAAGATATTTTTTTGGCTTTCTGTCATTTATAACATTTACAGTTTACAACATATAAAACTTTTTTTAAAATAAAAAGTAAATTCTATGTACCTTTTGGATTTTTCATATGAAATACACTGTAAATATGTACTAGTTAATTTATGAAAGCAGACAAATATGAATATCTTGGGACCAGGTATGTATGTTGGGGTTGGGGTTGGGAGGTTGTTTGGTCTACAAGCACTTGTGATAAGCATAGAACAGAACAGAACAGAACAGAACATTTTATTACTAATTTAGAGCCCATAACAGACAAATATGAGATTGTTATAATAATAAGGAAAAGATAAGCCAATGAATAGCAAAACAATTATACAATTAGTAATTGACATAAATCATTTTAACAATAATCCTGTCTAAAAGGAATACATCAAATATGCATGTATGTGTAAAAGACTAATGCTACTATAACATGTTATCATTTATAAATTTGCCCACAAAATTAAGAGTTTCCTTATCTTCTGTATTGAGTAACCAATAAAGTTTTTGTTCATCATCTAAAGCTGAAAATAGTGGAAATTTATGATTAATTAACTGAAATATTTCTTTTCTTTGATGATCAAATTTTTTGCATGTTATTAAAAAATGAGTTTCATCATCTATGTTGTTAGAATTACATCTATTACATAATCGATTTTCTCGAGGAATATTGGTAAATCTTCCCACTTCAATTTGTAATCTGTGACAGGAAGTTCTTAATTTACATAGAGATTTTCTGTGATGAAAATTTTTAACAACTGATAAATAATTCTCATAACCCCAATTTTGTTTGAGTTTCACATATGTGGATAATTTGCCATCAGTATAACTTTTATGACTTGTATACCATTTCTTCACATAAAAATCTAATAAAATTTTATGACAAAATGACTTAAATTTATATTTCCCCTAACAAATAACTTCATCTTTAATATTCAGTAATTTTCTTAATTTCTGTATAAATGCAAACCATGAGTTCTTTCCATTCACGAAAAGCTTTTTACTACATTCATATGCATCTTTAAGTAAAGGAAATTCTATGGACAAATTTTCAAATCTATACCAACTTTTAATCAACAACCTGACAATATCATAATGCAGGGGGAACCTTCCCAATTCAGACAGTACTGCAAAATTCGTGCTTTTCTTATGAACGCCGAGAATATATTTACAGAATTTAAGGTGTATTCTTTCACAGGGTAGATTTTTAAAGCAGTCTTCAACTGTTAAATTTTGGCAGTTTAGGAATTTTTTAGTAATTATATTACTTGCACCCCACACCTCTGCATTATACAAAAGAATTGGTTTAATGGTGGAGTCAAATACATGTATACTGGTTTTAATCCCAGGGTTCAAATCAATAAAATCCTTTCTTAACTTATAATATGCTTTTAATGCTTTGTTATAAAGCTCTAATCTTGCTACATGAAAGCTTCCAGAAATACTTAGGTGGACTCCAAGATATTTGTAGCTAGGCACACATTCTAACATATTATTTTGAAACATTAGTTTTTGTGTAATATTACGACCAGCCTTATTAAAGATCATGACTTTTGTTTTTTGAATGTTTACCTTTAAACACCAATCAGAGCAATACTTTTCAAGTTTAGCGAGTCTTGCTTGTATACCTTTAGCTGATGAGGATAAAATAACAATGTCATCTGCATACATTAAACAATTAACAGTTTGTGTCTGAAGCGATACTTCATCAATACATGAATCTAAATATGATGGAAAGTCGTTGATAAATATTTTAAATAGGGAGGGGCTCAAATTATCCCCTTGACGGACGCCTATAGCTATTTGAAATGGATCCGAGAAGAATCTCCCAATTTTCACACATGCTTGACTATTCTTATATATATTACTAATGATGTGTGCACATACTTTTGAAGGATGCCTTGACAACTAAGTGACAACTACGTTTTCATATTATTCACACTTTTAAAAGTCCGTATATTATTGTCCGTATTCTGGAATCAATCTTTTTTATTGATTTACAACAGGATGGTGAATATATATTTTTCCTTACAAAGGAAGCAAGTTAAAATTTCGGTTATAGTTTTTATTATATGTGTATTGGACCTTCGGTCAAAATAACTCTGTGTGTGGTCAAAAGTATAAAGTGTATCTTCTAATTTTATATTTTGATAAATATTGCATGGTTAACAAACAATGACATAGTGGAGCATAACATTAAGACAAAGAAAAGAACTTTACTAAGAAAAATGCACCAACCTACATAAACGCATATTTTCAGCCTTTTTTATAGTCCATACATATAAACAGATATACATGTACACACGGTCGTATATAGGAACGGGGTTGGGGATAAGCCCCCCCCCCCCCAATGAAGTCGATAAAGAAACAATGTAATACCGGTATTATAGAAAACTTAGCTACTGTATACTTGTGCCCCCTCAATAAAAAAATCTTTCATTTTGGCTTCCCAAGGAATTGGTTGCTAGTGACTCTAAACTTTGGTTGTAGCACAGGGGCATATTATCCACTCTGTTCTCTACTTCACATGTAAAAATACACAGTGTATTTTTATTTATGTTCTAAATTCACCAGTTCAAACGAACATAAATTATTTATAAATAAAACTCAAAAACACTTTAAATAGGATGAGCTCGCATGCGCGAGTGCAACAGACTTTAATGAAGTGTATACAGTATACAAAGCACAGTCTTTAATTTATCTTCTGAAATCTTTATCATTCTACAAAAGAAAAAGATTCAAATAAAGCGACAAGTCAACGTTGATACGAATAACATGTAGGAAATAACGATACTGGAAGGGGTGGGTGGGGCGGGGGATTAGTCTGTTGCAATGTAGCAGCGAACTTCGAATGACTTAAAACACCCGAAAATCTACCTTATACGTGACTGAATCATGCGTAGCACGGATTCAACCTATTCACCCGTAAACAATGAGCAACCAATCGATCTCCATTACCGATGGACTTAATCTGCATACATAACAAAAACACGTGTTTTACCATAACTTTTATAAATATATTTATGTTCTAAATTCACCAGTTCAAACGAACATAAATTATTTATAAATAAAACTCAAAAACACTTTAAATAGGATGAGCTCGCATGCGCGAGTGCAACAGATTTCGACGATAAAGAAAGCATTGGCATAAAATTATAAAAACGTATATGACCCCACCCCAGATATCAAGACTTCAAGGTAATCAAATTATTACGTTTTTCAAACCAGGCCTTGGTTAATTGAAAATTATCATAAAAATGTCTCTGAATTCTCAAAGTAATGCGTATTTACCGACAGTCATTCTTCAAACTCCATAATGAAAATTAAATAATATTATATAGGAAAATATACTGACACGCAAAAGAAACGCAGCACCCGACTTTATGGGGAAATAAATATGTAAAGTAAAGAATTTTGTATCTTAAAATTATGAATATCTTCAATTTGGGAAACATCAGTAAATTAACGGTTGAACGATTTCCATACCATAACCGGAAGTCAAGTTAGAGTCTGCTTAACAGAAATCAAAAATTTCATGTTTAACAAAACATTTGGCAATATAATGGAGTTTTAAGGGTTTTTTACTGTTCATCATAAGTAATGCAGCAATATTTCAAAAAATAAACTCTCCTTTCGTTTCCCGTAACGATGCTAAGGCTACTTGAAAATGGCTTGTGTACGCATTTCCATTCCTCTAGTCTCGTTTTCCCCAGACTCTCGCTTTCGAGACTTTGCCCGAGCTCGGGCAATGTCTCGAGAGCGAGAATCTGGGGAAAACGAGACTACCATTGCTCTAGCTTGAAAATTTCAATGTAAAGGTGATGGAGAGTTGCTGATGCGAAATTTCACTACATTACGCCTCAACAGGGTCTTACGTATCATATGCATTAAGGACATCCTTGTACCGGATGTCCAAGGGTGGCCACACTGCTCTAAATTAGAGAAAATTCGACCTAATCATCAGAAAAACGGGCATTTAAAAATGCCAAAGGATAATTCCCTCGCTCAGAACTCGATATTAATGAACCTATTGTATCGTAGAAATTAAGCTGCAATTGTTGTTTAGGGCAGTCTTGCGCGTTTTACTTGAATGGCTGGGAGGGAGGTGTTTTAACAGTCATATTTTTTTTAGTAAAGTAAACAGATAAACATTTATGATTTTTATCAAATCTCTGATGTTCTGAAAAGTGAGTTAATCCTTACTTTATTCGCTTTTGAAAATCATGAGATAAAAAATCAAACATTTGTAGATTACTGCTAGTTGCGTTTCTTTTGCGTGTCAGTATAAATATATATAACTTTTCAGGAATGCAAATGAATCCACATATAGCAAGCATTTTCCAATTGAAAATGTTTGAACAATTATATTCATGTTAAAAAATTATAGGTTTTCAAGCATTTGACAAAAACTGCAGATTTTTATACCTGAATTCTGCGGTAAATTAACGTCTTCTATATACTGCACATTTATTATAATGCATAGTTTAAAAAGCATTTTCTATGAATGCGAAACTTCATAAATCACTTGTAAATTCATATCAAACTTGAAAAATTGGTATTATTATTCATACATGAAGTTTATAAAGCATTTGCTATGAATGCGAAACTTCATAAATCACTTGTAAATTCGTATCAAATTTGAAAAATTAGTATTTCAGGCTGGATCGAGTACATTTCTGTACATATGTTCAAAAAACTTCAAGTACATTAAGGTTCATAAATTCTCTGCTCACTCATATGAAATGTTGCTTGAACCTTAATGATTTTCCAAAAAAAATGTATATTTATAAGTAGAATACAAGCAAATGGACAAAAAAGACACTTCAACTTGCGAGTATATATAGAAATATTAGACATTTATGTCAATCAGAGTTATCTCTCTTATCAGAGTATCAATGAACCTTAAGATACATGAAATGTAATTTGTTGTCTATAAAGTTTTCAATTTCAAGCTTCCTTTTGAGACTTTCATTACTTTTTAATAAACATTCAGTTAAAGAGTTATCCTTCCCGGCTGAAGAGATTTTTTTTTTTTTTTTTTTTTTTTACCATAACGCCTTCAGATGAACTCAAAAAGCCTTCTACGTTGATTTTGATCAGTGAATCATACATGTTAACATAGGCAGTTGAGAAAGCAACCTCGTTAAAAAACTATGAAGAATAAAATTACTTATACGTCAAAACTTATAACTTTGAGTGCATACAGAATTTCTGCTTCTTGTACAAGACTTTGACTTCCAGGTACAATATTCCAGGTTCCTTTTACAATACGAAATAAATCTAAATACAATCATAAATTATATTCATCTGATCAAACACTATTATTAACCAATAGCAATAGCAATTAGCAATAGGACAAATGAACTGAACCACACCTACCAGAATGGAAATATTAGTCCTCTTTGATTTTGACTATAGAGATGATTTGTCCGAACCTTGATTTTAAACGGAGCTTTGGAATTCTTCAGACAAATCCTTCCATGAAAGTTCTGCAAAACCATGTCTGTCCTGGCTAAAGATATCTGGAAAAAACTTTGCTCCAAAGTTTCAAAATCAGATTATGATTTAAAACTGCTTTATTATTCCCAAAACATTTTTACACGTTTAGAATCCAACATAGCTTGAGCCTATTAAACACACCGTTACAATCTGGACTTCTCTACAGAATAATGAAGAAAATGCTTTATTAGTAGTTAAGCTATTAAAAAATGAATACGTACGTACAGCAGTGTCGCTTTATCAATTGAAAATTTCAATTATTATGTCTGCAAATACATCTCGGAACAAATTGCAGTATACTTTTGTATATCTTTTGAAGTTTTAAAATGTACTTGTATTTAAAACGGGTTTCCAGCTTCAATTAGATACTGTAATTTTACAAATGTTGAAAAGGCAAGAAGACAACTTAATCTAAGGCCATTCCAACTTCGTTGATAAGATACATATTGATTTGAAAGAGACTTTGTGAATAATACATCCCCTCTCTGAATATACAAGGCCCATTCTCCCAGACCATACCAACATAATGAATGCATGCATACATGATCATGAATAGCTCATATGTCAGATATGTCAGTTCCCAAACAACTTCATAAAATGCTTACATATCCAAAAAATAAAAGAATCAAGATACTTACAGGTCTTGTAAAGGTCTTTGGCTAAAAATAATACATTCCAAAAATGCAAACTTTGTCGAAAATTTAAAATCTCAAAAAAGACTTGTATGAACAATGTACATCATGTACCATTCCAGCTTCAAGCTACTTACAGAATTTGAAATGGTCTAACCTGCATTCATACACTACATCTTAGACCATGTCAGCCTCCTAAACTAACTGAATTTTATATGGCCTTGTCTGTATCATACTACATCACAGACCATGACAGCTTCTTCAAGCTACTTACAGAACTTGTAAAGGTCCTTGTCTGCATCATACTACATCTCAGACCATACCATACAAGCTTCTTCAAGCTACTTACAGAACTTGCATTTGCAAAGGGCCTTGTCTGCATCTTACTACATCTCAGACCATTCCAGATTCTTCAAGCTACTTACAGAACTTGAAAAGGGCCTTGTCTTCATCTTACTACATCTAAGACCATGCCAGCTTCATCAAGAGGGGCCTTGTCTACATCATACTACATCTCAAACCATGCCAGCTTCATCAAGAAGGGCCTTGTCTGCATCATACTACATTTCAGACCATGCCAGCTTCTTTAAGCTACTTACAGAACTTGTAAACGGCCTTGTCTGCGTCTTACTACATCTTAGACCATGCCAGCTTCTTCAAGCTACTTGCAGAACTTGAAAAGGGCCTTGTCTGCATCATACTACATCTCAGACCATGCCAGCTTCATCAAGAAGGGCCATGTGTGCATCATACTACATCTCAGACCATGCCAGCTTCTTCAAGCTACTTACAGAACTTGAAAAGGGCCTTGTCTACATCATATAACATCTCAGACCATGACATGTAGCTTCAACAAGCTAATTACTGACTTTGGTACGGTTTTGTCTGCATTACATCAATAGTACTAGGTCTTACAAAAAATCATCAAAATATCAAACTTTGAGTCACATTTTCTTCATAACAGATAGAAAACACTAAATAAATTAGGTCATGCCATATGCAAAATCAAGGCTATTTTAAAAACTCTCTCAAACCAATACTCTTAAACAAATGATCTTAACCGAATCAGGCACATATTTAATTATCAGCATCGAAATACATAATGCACAGATTATGTAGCATCAATAACATGCATTTACCTTATGTTCTTCATTTCTATGTATTAAAACGTCTATAAATAGGAGCATAAAACCACTGTGGCTAAACAAAACTTCAATCGAATAAAAATTTTAACTAAATAAAACGATGTTTCATCACTTTACGAGTTAATATCAGGAACTATATATTCAATTACATTATTTCCAAGATTTGAAAATAGCTTCAGAGCAATGAACTAGCTATACATGCAGTTATATGCATCAATGTGGCACAATGCAACCTAGAATTGTAAAATTTTAGAACTGTTCAAACCATATAATGAAATTCAAATACAAATATTCTCCAAAATAGTGTGTCTCGTAACTATGAATTAGAAACATTGGAACTTTCATAATTTCTACCAAATTCGAACCCATCATCATATGGATATAAAATTATATAATACATGTACCATGTACATACGTGTATTAATTACTACCATGACTTTCCCAGAACTATACTCATTCTCAAGTTACACACGTACTATTTTATTTATTTATTTTTTTTTTTTTTGGAGCTAAATTCAAGCTGAAATGCGGACATAATCTGTGTCCAAGTGCTTACCAGATTTTCTATATATTCTGTGCGTGTCTTTATCTGCTGTTAGAGTCGTAGCTTAGTAATAATGACAGAAACAATACTGGTAGAAGATGAAAAATTGACAAATGTTTCAATCACTCAAGCTTTCAGAAAATTACAATTAACAGAATGAATTCTTTTGCCTCAATGTGAAAAACACAGAGGGTGCTTATATGGTCCCCATTACATTGTCGTAAACAATCGTATAAAACAGTGTTTCAAATTCAAATGTTATTTTTATACAGACGGTCGTTTCTTTCTTAGAGAACGTCGAAAATTACCAGTTTGTAGCTGCACCTTCAAATTTTCCCCCAAAATGGGGCCCAACGTGTCAGAGATGTCCGGAACCTCGGCTCTGTTTGTTTGTGCATAATCAGCAACTGTTTCTGCATGACTTCATGAGTAGAAACTAGGCTCGTCTGGTATAGACTGATTTCTATCTCCGATCTAAGCGATCATTGGTGTGTTGCAATGTAGTAGCGAACTTCGAATGACTTAAAACACCCGAAAATCTACCTTATACGTGACTGAATCATGCGTAGCACGGATTCAACCTATTCACCCGTAAACAATGAGCAACCAGTCGATCTCCATTACCGATGGACTTAATCTGCATACATAACAAAAACACGTGTTTTACCATAACTTTTATAAATATATATGTGAAGCAGAGAACAGAGTGGATAAGATGCCCCGGTTGTAGCCCCCCAACTGAAATTGCTTGCTTCAGGCCCAAGATAATTTAGTTAAGATCACCATTTAATATACAGTCATCATCTAGTAAGAAGATACTGTCTACCATGAATGCTCTTTTATTTCTTTGAAGTGATATTTTAATAAATTTAAAAAAGAATATCTCTCTCTCTCTCTCTCTCTCTCTCTCTCTCTCTCTCTCTCTCTCTCTCTCTCTCTCTCTCTCTCTCTCTCTCTCTCTCTCTCTCTCTCTCTCTCTCTCTCTCTCTCTCTCTCTCTCTCTCTCTCTCTCTCTCTCTCTCTCTCTCTCTCTCTCTCTCTCTCTCTCTCTCTCTCTCTCTCTCTCTCTCTCTCTCTCTCTCTCTCTCTCTCTCTCTCTCTCTCTCTCTCTCTCTCTCTACAAGACACTGTATAAAGCGCACTACCTATTTACTTGATTGCATGGATTTCTTTTTTTAAGTAACTTTTCCCCATATGAACTAGGCGCACACTACGAGTAGTTTGTATACGTTTAATCACTGACGCATGACAAACATGTTTCCTAATCCGTCTAAAGTATTATGGTGTATTTTCTTCTATTTGTTCGCTTTTTCAAAACATTTTAAGTGATTACAAAAATTTGACATGAGCAATTTTCAAATACAAAGTGGTTAAAACACTATCCGTTCTATTTTACACATATACTTATTTCTTCCGATTTTAAACTTTATAATTATATGGGTACAATCACTGGTCCCGAGAAAACTATCGAGATACGGGAAGTTATCGAGAGTTACGATCGTTCGTAAGATGTCGGTGTTTCTCTAGTTAAAGTCTAATAAGATGGGAGAAGACGATAAGATACAGACTGTAAACATTGGCCTTGATGGTCCGAGTCTTGGTCCCCGCTTTCCCTGACACGGCACAGGTGACTGTCTCCTCCTCTTTAACGCTGTCCACCTTCCAGACGTTGAACCGGGTGTACAGATACGGGTTCAGCTCTTTGGATTGCAGACGTTCCACTTTTCGGTCGGATGAAATCCCTTCTAATCTGATTTCGTCTTTCCCCGGGGTGGGGTAGGCGGTGACAGTGCAGTTAAATATAGCTGGCTGGCCGGGATTGACCTTGTCGTTGTTAAAATAAAGGATTTCAGGGGGCGTAACTGTATGAAATCAGATTATAAATTTAGAGATTTTTCTGATAGTCTTAATGTAATAGATTTTCAAGGGAAATAATGGCATTAAAATTAGGGTTTACGTTCCGATTTTAATGATAATAAAATGAAAAACTTTTACATTAATCACTTTTGGGTGGAATTCATTTATTCCTTGTTTTGATGTATTTCGTGCGAAGATGTATTTTATAATCTTCCAATGAAATTTACATCAAGTAATAAAGCATTAAAAAGGAAATCCTACTACTGATTAAAGATTGATAATGATAGTTTTGTCCTGAGCTCTAGCCAATTATTTCAATTTTTTGTACAAAAAATAATGAAGAGAATTGATAACGGGGAAAACTCGAAGGGGGTTACCTGCTTGGCAGAAGCCATCCCCCTGGTGAAAGTAGCCCTCTTTGCATTCACATTTGTCTGTAGGTCCGGTGTAACGATTGCAGTGGAGTGGATTTTTGCAATAGCAGGTTTTGGTGCAGTTCAATCCATACTTGTTAGTTGCACATGCCGTAGCTATAAAAATATCAAATCACAGCCATTTGCTAATTAAAGCTTCAGCCAATTTGCACACATCAAAATTCTTCATCTAAAGATCCATACCAGTTGCTGTGAATTTTGTTGTGTTTCAAGCATGTTTCATTTAGATGATGATTAAAAATCTGTCATGCATTTGATAAATGACGATACTTGTACTTGGATTATTCCAAACAATAACAAAATTCAGTAAAATGCAAAAATGAAAAATCTAAGAAAACTGACTGAACAACAGCATCTAATGGATCATGTTCTATTAGTTTTCTATTCAAAAGTTAAAAAAAAAACAAGCTAATTCAGAGAATTTGTGTCTCCCGCTTAGGGAAAAAGTAAACTATGCGCAGTTCGAGGGGAGGGGGGATCGAGTCGGATCACCCTGACTGAATTTGTAGATTTGTAAAATGTATTCATATATTCTGAAGCAAATAAAATATACCAATATGGATATAAAGATTTGATTGCTTATTCTCTATTATGTGTATATACGATTCTTTTTATATGGAATATTTATCACACTGTAATGATGATTTTATGAGTTTGAATTTTCATTTCACATGCTGAATACTATCATTTAGTAAAAAAAAAAAAAGATATTTCGAAAAAAAGGCAATGGATCATCCGAGATTCGAACCCTGGACCTCTCACAAGTGAAGCGAGAGACATACCACTAGACCACTGAATTGCTTTACATTCCTTAAAAATATATGCTAAAAATGAAGTCACACACATCTATATATTAACGTTCGATATTGTCAAATTTTACACAATTCATGGTGTCTACAATGAAGCGCATTGAAGTGGTAAAATTTTCCGTTCGAATGGAACGTTTTGAGCTATATTTAGAGTGTTTATTGTCATCTTATGACACGCCCATTTCTTTAGAAATGGATAAAACGGTCAAGTTGTTTCTTCAAATACCTGTAGAACAGGTTTTCCATAAATATAATAGCCAATCAAATTGAGGATCTAAATAAGCACCGAGTAAACACGTGTTCGACCGAAACATGTGTTGTGGTGACTTCAATAGACATGATTAGTTAAAAAAATATGTACATATTCGTTGCAATTTGTGTTTTACAGAAGCGGGGAGTCTCTATCTCCCTCTTCTAATTTTTTTAAAAGCTCCATTTCAGTGTAACTCATGATGCTTGTCGCGAAGAATGGGGTGTCCTAACACTACGACGAATATTTCTTTCTCGTTTCAAAAAATATGGGCGTGTCATTATGTTACAATTGAAGTTCAAAACATGACTCATAACTTTTCATCCAAACGGAAAATTTTACCACTTCAATGCGCTTCATTGTAATTGTCCCCCGCTTTCACGAAAGCGAGGGGACATTAAATTCTCATTCGTCTTTCCGTCAGTCTGTCCGTCACAAAAACTTTAACCTTGCCCATAACTTTTGATTTAGTTGAGCTATGACTTTTTTTTCACATGTGTATTCCTTGTGACAAGGCCTTTCTTTGGGTACCACCAAATTTGACCTTGACCTTGAAGTTTTACCCACTTTTACACAAAAATTCTGAACTTTTACTTTGGTCGTAACTTTTAAAAGGTAGGTACTGGGACTTTCATATTTCACATATGTATTTTTTGTAGCAAGACCTTTCATTGGATACCCATAACCTTGACCTGTTGACCTTGACCTTGGAGATTTCCGTACTTATGAAAAAACTTTGTTTTGTTTTGAACATATTTTATTGACAATATGTCAAAGGGATTGGACACAATTTCCAAAACTTAGATAGTCCTCTCCCATGAAAAAACTTTAACCTTGACCATTACTTTTGAATGGTAAGGGCTAGGGCTTCAAATACTTCAAATATGTAATCCTTGTGAGAAGACCTTGCATTGGATACCAAAAACTTTGACCCTTTGACCTTGACCTTGGAGTTTGACCTACTTTTTAAAAACTTTAACTTTGGTCACAACTTTTGAACGGTACATGTAGATACTAAGACTTTCATATTTTACATATGTATTTTTTATGACATGACCTTACCTTGGATACCAACAACTTTGACCTTTAAACCTTGACCTTGGAGATTTCCGTACTTATGTTAAAACTTTAACCTTGACCATAACTTTTTAACAATTAAGGCTAGGGCTATCGTACTTCACATACTTCACGTACTACCCTTTGACCTTGACCTTGGAGTTTTACCTACTTTTTAAAAACTTTAACCTTGGTCACAACTTTTGAACGGTAGATACTAGGACTTTCATATTTCAAATATGTATTCTTTGTGGCAAGACCTTTCATTGGATACCAACAACTTTTACCCTTTGACCTTGATCTTGGAGATTTACGTTCATTTGAAAAAACTTTAACCTTGGCCATAACATAATGGTAAGGGCTAGGGCTTTTATACTTCAAATATGTACCGGTAATTCTTGTGAGAAGACCTTTCATTGGATACCAAAAAACTTTAACCCTTTGACCTTGACCTTGGAGTTTGACCTACTTTCAAAAACTTTTATCTTTGCCATAACTTTTGAACGGTTAGGGTTAGGGTTTTTATTCCTCACATAACTTCTGTCAGTGATAATTTCTAAATACTAGTAAATGACATATGATAGGTTGTTCATATTAGACACAATATGTCATTAAAAATGACATCTCATCCACAAAGACACCGAAAAAGGGGGACCACAATTCTTTGAATTTGCTTGTTGCGTGGACCCTGCGGTCCACGCAGTAAATATATAAGCGAAGCTAAACCGGATGCCATGGGCATACGTCAGGCTACACATGCGCGAGAATGCTGGAGAGTTCGCTATTGTTTCATCTCGGGTCTTTCCGTCAGAAGTCGGAAAAACATCTTCCGCCAGTCGGAAAGGCCCGAGAATTTGCGATTGGGAGAGTTTGCCACACTAGGACTGCTTACCCGTAGAATAATTCAAAATGTCCTATACGAATTAGAATATACCATGTTCATCGGCAAATCTCGCTTTTGAATCTGCATATCGCATTTATTAATTTATTGCAGAATTCGAATTTCTTTCCCATACATATACATTTTTATACAAACTAAACAACGATTCTATGGCAGATGCATTTTTAAAAAAATAAGAAGGACTTGCAGAATATAGAATATCTACTTGAATTAAGAACTTCATTTAACGAATAGTTCTTGGTTTCAAAATATAGAATGTCTTCATTATACCCCCCGCTTGAAAAGCGGGAGGGTATATAGTAATCGTTAATTATTATACCCCCCGCTTGAAAAGCGGGAGGGTATATAGTAATCGTTAATTCCGTCCGTCCGTCCGTCTGTCTGTACGTCCGTGTTTACGAGAGTGCATTTATTGGGTATTTTTCATGCCAAGATTGTACTAATTGGGTACTTTTTGCTTATTGGGTATACCCAATAAGAAGTGTCGCTGAATATGCTTAAAACGCCCTAATTGGGTATTTGCAGGTTAGTACCCAACAAAACTTGGACACGACGATTTGTCCAAAAAAGTGTCCAAAAAAGTTGCTTTCACGGACGCACCGTGTTTTGTTGTTTCAGTTTTACATTCGGAACTCTAAATTCTCGAGAGTTCCGAAAATCAACTTCCGTTGATCCTGATCATGACAACGTTTGTTTTCATGGAAAAAAATATGGCGACTAAGAAACACGTAATATGTCAACAAGATTTTCCGATTGACAAAAGAAAAGGTAAGTTTATTCGATTAATATTTGTCCATTGCTGGGTTCTTGTTTAAGGAAAATAAATTTTAATGTAATTTTGAAAACAATTGTGCAAAAAATTAAAATAGATATATCGGAACAATTAATCCTAAGTTGCACTTGTTTGTATTTTGAATTTTCTCTGTCTTTTTAACTCTCTTGAGGGCGAGAAGTATTTATAGTAAATGATCGTATATTGTTAGATAACCTTTAATAAATCGAAAGTGTTTATTATTTGATTTTATATCATAACCAACTAAGTATGCTCTTACAATGTATATTGGAAAGGGAAATGAAAATTTTAACAATTGTGTGTTCATAAATCAGCTGTAAATTATCGGTTCATGTAGACAGTATTACAATCGCAAAGTGAGCTGAGATGATGATAAATGGGATAATTGACAACAACTTAATAATTGTATGTAAGTTTATCTCATCTGATATGTAACTTAAGAGATTCATTGTATTACTGAAAAACTTTCAGTCAAAACAGTGCTTCTTTCTGTCTTTGATTTTGACTGAATGTCAGCTTTATTTTGATTTTTTTTTAAATTATTGTTTTTTTCATTTGTTTCAATTAATTTAAAATAATACGGAAATTTATATAGGGTTACTATAACATTTTTGAGGATGGGGCTAGTGGTTTTCTGCACTGAGGAATCCCCTTGGGCTGTTAGGAATTTTAAAATACACATGTAATACATGAAAAGCACAACCGGTATTTTCACTCTTTTTTGCTATTAAATTCCCTAATATGGAAAAATTCCAGACAGCATGCTCATATTATCCATAAATCTCCACAACTGCATCCATTTTGCAGTACTACAAGACTGATTTACTTAAAAACGATCTTTTATTTCCTAATTTGAATTCCCCCCTTTCCTTTGTTTAATATAGCAATATTTGCTTGTACATATATGCCTCACAGATATTTCATTATTAAATTATATACATTCACTAAATCAGCTCAATGATAAGTGTCATGCAATTATGTAGCGTTTATTTTTGAAACATACAAAATTAAGTAAAGAAATATAGTTAATACATTTAAATTAAAGCTTTTCATACAATTCGGAACCCGGAGAACACCTCATTTTATCTAATAACACGATTTTATCTTCTCTGTAATGTGTTATTTAAATTTTTTGTATTTTCTTCCAAGTCGGAGAAAATTGCGAGAATCCAAATTAAATTTTAATATCTTTATAACGAAATTGACTGAGATTTTGTAATTTACGGGAAATTTCTATCTTAATCATGTTTATATAAAGAAATGATACAAATAATAAGTTCTTATAATTCTAGTCTAATAATTTTCATTGTACATAAGCCATATATGGCTTTAAATGATTCAGGATGAAAACAAAATGATTTTTGCTTCGTTTTAATTAGACGAACTAGTGAATGACCAGAAAAGGAATATTTAAAATCTTTCTTTCATTTTTTAAATCATTAATTTATATATGATCAAATTTTACTAGCGAAAATTAAATTAAACTTTAATTTTAAAAAGAATCATCTGTAGTTAATACCCTGGGGCCCGTTTCATCAAAGGTCGTACACCCAGTCGTAGCGCTACGCCGGCGTAAAGTCGGGACTAGCACGAATATTTGCATTTCATTAAAGAGCGTATCGTTACTCCTGACTAAATTTAGGCCAAAATTTTACGTCTACTCATGGGTAGGCGTAAGTTAGAGCGTAAAGTTAAAATATTAAATTTAGCGAGTTCTAAAGAAAAAGTAAGGTTCTAAGAAGAATTTAAAATACAAACAATGCATTATTTAATTATACATATTATGAAGAGGGGGGGGGGTTGTTACAACTACTTGGGGACGTAGTTGATTTGAGTAATAACGTACTCAAATAATATTTTGATAAATTTCTGCTGAGAAGAAAAGATTGTCTTATTAGAGATTTCTTACGTTTTGACAATGCATTCATACACATTTGATTATGGTATTGTATGTCTAAGGTATTGTAAATCAATTTACATATATAACTGTATTTCTACACCCCGCTTGAAAAGCGGGACGGTACATGTATATGTACATGTATATACTATTTAGTAATCGGGATGTCCGTCCGTCCATCTGTTACGCTTTGGGGGTACCCATCTCTAACCGCAACTCCTTTCAAATCACTGATTGAAATTTGGTGAAATTTTCACAGAATCTTTATTATATATTGCCATTGTGCCTTATTGTACTTTTTGATCCGACACATATTTTGGGTTTCCCACAGCAAAATATGGACACTGCCATTATATTTATATGGAAGGCGGGGGGATATCTTTTATTGAACTCATTGCTTACGGTACCTCTAGTTTCTTTTTCATTTACTAAAAAGAGACCCATTAAAATTGTCTATTTTGAAAAATATTTTCCAACAGCATATTTTCTGAAAAACAAAAATTACAAAAAAAAAAAAAAAAAAATCTTAAAACCAAATAGTTTTTGTCATGTTTGAAGAGTCCATTTCTTATTTACTTCTCGTCCACATGCGTGGATCCAGAGGGGATCGGAGAGAGGGTTCAGAATCTCCCGAATTTGCAGATTAATTAACATTGAATGTAGATTAATTAGTTAAGGACGAAAGTAATTATTTTCCTAGGTATCTGGGACAAGTGATGTTCCCGGCGAATCATAGACCCCAACCCAGGGAGGGGTTTGGGGTCTCATAGACAATAAGAGATTTTTGAAAGTGGTAATAAATTATTGCTTTTATAATATTGATGTAAGACGGTGATAATTACACAGTTAAGTTCAAGAATGAATTATTCCTAATTTTTTTTTTCTCAGACAAACATTGATGCAGAAGACATCTTTAATTTTCACAATTTTGTTTAAAAGAGCAAATCTTACATAGTATAAGAAAATCTGAGCGCAAATAAAGCACATATAAGATGAAAATATACATGTTTTTGATTTCCTGCATTACTTACATTTTAATGAAAACGAAATAAAGAGTAGATGTAACTAAATTTTAAAGACAGAGACCACACAAGCAAAGAATTTTTGTAAGACTATCTTTGTAGTCATTTTCCAAACCCTCTCTCTCTCTCTCTCTCTGCGTACTTTTAAAACGGTACATCATGTTTAATCTGCAGATAGTAAAGAATTTTTTTCTATATCTGAACAATTATGAATCAATTGAATTGACAAAAAATTAATAAATACAGAGAGGATTATCTTACATGTACCATAGTAGTAAACGTGTAAAATATATTTCTTGACTCAAAATGTGTTCATATGTAAACCGTTTGCATTTTGTTTTCATTATTTTTGCTTGCATATACATTTCTTATTAAAATTTTTAAATCTTATTCTGTCTCAAACTTAATTATTAGTATTTTACAGTAGAATCAGTATTTATCGAATCATGAAATTATTATCAAAGGCGAAGTTATTAACCTGTATCAATTTCGGGAAGAGGGGGTATGGCTGTAATTAAATTTCCAAAATGAATAGTTTTGCTTTATTCCGAAATACAAGTACATGTACTGTCCTTTTCATCCTTTCAATTTATTAGACTTTTATTATTTAAATATAGTAAAAAACTAAAATTTGTCTCTTAAAAGATGCATGTCTCTTACATAACACTATAAACCCATGCATGTTTCAATTAGTGCAAGTATTAATTTATCTATAACTTGTGTTATTCTGTACTTTGACGTGCTACAATTTAAACATGTTTGTACGCTTTGGACAATGTTTATGTTTTTGCGCCTGCGCAATGCAACGTTGTCAAGGACTTAGTTCTGTGACTAAGCGTATCTTTTACGACTAGACTTACGCCACTTGGTGAAACGCAAATTACGCCCGACTAAATTTTGGCGGAATCCCCGGAAGTACGCCTAAGTTAAGGCTTAACTTTACGACTTTTGATGAAACGGGCCCCTGACTTTTTTCACGATGAACTTTTTTTCAATGTTACTTTTTAATTTTTGCCTCTATATTTGGGCTTTTCACTTTTTACTCGGGGTACTGATTTTAGGATAACTGGAGGTAATGATTCCTTTTTTCCATTGATATTACATAAATATTTTCCTAAGTATTATGTTACAATAAATTTGCTTAGATTTTTTTTATAAAAGTAATCAATAATTACAATGGAAATTAAAACCATAATCATGTTCATTGAGGATTTTCAATATATAACAGGTCAAACAGGAACTTCAGTTGTGAACATTGCAGAGAACACACCCATCAGAAGATGACCCTCAGAAATAGGACAATTGTAAGTAATCAGTAAAATGAACAGGATTACTTCATGTCAACCATAAGATTTTTAGAGACATTTTCGCTTCTTAAATTAGAAGAGATAGAGGGAAAAACTTGTACATACTACATAACTACTAGGCAACCAACCTTTAACTGCAGGAAAGCTTTTGGTATGTGCAATATAGCTACATAAAACCTCTTTAGTATTCATGTTAAGTTTGAGAAAGTACCTTAGTATTTTTTCTAGTGTTTGCCAACATTTTCATGCACACTGTTTGCTTTTTTGTACTATCATTTTATTTTAAATTCTTCAGATGCCCTTTACCTTTGCCAGTTTAGAATCATTTGTTTTAAGGGCATCTGAGGGTTGGTTCCAGAACTTAATTAATTGTAAAGTAAATGCTGGGGTACTATACGGTCATAGGTTATGTTAATACATGTATAACATTTTGTTCTGATAGAGGTGGCATACAGGAAAAGAAACAATACTAGATATCACTTCAAAGGAATAAAACAGCTTCATCTTGTAGGTGTACTTTATTTAAGGATCACTACTTCATGGCTGATGTGCTGAAAGTTATTCATAATCTGTTTTACTGTAATTTTTCATATTTTCAACTTCTATCCAGCTTAGTCAATTTTAATTTAATTTTGTGCAAAGCAATCCCCTTGAAGGGGGGATGGAGTGTCAAGTGTGTCTCTGTCCCTGTCAATATATTTTCAAAGCAGTTAGTAAGGTTTGGGTCAATTTTAAATCCTCTTTAGCAGAACCATTGGGCTAAAAACAATACTAATGTGAAAGCTTTTTCATTAAGTGTAGAGATGTTTTTGAAGATTATGTACCCCTAATGTACTGATAGTGTTACATTAGAAGTCTAAAATTTGCAAGGAATAGGTGTAAAATCTTTTTAAAATCTACTTCTTAACAATCAGAAACTAACATACTGTCTAATTAATATGCAACATCGTTTGTTTTGTGTGTTGAATGATGATTCCATTTTGATAAAATTATGGCAGATGGGGGGGGGGGGGGGTAGGATGAAGATGCAGTTAGACATAGAAGAAAAAAAAGAGTTCATAGAATTTAGTTTTTCTTCCATTTTATTTATCAATACATATTTCTAAATAAGAAATATACTTCTACTTCTTGGTTTGGTTTGATCAACATAAAGGGTGATCTTGCTGTAGTCAAGAAAAACATGTTTCATACAGCAAAGAAATGCCTTTATCTAATTGCAGAATGAATAAAATGGACAGAGGCAGAACTGAAGGAGATGCATGAAATGAGGAATATTTCAAAGATTGCCTGTCACTAGGAGCATAACCACTGCTACTGGATAAACATATGGCAATATAAAAGAGCAGGGTCAATGGGGGTATCAAACAGTATAGGCCATGAGAGACCCTGAAGAAGAAAGTATTGAACAGAAACAAAAATAAAAGAATTTTGACATTTATTGAAATATAGGATCAAAGTCTTACATGTAAAATTTGGGCATGTAATGACTTTTCTCTAGCTCTAAGACTTATAACAGTGATGATTTGATTTAATATCTTTATCCCGATTTGTCGAAAAGATTTGGACATAGTGCATCAATTATTTTAAAGTTTTGATACAACGAATTCATTCATTGTACTTGTACCTGAACTGAGTTTTCTGGTGCGACACTGTTTTATCGGCTTCAAAACTAAGTTTGTGATTTCCAAACCAGATTAATGAGATCATGTTATATCTTTTAACATGAACTATTTAATCCATTCTTTTACATCTCAGAAGTATTTTTATTATTACAGGGAAAATATGCATTGTACATGTATCTGTAATAAACAGGATTATAGGAACTTTCCATGTAATACAACACAATCTTAGCAACTGAAGGCAAATATTTTATCAAGGGTGTGATCTATTTATCAATATGGTTTTCAGCATCTTGCTCTACCTGTAATGACTTGCTCCAAGTTCCAATATTTAAATTTAAATTTTGCAAACATGGTTATAAAATTCTTTAAAAGCCAAATAGTTTAGGCACAAAATTTTTATATATTTCCTATCATTTGTAATGTGTACACTGAATGAGATGTGGAATGTTAGAATTAAAGTATTAAATATGTTTGGGACTTATGTATGCTTATGCAGATAAATTTGAATTCAACTAGGGAAGGTAAATGTCATACTTATTGCGTTTGCAATCTAATGCAAAAGTATAAATATCCAAGACAAATTTGACAATTTTAATGAAGGGTATAAGTAACCCAAGAAGAATTGGACAGGTAAACATCACCTGTTGGGTTTTATTCTAATGTTGGGATGTAATATCCAAGAAGAGTTGAACCAATGTCCAATACCTATTGGGTTTTCTTTCTTATGAAAAAAAAATTGAGTAACCAAAGAAGAATGTCCAATACCTTTTAGTTTATATACTATTGAAGGGATGAAGATATCCAAGAGGAATTGGACAGGTGTCCATTACATGTTGGGTAGTATTCTGATGAGGGGATTCTCAAGAAACCCAAGAATTAGACAAGTGTCCATTGCCTGTTGGGTGGGATGTAGATATCCAAGAGGAGTTGGACAGGTGTCCATTACCTTTTGGGTGGTATTCTGATGAAACAATTCAAGAAACCCAAGAAGAATTGGACAAGTGTCCATTACCTGTTGGGTTGGATGTAGATATCCAAGAGGAGTTGGATAGGTGTCCATTACCTGTTGGGTTGTATTTTGATGATGCAGTTCAGGAAACCCAAGAATTAGACAAGTGTCCATTGCCTGTTTGGTGGGATGTAGATATCTAAGAGGAGTTTGACAGATGTCCATTACATGTTGGGTAGTATTCTGATGAAACGATTAAAGAAACCCAAGAAGAATTGGAAAAGTGTCCATTACCTGTTGGGTGGGATGTAGATATCCAAGAGGAGTTTGACAGGTGTCCATTACCTGTTGGGTTGTATTTTATGAGGAGATTCAAGAAACCCAAGAATTAGACAAGTGTCCATTGCCTGTTGGGTGGAATGTATATATCCAAGAGGAGTTGGACGGATGTCCATTACCTTTTGGGTGGTATTCTGATGAAACAATTCAAGAAACCCAAGAAGAATTGGACATGTGTCCATTACCTTTTGGGTGGGATGTATATATCCAAGAGGAGTTGGACAGGTGTCCATTACCTGTTGGGTTGTATTTTGATGAGGAGATTCAAGAAACCCAAAATAGAATTGGACAATGTACACATGTTCAATTGTAATTGGGTAGTTTAATCCCTTCGTCAAAATACAACCCAACAGGTATAGGACACCTGTCCAATGCCTGTTGGATACCTTCATTCTGTCCAACATGTAATGGGCATTTGCTTATTATTAATTGGTCATGACTCAAAAAGGTTTCTCCTTGAATACTTAATTTTGTTATTCAAGAAAGGTTGAACAGAGTCTGAGATGTGTTGAGTTGTGTTTTCACAATTCAGTTTTTTTTGCAGTTAGGTATTCATATATTTTAATATTAGTTATTTTGAAATATACAGGTGTATATCCTTATTGATAAGAACAAATTAGTTAGGTGTTACAATAAAAGAACTATATAACAGAAATTGACAAAAATATGGGTTCAAAACCAAAGGTTTTCAGTCTTGTCTGAATTTACCAGCAAATATTAAATATATAATAAATTTGAAATGAATAAAAAACAATAAGAAAAAACCCAATAAAATACGGACACGAGGATTAATATCCAATAATATTTGAACAGTAACTACCCAAATAATGCTCTCTCGTGTGTACACTTTTTTTGTATCCAATAAGCAGTATCCAATAGGACTTGGACTTGATGTACCCAATATATAACCAAATGTGTGTCCGTCCGTCCGTCCGTCTGTCTGTCCGGCCGTCCGTCCGTCCGTCTGTTACGCTTTGGGGTACCCATCTCTTATCCGCAACTCCTCTCATACCACTGAATGAAATTTGATAAAACTTTCACAGAATCTTTATTACATGTTGCCATTGTGCACCTCCTATTTTACTTTTTGATCCGACACATATTTTGGGTTTCCCGGCGACCGGAAAACATGACTTTTTCACCAGTTATAACCATATGGGAGGCGGGGGGTATCATTTAGTGAGCTAATCGCTCACAGTACCTCTAGTTATACATGTAACCCACAATGGCTGGGACTTTACATCTGTTCTGGATTTATACGGAAGAAATCTATATTTGGAAAAATGGATCTCATAATACACGGGTAGCACAGCTCTGTAGTACGCAGAATTTTCAGACCCCCCCCCCCCTTCCTCCACATGGAAAACGTTGCAACAGGCCTGTATCAAACTGTATTTGGAATGCTCTATATCAAATTATTTTTGCGAGCCTTGATGCACAAAACAAATGCCAGATTACAAAACTATATAGGCCAATCGGAGATAACATTTAAAATTTTTGCTATGAAGTACTGTCAGTCAAAGAGGGCAGATCATAATAGAAAATATGAACGAACCTACATGAATATTCACTAACCCTAGACATTTTTTCTTTAATTAAATTTCGGTTAGAAACACATGCATATGGTCCAAAAATAAGAAGGACTTGCAGAATATAGAATATCTACTTGAATTAAGAACTTCATTTAACGAATAGTTCTTGGTTTCAAAATATAGAATGTCTTCATTATACCCCCCGCTTGAAAAGCGGGAGGGTATATAGTAATCGTTAATTATTATACCCCCCGCTTGAAAAGCGGGAGGGTATATAGTAATCGTTAATTCCGTCCGTCCGTCCGTCTGTCTGTCCGGCCGTCCGTCCGTCCGTCTGTTACGCTTTGGGGTACCCATCTCTTATCCGCAACTCCTCTCATACCACTGAATGAAATTTGATAAAACTTTCACAGAATCTTTATTACATGTTGCCATTGTGCACCTCCTATTTTACTTTTTGATCCGACACATATTTTGGGTTTCCCGGCGACCGGAAAACATGACTTTTTCACCAGTTATAACCATATGGGAGGCGGGGGGTATCATTTAGTGAGCTAATCGCTCACAGTACCTCTAGTTATACATGTAACCCACAATGGCTGGGACTTTACATCTGTTCTGGATTTATACGGAAGAAATCTATATTTGGAAAAATGGATCTCATAATACACGGGTAGCACAGCTCTGTAGTACGCAGAATTTTCAGACCCCCCCCCCCCCTTCCTCCACATGGAAAACGTTGCAACAGGCCTGTATCAAACTGTATTTGGAATGCTCTATATCAAATTATTTTTGCGAGCCTTGATGCACAAAACAAATGCCAGATTACAAAACTATATAGGCCAATCGGAGATAACATTTAAAATTTTTGCTATGAAGTACTGTCAGTCAAAGAGGGCAGATCATAATAGAAAATATGAACGAACCTACATGAATATTCACTAACCCTAGACATTTTTTCTTTAATTAAATTTCGGTTAGAAACACATGCATATGGTCCACGTATTGTAGCCTTTTTTTAAAGGACAGCAACTTGTTTAACCTTTATTACACAGTTCTAATAGATGAAATAAGAATATAAAGTCCGCCGAGAACCTGTTTTATACGTAGTAACTCTCCTCATGCCCCTGTGCTAAAAATAGCGACATGTAATACAACTAGAGGTACTGTGAGCAATGAGCTCACTAAATGATACCCCCCGCCTCCCATATCGTTATAACTGATGACAAAGTCCATGTTTTGCCGTGGCCGGGACACCCAAAATATGTGTCAGATCAAAAAGTAAAATAGGAGGTGCACAATGGCAATATGTAATTAAGATTCTGTGAAAGTTTCATCAAATTTCACTCAGTGGTATAAGAGGAGTTGCGGATAAGAGATGGGTACCCTAAAGCGTAACAGACGGACGGACAGACGGACGGACGTACAGACAGACGGACGGACGGAATTAACGATTACTATATACCCTCCCGCTTTTCAAGCGGGGGGTATAATAAACACTGATAAAACAAACGGGGGGGGACACTTTGAGAAGAGTGAGAGAGGTTCTAGGGAGTTTTGGTATAAAATTACATTGCAAAAGCTCAAAATCCTCTTGAAATATCGCCCGGAAATGATAGTGTTATACACAGGCAGAATGCGTAAATCTACGACCTTGAACTTTGACCTCAAAATCAATAGGGGTCTTCCTTAGGCCATAGGGAGTTGTTATGTAAAATTTCATTGCAAAAGCTAAAAGGGTTCTCGAGATATTGTGCAGAAACGAAAGTGTTATAACAGAGAGAATTTGCGAATTTATTACCTTGACCTTTGGACTCCAAAATCAATAGGGTTCTTCTTTAGTCTATAGGGAGTTGCTATGACAAATTTTATTGCGAAAGCTCAAAGGGTTCTCGACATATCATGTGGAAACGAAAGCATTACAGACAGACATAATGACGGACAGACCCAAATTAATGTCCCCCACTTTTCAAAAAAATCATATCTGCAGCAGTAAAGCTACAAATCAACAAAAACAGAATTATAATTTTGCCACTTTTAATGCGATTCTTAAGTGCTGCATGATAAATATGAGCGATATAATGTAAAATTTGAAATAAACTTGCTAGATGAGCTTGCCATTTAATTTAATATTGATCTATCATTATTTATCATATAGGGTTATTGAACTTATATTAGTGAATATTGGCACGAGTTGGCTGTTCAAATGCACGAGCTTGCGAGATAGATCATCATTGATAGAGATTTCCTAATTCCTTGTAAATCTTTGTGTGCATCTCACAATTCCGTATCTGTCATTTGATTGGAAAATTATATTCCTCTAAACCCAAAAGTTCGTTGTATTATTTTTTCTTTTAACTAGAAACCTTTGAGGAAGACTTATTTGATGATGCTGTTAACCAATTAAGGAGGATCTCTACACCTGTAAAGTATAACTGATTTTTGTTGCATGCATTTGTTTCTAATAATAGGCCCCATATCCGATAAAATAAGGTTCCAAAGTATTTAATTTATTTTTTAGAAATATTTGAAATATTTTATTTATTTTGTTAAAATCCCTCATATCAATTTTTTTAAATGCCCATTGCTTTAAATTTCTCTTTAAAGTTTAGTGTTATAAAATATTGAAATAATAACCAACAAAGTTAAAAATAAAATCAACATAATTTTTATTTAAATTTACAAAAATAGACAAAAGAAAAAGTAAAACAGCATTTTCTTGAGAATAGCTGGTTGGATCCTCTTCAATATCTGAAAAGATATATAATATCAAAGGGTAAAAACAATGAAAAAAAGAAATTGAAAAAAAAATGAAAAACTGTCAAAAATTTATAAACATCACAAAAATTCAGGTGTGAGCGATCCGCTTTAAGAGTGGACTCAAATATCTTGGTACTGTTTTTTTTTTTATAAACTTCAAATAAACTATACTTGCACAAGTATTAATTAATGTCACGCAAGGACATTGAAAGAAGTTCGTATTGTACTTATATTGTTTTTCAATTAGTTTAAGCGAAAATCATCGCGTTTCCAGTCAATGACAAAGACATGTATTTAGTGAATTCATGGTATTGAGAAAGGTAGATTTACTTACCGTTTTTATCCAACTTGCATGTGTTATCCAGTGCTACCGGTATATATAACAAAACAAGTTAAGATGGTAAATGGCCAAAGGCGGTAAAAGAAATTCCTATAACCAAATGCACACTTCGTCTAAAACCTGCACGTTTCCCATACTTGTAAACAGCTGACAATGTTGATCAAACGTTTGGGTCATGCGAAATTTCACCGGGTATAACCATTCATCAAGATTCATTCGGGTGTATACAAATCGTGAACAGAGTATCCTCTAGTCTATAGGAAGAAAATACATGTCTTTTCTGATCAAATTTGCATTTTTGGGTGGATATATTTTTCTGGAAAGCATATATGCTTATTGAAGAAAGAAATTTCTGAGTGAATGGCGTTTTGACACGTAATAATGAATTAGCATATGGACAAGCCATGTTTTATATCATTTTTTTCTTACCTAAAAATCTTATTCTAATAAGTTTGTAAATGTATTATTTAATAATTAAATAAGTAGAAATGGAATAAATTGACAAACAATTCATTTTTAAAGAAAGGATACGTATTGGGCAATACACTACATATTAATTGATGTGATATAATGTACATTCCATCCACAATATCGCATGTTGTGTTATATAACTCAGTGATTTATCGGTGTTAGGTGAATTTGAATCTGATCATTTGGGATCAAAATGGCGTTTTTACGGAAGTACGCCATGTTGTGACGTTGTAGAGAGCCCCCTTAATATCTATTAGATAATCTATGTTTTGCAATCGCAAATGATTGTTTTCGGTGTTAAGTATAGTTTACGGTTGTGAAACATAGATTATCGCGTTAACTATAGTTTACAGATGTAAAATATAGATTAACGTTGTTAACTATAGTTTACAGTCCGTAAACTATAGTTTACAACCGATAAACCTATTTTATCGATTGTGAAACTACGATTAGCTCATTTTTGTGAATTTGGCGCGTGCCATATCTATCATATGATGGATATCTTTTTTCATTGTTTAGTCACGGTGGTGGCCAAGTGATTCTTGTCCCCCGCTTGAAAAGTGGGGGATATTAATTTGGGTTTGTCCGTCCGTCCGTCTTTCTGTCTGTCTGTAACGCTTTCCACACGATATCTCTAGAACCATTTGAGTTATTGCAATAAAATTTTACATAACAACTCTCTGTGGTCCAATAAAGACCCTTATTGATTTTGAGGTCAAAAGGTCAAAGTTCAAGGTCGTAAATTTACACATTCTGTCTGTGTGTAACACTATCATTTCCGGGCGATATTTCAAGAAGATTTTGAGCTTATTCAATGTAATTTTATACCAAAACTCCCTAGGACCTCTCTCATCCCTCTCAAAGTGTCCCGCCCCGTTTGTTTTATTAGTATTTATAGTATTACATGTCGCTATTTTTAGTACAGGGGCATGAGGAGAGTTATTGCGTATAAAACAGGTTCTCGGCGGACTTTATGTTCTTATTGCATCTATTAGAACTGTTTAATAAAGGCTAAATAAATCAAACACCATGGATTGTGTAAAATTTTGACAATACCGAATATGAATATATAATTACACATTTATCCCGCTTCAGACAAATTTGTCGATTACTGATTGGATAAAAGCTAATCACGTGACGCCCTGAAATTTTCCGTATTAGGTCTCCGTTTCCGTATTACGTCTCCGTCGAGGCGTAATATGAAAATCGGGCACGCGATTCCGTTCGAAGCGTTGTTGTTGTAAATAAAAATGGCGGCTAAGAAACGGTTTACGTAGGTAGTTTAGTTAAATTTCTTGTTACTGTAATGATATTTTATGTTCATTGTTATTGGATTAAAACTTAATATTTTCATAATATGCACAAATATTTTTTTTTAAGTCGAAAAAGGTCTTCAGCGGGATAAATTCGTTACACAGTCAGTTAGTGAGGCCAAAAAAAAAAAATAGTCTTGTTTCCTGCTACCCGACCGACCCTATTTTTGGGGGCCGACCCTAAAGTTTTTTTTCGATTCGGAAAAAAAATGAAATATTTCCGGAATTCGTTCTGTCACCGTTTTTGGCTCCCATGTTATAAATACAAAACAAAATTGCGGCTGCCATTGGAAGAGGCCAGCCTCATGTGCTCTCTGTTATTTTGGAACGGTGTCGCTACAAGGACACAAAAACAAGCGTAATAACAACCTTTTCGAGTACTACCACTTTAAATGATATCTTTGCTAGTGATCGATTGTCAGTTGTTAGAAGCTCTTCGATGCTACTCATCGATTATATTAAAAATAAATGTCGCCGACATCGCTAACAAAAAATAAAATTGTCATACTTTAATTTCATTACCAAATCCAAGTGCAAAGAGCATAAAAGTAGTGATGAATGTTTAAAACATGGAAGGATCCCGTGTCTTGTAGATACTTTTACCGCCATGATTAAATATGGGGTTAGACTAATACCAGGAAACGGTAATATTGCAAGTAAAGGAAAACATAATTAGTCTAGTCAATCTTTAAACGTAATTATCACCATAAATACATGTCTAACTTCTGGATAATTACTTTTACAACTTGCAATTTCAACTAACTGAAACTAATTTTAAGAAATAAATACATACATATATTAAATGAAAGGTGGGACTAATATCAGTAAAATACCCATTGCATGGACTTTATTAAAAAAATTAATTTCCATTCTGTTTCAATAGTCCTATATTGTTTAATGTAAACAAAATACTATTTTCCACTTTTTAAAAAAGAAATTTCAATTAACATTTGTTCTAACTTGATTTAGCTCCTGTTCACTAAAATATTTCACTTAAATTACAAATGTACATGTATTCAGATTCATCATCTTTGTTTGTTTTTTTTTTGTTTGTTTTAGATTTCAAATAGTAAACAACGATAAAATTAACCTGCTCAGAAATCAAATACAGTGTAATCTAACAAAGTTCATGGTTTCTGTAACACATATGGTCCTTCGCTGAGTTTTTAAAGGAATGATTGTTCGATTATCTACTTGACAAATACCTTCATGTTCCATAACTGAAAAAAAAAATTCTGAGAAAACTAAAAGAGCTTTCTACACAGTGTACTGCATATTATAAAATACCTCTTGAGTTGTTGTGCATCAAGATATGAAATTTAATTGTAAAAGATTATATTGAGTGACTTGTGATATGTTTAATTTGATCATGTATTCAGTTCATATCCAAAAAATGCCGTCGGAAAAAAATAAAATAAAAAAATAAAATAAAATAATTTTCCTACCTACCTACCCTATTTTTTTTAGGCTGGTAGCAGGAAACAAGACTATTATTTTTTTTGGCCTGACCTAATACGGATTCATACATTTAGACGAGACATATCGGTTTTACCAAAATAAAGTTTATATTATTTGATGATATTGAGGGTAAATACGGCTGAAAATATAGCGGAATTTCACTATAATAGTGATATACCACTATTATAGCGGAATTTACGTTTCCCCCAACCTGATATTAAAAAGAATCTTCTATACACATGATAAAGAATAAGCAATTAAATCTTTATATCCATAATGGTATATTTTATTTGCTTCAGTATACATGCATGTATACATTAATAATTCTACAAATTCAGTGAGGGGGATCCAACTCTCCCCCTCCCTCCCCCCGAACTTCGCATGTTTTACTTTTTCCTTAAGCGGGGGACACAAATTCTCTGAATTTGCTTGTTTATGCTACATTCGTGTTGGGGGGTCTTGACCATACAGTTTCTTTCTCAGATAAAACATTTGACATTTGTTGGCAAACTCTGAACTATCTTTCAAAACAATATGCAAACAAAAAAGAGTAGAGTTTCCATGCCAAGAGTTTTGCCCAATTACATAAAGCAATAATAAAACATATCACTATAAAATAACATCTCTGATAAATTTTTCGCAAAAATAGATTTTCTATAAATAATAGACTTTATAGTTTCCCATAGAAACTATATTCTCATCTTTTTGAATATATCAGAGAATACATGTGCTTAATATAATTCGTTGCTTATGTAAGAGCGTTGTTGCCTATAATCACAGGCATGTGGTTTTTGTATTTGAAATTTTCTCCTATCACATCATATTATTTCAGGAAGTTAAGTTTCTCGGGAAAATGGCTAATATTATTAGATTTGACAGATATTTCACTTCTAGACTGCAGGTTAAGTTATGATGAGGTTATGAAAATGTCCGAGGACTTACAAATTTGACAGTTATAGCCTTCCCAGCCTTGTGCGCAGCCGCTGGAACAGATACCAAGGATACTGTCGCACGCTTCACTGATGTCTGCGCAGTGACACTCTTTTTCACAATTTGGTCCGAAGCGCCATGTTGGACAATCTGAAGACAGAACAGATACATATAAGATATGTCATTTGGTTATACATGCTCCTTGCCATATTACAATTATGCAATTCAAAATGCATAAAAAATCAAAGTACTCAGAAGTACAGAGAGCCGGGCTCATTTACAGAGTAGAATGGATTTCTTACATGAATCACGTTTATATTTTGATGAAAAAATTATTTTAAAACTATCACTATAAATGATAAGACACTGAAAGTGAGTTTTTCAATCCTAATACCACGGTCCGATTTTGTCAGAATCAGAATTAATCTGGTACCGCAGACGAATGTAAACAAACAGGCCAGTCTAGTTCCCTCTCCTGCTTTACCTTGTATGTGTAGAGAACTACGGTAACACTGATTATCAAAAATCCTTACGCTAATGAACTATGTTCTTTGACTTATGAAGTTTTCAAAGTCATTACTACTGATGTTTATTTTATATAGATAAAACTTCGTGTTATTTTTGTTGCTTTATTTAGCGTTTGTATTATCTCAAAAGCGGTTGAGAGTAAGAACTATATTTTTGCGCGTAACTTTAAAATGGCGACTATGGGGTCAACATCCTGCCTTGAACAGGATCACATAAGCCGGCAATTGCTCTTTGAGCAATAAGCCCGGCTAAAAATTATTCACAACAAGAATAGTTAGCGAATACAAATGGGAACACATGTATAACAACAGACGCGTTAATGCATACAAGAGGCCCATGGGCCTTATAGGTCACCTGAGTATCATGTAACAACTTTCCAACAATTGAATTTGGTTCTGTTTTTAACCAGAGGCCATGAAATTCACAATTTTGAAAGAGGCACCATTGCTTATCATAATTATAAACTTAGCATGCTTACTCTATTTACTTAATACCCAGAGGTAGATCAGAGTAAAAAAGAGAAAATGCACTTCCACTTTATAAACAGTTGTGCACCTCACCCCAAAGGAACAACTGACCCTGGAGCCATGAAATTCACAATTTTGGAAGAGGCACTCTTGCTAATCAAAACTATGTACTAAGTTAGTTTATCTAATACCTAGGAGCAGAGAAGAAGATTTTCAGAGAATTAATGCATTTTCACTATATAATCAATAGAGCCCCGCCCTAACACAAGAACCCCTGACCCTGGGGCCATAAATTTCACAATTTTGGAAGAGGCACTCTTGCTTATCATAGCTATGTACTTAGTTAGTTTATTTAATACCCAGGAGCAGAGAAGACGATTCTCAAAGAATTAATGCATTTTCACTATATAATCAATAGTGCCCCACCCTAACACCAGAACCCATGACCCTGGGGCCATGAAATTCACAATTTTGGAAGAGGCACTCTTGCTCATCATAACTTTGTACTTAGTTAGTTTATTTAATATCCAGGAGCAGAGAAGAAGATTTTCAAAGAAATAATGCATTTTCACCATATAATCTATATAGCCCCGCCCTAGCACTAGAACCCCTGACGCTGGGGCCATGAATTTCACAATTTTGGTAGAGGACTCAGTGCTCATTACATTCATGCCAACAGTTTGCCTGCTTGATGTCCAGGAGTAAAGAAGAAGATTTTTAAAGATTTCATTAATTTTGGTGGTTTTGGCCCCACCCCTCAGGCCCCAGGGGGGCAGGAACCATAAAATTCACAATTTATGTTTCCCTTCACCCATAGATGCTGTATACCAAATTTGGTTGAAATTGGTTCAGTGGTTTCTGAGAAGAAGCTGAAATTGTTCAAATGTTAACACACGACGGACGACGGACGAAAACGAATAGCAATAGGTCACCTGAGTGACTCAGGTGACCTATAAAAGGAAATAAGAGCAGTTTGTTATTAATGTAAAATTGCAGAGAGGTTCAGCATTTTGACGATAAAATAGTTAATAATGTGCAATATCCCATTGAAAAGGAGTGAATAACTAAGTGAAATACGGATCCATGTGTTAGGATTACTGTGAAACCTTCCCTAAAAGGCTATCAAGTACGATGTTAAAGACTAGATGGGAAGATACATCACATAGGAAAAGTATGTTCATTTAATTCAGGGATCATAAAATAACACTATTAAACGTCAGTTATTTCTCTTTCTGAGATAGAGGGATTTTTTATGTCAGACATACAGAAATGGTTTCAGACACGCATCAAGCTAGGTTCTGATGCTGGATATTTAAACTGCAGAAAGAAGCCTTGACAGCCTTGTGACACGCAAGTGCCACCTACATGTGTCTGTGGTTTTTCCCCTGATGTTTTTCACTTCTTATTCTTTTATCATTATGTACATAATCTAGTCTCGATTACTGAGGTGATAATTTTAATTAATGAAAATAAGACTCGAAAGGAATATTGCCATGAAGATTCTTATTAGGCATTCAAATTTACAGTTTGAAAATACTCACAACGCTGGCTGTGGCTTCAAAAAGTTTTTAAATAAGTTTTTAAGTTTTTAAATGTTTCCATTTATATATAATATATAAACGTAAAACATATCTTCATATAATAATATAAACAGTTTTAGAGATTGACCATGTAGTAATTTACCAAAATAAGATAGCAATACATAATATAAATGTAACCAGAAGTCGCTGTCAAGACTGTAGCTCTACTGGTTTGTACTTATAATAAAGAAAGAGAAAAGTAGCAGTTGGGACTTAAAACTTTACAAAAGCAATAAATAGAATAACTAGAGCCGAGCTCGTTGCAAAGCAACGAGTAGGTCTTCCGTCGGAGCTGCGGACAGAGAGAAATGACCTTGGGTCAAGGTCATGCCATGTTCTAATTTTAAAGCAATCTTTTAAGGGTAGATATCATCTTATGTTTTACTATTATAAAAAGGATATTAAAGGAATGTTTGCGACCTTGACCTTGTCAGAATGACCTTGGTTCACACCATGACACACGCTGGTGATGAGCATATCCCATTTGTGTGCTACCGTATTGACAAATTCACACGTTTTTTCAAACAACGCATCCAGCCAAAATATCTTATCATAAATGACCTTGATTTAAGGCCATAACACATTTTGCATGATTTAAGCCATACCTTTTATTTAGATAGACCTTGTCACAGCTAATATACATGTGTAAAAAGTTATGGTCAATTATAAGCAATTTTTAAATTTTGGAAAAGCCGGATAAACTTCAAGGTCAGAGTTCATGATAGACTAGTATTTGAAATAATTTTATCACAGGCTACGTATAATTATGTGATGTTTGTGTAATATGAAAACCTTATCTCTTCTCATTAAAAAGTTATGATCAAGCCTCAAGGTCAAGTTGTCAAAAGTCAGTGTATTTAGAAAAGAGTTGTCTTAAGTAATACACAGGGATAAAATAAAAGCCCTGTCTCTTCTCATTCAAAAGGTATGAGTATTGTTAATGTTTTTGAAAAGCAGGTCAAACTTCAAGGTCAAAGGGTAAAAAATCAGTGAGTTTTGAAAGGTATTGACACAGTTAATACATTTTTATAAAATGGAAGCTTTCAAAAGTTAGGTCAATTTAAAGTAATAATGTTATTTTTGCAAGTAGGTCAAGCTCCAAGATCAAGGTCACAGGGTCAAAAATCACAGTATATTTGAAAATCAGATGTCACAAATAATGCACATTTGAAATATCAAAGTCTTATTTCAACTCATTCAATAGTTATTATCAAGTTTAAAGTTCTCGTGAGAGATGGACAGACTTGCTGACGAATAAGGTTTAATGTTCTCTAAAAAAAATAAATACATGTAATTCGAACATGATAAATTGAGAAATACGAATAATAATTTAAAAAAAATTAGAAAATATTAGAATATAAATCAGGTTTCCTACATGAGATTTCCTGAAAGACTTATTAATACATATTATTCAAGTACATGCAAAACATGTACGTTGGAGGTTCAAGACGCGGAGACCGGTCATTTCGATGAGAACATATACACAACTGTCTCGTTACGGGGTAGGTGATGTCATAAAAGGATTAAATTCGCCTGATTCCACCTCTGATTTTTTTTTTAAAGTCCGTCTTTGCGCTGCTAGTGCTTTATATTGTTTAAACAGAATTTAATTTTATGAAAAGAATTATTTTAAATGCTTATTTTTGACATATGCTTAAATTATTTACCAATGAATTTGAGTTTAAATAGTAATCAAAGTACTGAAAGTACTGAAAAGCGTTTAGCATGCTTTCATCTAATATGTACCGAAAATGTGCATGAAATGATGATATTTAAGTATGCATATCTTTGTCCAATGTCATCAGAGAACCAAAAAAAACAGACATTCTGTTTTTGTAATACTTTACTTAATAGTAAAACCAATAACATTCCAAACTGATGTCACAGATGGATGCAATCTAATTAAAATTAGATGTTCCGAATCCGCTACTGCTTCTCAAACATCTAACAACATCCTATTTGGGGTCATGTAAGAGTGAATCTTCGATTAGCCAAACAAAATGGTTCCTCCGAAATCTTGGCTTATAGTTCAGATGGGTTTCTTGTTTTCACCACCGAACCAAAACACCCGTTTGTGCTCTTTCGTTTGCATTATTCACGTTCAGATGCCAGACTGCAGACTATACATGAAATTTATTCCAAAATTACTTTAATTCAACGTAAGACAGCATCAATAACGATGTTATGTAGCCGTGGAATTAATTTGAGAATTGTTTACCGAGGCTTGAATCTACATGGCCAAAGTGTTTGTGTTTACTAGTATATGTATTCATAATCGAAAGGTCGCTCTGATGTGACCCCGAATGGGATGTTAGATGTTTGAGAAGCGGTAGCGGATTTGGAACATTTAAATAAATTTTAATTAGATTGAAATGCATGTTTGAAATTTAAACATGAGATTTCTTCAGTTTGAAAGACAGGAAGTGCATTTTTAAAAGTTCTCTCTTGGTGGCATCCAATCGTTCTCTGGATGAAAACAATTATGTTGATGCTGAAAATTTAATTGTCTTTCATGCTCTGTTGAATCTGAAATTAGGTAATTGTAAAGCCTACTATAGCAAACAACTAAAAAAATGACAAGTTAAATTCTTTAGATTAATGGATTTGGAGTAGTGTAGATCTACAGTTGGCTAGTCAGAGAAAAAAGGATGGCTGAGCAGAGACTTTGTAAATGAATTGATATCAGAGAGCTCCAGATGTGTAGGCTCACTGCGGGTGTAACCTGTAAACGAGGGATGCTTACTTCTTCTAGGCAACGGATCCCATCTCTTGAACTTTCAGGAATCAGCTTTTCATCTTAAATCGATCATTGATCATTCTGTATTTTGATACAGATACTGAATACTTCCGTTTAGTAATATTATGAACTACTACTTCTACGGGAAGACTGGCGAGTAAACAAGATTATCAAGCTTTTTGAAATGTACTTTACTGACTTTTCAAACAAGTAAATGTTCGAATAAAGTAAATGGTATATGAGAATCATTTAAAAGAAGCCTTGCACAATATGTCTAGATAAGGACATATAAGGTGTATTTGCCATATACTCTTCATGCAATATTGTTCTCAAATAAAACATGTGAAAAGGAAAGTTTCTAATCAATCAATACAGTCTAGTATTTAAAAATTCAAATGTACACTAAAAGTCAGTGTAACTTAAGAAGTTATCAGTGTCACTTTCTTCAATATGTCGGATAAACAATATACACTGATTTCTTTTCTAACAATGTGCCTCTAAACACCTGTATTTTAATTTAATTCTTCTTAAACACTCAAAATAATAATCGACAAATTGGACAAATTCAAATTTAAAAAGTATTTTCTCAGCTAATAATACGTTCCTTAGGAATTGAACAAATTTTCAAAACTTATAAATAAGCATTAAGTATATATCTTAAATTTTTGCTGATTGCCAAGATTTTTCATACCTTATTCTTCTGTGAATAATAATATCGGTTGATTTTTAGAAGAGAATCACAATGCCGATTAAAGTTAATATATATTTATCCATTTTTTTTCAAAATTAATTTTACTACTTTAAGTGCCCCATTATTTTTTTTCAAAACTAAAAGTAAGTGATCCCTTATGATCGTTTGTCATAAATTATCAAAGACGGAGTAGAGAATTTACCCCTGGGAGCAGAGCTTTTATAATCTGTTTATTAGACAGAGAAGAAAAGAGAAGAAAACAAACGTTTCATTGTGGAGGTAATCCTATTGTTTCCAAAACGTTACAAAAAGTGTAAAACGTACAGATGTATTCGGTGTTTTTATAAAAGCGTTTTTCAGGTATTACTAAACTTAATAAATGGTGTTTCTTAATACTTTGGCAAGGAAAATCAAACTCGATCGAGAGATTTGCTGATGTTTTTGCAGTCTGTAATAACCTTCAACCTGCTGTATAATTAACCGCATCGTTCAACTTTCAAAAATAAACTAACAGTTGCTATAAATCGCGATCGCACGATGTACATGTAATAAGGACCAAATTCTCAGTTCTTTGAAGTTAGTGTTCTAAGTATTGTCAATGCTTTGGTAAATACTAATAAGAATTCGATATAATCGTTATAATAGCCACTCTTCATACACAGCTTATTGTCAATCTCTCACCAGGGGGCGTATTACGCCAACAGTATACAAATCATAGGAAGCGCTTTGCTGAAGTTACCGTTGTCGATAGGTAGCGCCTTGTGGAAGTTTCCGGTTTTGGTTGCAGAAGGATAAGGTTACGTGCCATAAAGCGATGTCGATAGGTAGCGCCTTATGGAAGTTTCCGGTTTTTGGAGGCCCATGCCATAAAGCGGTTAGCTAGCTAACCGCTTAAAAAGGAATTTGTCACTCAGTATTTATCGGTCCTTCGGATGAGACCGTATAAACCGAGGCCCCGTGTCACAGCAGGTGTGGCACGATAAAGATCCCTCCCTGCTCAAAGGCCGTAAGTGCCGAGCATAGGCCTAAATTTGCAGCCCTTCACCGGCAATGGTGACGTCTCCATATCAGTGAAATATTCTGGAGAGGGACGTTAAATAGTATACAATCAATCAATCTAAGGAATTAGTGTCAATCCTCTACATCAAAGAGCGTCTGACTTGTATGAATGATATAAATTGCGTAAATGTGTTAACTGAAATTTGAGTGAATCCCGTATGTTGTGTGAGAGAGTCAGTTTTTAGATCCGCCGTGGACTATCCCGGACGTAAACATTAGATGTACTGGACATTCCATCATCAAGAAAATATAGTTTTACTCTGGACTATTCCGAGTTACCAATACGTTTGTGTGTGTGTCTGTGTGTGAGCTTTACAACATGTCTTTGTTTTCTGTGACTTGATTTGATTTATTTTTCAAAATACAAACTTTAACTTTTTATTGCTTGACTTACGTTTAATAAATTTTCATCAAAAGTTAACTTGTGTTACTTTAACCAAATATATTCTATTAAAATAATGATTCCATCTTCTTTGTTAACTTTAAATTGCTAGAAATATAGTGTAAAAATCCAGAATGAAAATAAAGAATGTTAGAAATGACTTATTAATTGTCGGAAATGCAATGCAAAATTCCGGAAATCAAATGCAGCAAAAACTGGTACCTCCACTTACCCAAAGAAACTAATACATGTAGTACATGTACACATTTCGATGCTCGATTGTACACTCTAATCGGCACAAGTTTTAGAAATTAAAACGTTTATATATATATGAAAGTTTAGTGACGCATACTAACCTTTTTTTCATTTATTTGTTAACCTGCGAATAAAAAAAATGTCGCGTATGATTATTGGTTAACATTATAATAGGTTATGGATTAATCATGGATTTCAACACCAGTCCTGACCTGTACGTACCTGAACAAACTAACCAATTAACATCGACTTTGAAGGAAAACATTGTACATATCATTTGAGGGAAGGGGGGTTACGTATCGCGATGAGAGGAAAATTTTAAATAATCTCTTTCAGTCCAATAAACACGAAAGAATGGCTTGGAATATTTGTATGCAACTACATGGCTTTCTCGGAAACAATTTTGCATTTGTTAAAAAAATTTCTGATTATTCATTTTTTTCTCTCGTATTCTGAAAGCTCGGAATGTATATATTTTAGGCGCTCTTCCGTGTAAAACAGCATGTACTTAGTTACAATCATGTACCCGTAAAACGTGTCATAGTGATATTCTTTTTATTCGAGGAAATAAAGAAATACATTCGGTACAATACAATTATAAGTTATGTATCAATTAATGCAAAACTCAAAGTTGCTACATTTAATTTTCGATTTTCATGAGAATTGGAAACGTCACTTCCACTTACGGTGCGCATTTCAGGCGCGTAGCATCGTTTTTGGAAGTGGGGGGGCCAACCTGAGAAAATTTTTGTTTACTTACCTGAAAAAGTTGACAAGCAAAAAAAAAAAAAAAAAAAAAAAAAGGAAAAAGTTAAATTGCCCAAAGTCGAAAATCCGATTTCGGGGGGGGGGGGGGGGGGGGGGGGGGGGGGGGGGTTAGTGGCTAACTTTTTTCAAGACCAACTATCTTTCAATTCAAACTTTTTGGGGTACATTTTCTTTCTAACACTACCCTTTGCTGAAATGTGGGGGGGCCAACCTTCCTTTCAGTAAACATTTTCTATATTAAAGGTAATGTCGGCAGAAAAAGTGGGGGGGGCCTGGCCCCCTGGCCCCCCCCTGATACTACGCCCCTGCATTTGCTATGTTTATTTGTATTTGCTAATTTAAACAACATCGCAAATTTTTCTGATATAAAGCAATTAGAATAACTTTATATAGGCCCGTATGCGTGTAACGATTGCAATTACTTCAAAGTGGAGGGGGAGACGGGGCCTAAAAAATTCTCGTACTACATGTGTTCCTTTCCAATAATAGAATAACCCGTACAAATCAAAAACAAGTTGCAGTATTGATATCCCCGATTTTTTAAATAACGAGTCCATTATAGTCTCGTTATTTTTTAAATAACGAGACTATAATGGACTTCACAAGGGTAGAATTTAACATTAATTTAGACACATTCACTATCAATTAAATTCACTATCAAAATTGGCAGTTATCGATAGGTCATCCTGTGTCACCTATCAGTGTAACCAATGAACTCGTCCAGATACCTGAGCAGCAGCACATTTTATTCGTCAAAGAAAAGAATCCGACATTTAACACTTTTAAATCTTTGAATACACATACACGTTCAAGAAAACCTGTATATTTGTGTCTAGAAATATTCTTACGATTAACGCAAATAACATATTTTCTTGATTTTTTAACAATCTAGGACTCGAGTGAAAATCAAAGAGCGATAATGTTGACCTCACGAATGTGCGATCGATCAACGGCTTTCATAACAGTATACACACACAACAGTCAGGGTCCGCGGAAAATTCACGATGCATGAATTAAATGACAGTGAATTATCTTAAGCTTGAATTATTTTTTTGTTAAGGTCTTCCGTTTCCAACAGAAGACCTTCTACTGATTCTGTTGGTAAAGATTATTAGGGTCTTTCGCTTCCTTCGGAAGACCCTACTGTTATTCTATTGTTTCTTATTATTCTTTTTTTTTCCCGCTCGATTTTTGACCGGCGATTTCTCAAAGACCTTTGGACTGATTTTTATGAAACTTTCAGGTTAGATACCTTGTAGTTAAACCTATTTACACCTGTTTTCAATTTTTTGATGCATGCCTTTATTTGTGAGTTATTGCCCTTTAATTGATAATTTTTGATGTCTCGTTAATTCCACTAAAAATCTCAAGAACGAAATAAGATATTTACACGAAAGTTAGACAACTTGTTGCCAATACATTGTAGATGTGCAGAACGATAAAATTATAAGATGATTTCTTAAAGTTTGGAAGCTATAAAACGGCAAATTTTAGTAATTTTTTTTTCCTTGAATTTTTGCTACTTTTTATGTAATAACTTTTGAACCATGAATAATTTGGTAAGAGATATATAACAAAAGTTGTGTGTAATTACGAGAGCTTTCATATTAGATTAATGAAAAGCGGCTGGCCCCTATAATTAGGGGTTAATAGCTCATACACGTTTTTTTCTGATAGCTAAAAATATTGGTATATTATGAAAAAGTTTGACTGAAATAATTTCGAACTTATTAAATCTTGTCATTTGATATAAAAAGAAATAAACTTCAAGCTATATTTAATTGTTTTTTGTAATAAAACAAATATGTGAGAAACCCTTCAGGAACAAGTTGTCTACTATAGCCAGCCAAGCCTTTACTGCATGTGCACAGTTTTAGTTGATGCATCTGAAAGATATAGTTTTGATTCGGTGTTTCTCTGTTTTCTTTTTATTCAAATAATTTTAAAGTGTGGTGATGTACACAACAATAATTAGTTTAGAGGATTTTTTTCGGGGTCTCTTGTTTGTAAACAACGCGCGGCATTGTGGGAAATAGGAAGGTACTAAAGACGCGATGTACTAAAAACTGATTTGACCTGATTCAAAATTGTCTGTAAATATTCCAAACAATTGAATTTTTGTATAGCATAATGCATCAAAGTCATAAAGTCTTTACATAATTTATTTAAAATACTCAATATTATCATTTAATTAAAAATTAAAACGCCAGGTAAATATCAGATCTTTAGTATATCCCGTTTTTAGTGTGCCCCATCGAGTCGACACATGTTTACAAACTGAAAATAGAAATGATTTGTGAAGTTGAACATTTTCTCATCATAGAGGCCGTATGTAGACATGCATTCACGCACATTTAATCTGCAGCTACGAAGTACTTTGTCACTCCTCTGGGACATTATTCTAAGCAGAATTATCCCGATTCATATATTCTAAGAATCTTGTGTGAATTGTTTACGAGGAAATTCCGACTGTCACATTAACAAGGATGAACACTCTCGACTCTGCTTGGGATTTCCCAGTGATAATTGTATCGAGTGCTGAAAGAGCTGACGGCGACATTTTAATGTATGATTGGCTTGGACCATTGAAATGAAGGTTAGAATATTTTTTTACTTAAAATTTACACTACAGTACTGATTACATGACAGCTTAGTAATAGAGCATTGATATTATTAGAAATACACAGACACACCGATATATTATCTGTTTTACTGTTCAGACGCTCTCTGTTAGCCTTGTCAATCCCCACAGCTTTATATTTTATTTTTTTTTTTAAAATTGAGGATGTAATTTCCACTTAAGTCTCGCTTTCAAAACCAAAAATGCAAAAATTCCAACACAACAGTCATACTATCTATCATAGTGATCATACTCTATAATTCAAACTACACTTATTGTTACAGTATATATTCAACTAATAATATATTGACAGTGCGACTGTTCGGGTGAGGGCAGATACTTATTCAGTTTTAATTTAGATCAGGCTTGTCAAACCGCATAGGCATGCGTAATGGCAAAATTAAATCAAAATGCTTCATATTGGTGGTCAGCTTAAAGTACTTGTGCTATTTTTGAGTGAAAAACTTAAGAAAATAGTATTAATCACTAAAATGGGTGTTCAGACACTGTGACATTATGTCAAATACATCTGCTTCTGCTGTAGGTAACATGATTTGTAAAAGATGTCATAATACCCATACTGACGCCTGACTGTAGAAGTAAAATTTTAATTCGCATTTGTTTTCTTCGCATCAGCTGTCATGTGAACACAGTTTGATTTACATTAATTTGATTCGCATTAGTTTACTTCGTGATAATTTACTGCGAATTCAACTCTACTTGTGAACAGGGTAATAGACTCTGAAGTCACATGTCGTCGTAGTGTAAGTGACTAAGTTAGGCCTACATAATAGGGGTGCAGCGATACACCTACCCCACGGTATGATACGTATCACGGTATTCAGTTCACGATACGTATCACGGTACGTGACATATTGTGTTAAAGAGTCAGAGGTTTGTCATCATATACTTTAAACTCAAAGGTTTCATCAAATGTTTATTAAACTAACACTGGGAAAGTGATAACATCATTTGACCCGTTTAATATGAGGCTGGAAACAGGTTTAACTGCCATGTCTGCAGTTTCATTGACCTCATTTTTCATGCAGAAGCCATTTTAAAATTGTAAATGAGGAACCAAAACAGACAATTTTATATAATTGCGGACCGATTGAACCGAACTGTGATAACAGTTTGAGGTATCGTGAAACGAACAGGGGAAAAATAAACCGCGGTATACCGTCAAACGGTTTATCGTTCCACTCTTACTACATAACCAGTCTAAAGCTTGAATATAAGTGCTGATTTTAATGTCAGAGCAATGTTTTTATTCACTATTTATCTCAATTTATCCATTAAATTAAGGTGAGTTTTATTTTTTGGAATATTTTGGTAATTAATTCTTACAAGAATGTAGCTTAAACATGTTAAAGAAGCAAAGCACTGTGGGTCCAAAGTTAACTGCGGAAACATTATATGGATCAATGTGCAAGTCACAATCTTCTTTTGCCAAGGTGTTATCATAAGAGCTCGCATTATGAGCAGGGATTTGTTCTGCTGTCTGGACTCGCTATAAATAGATGTTCTCAAAGTCTTAATTAATATCATACTTTATTGACAAAAAAAGGACAAATATTGCTCAGTTAAATTGCAAAAGAAATTTGTTTAAAAAAAAAAATGTAATAATAGAAAGTTTGCTTTTTTGTATGATAAGACTGCAGGAATGGTTTATTTGTTTATTGGCCTATCAAACATTTTTCAGTCATTTTATGGTGCCACCACTTGGGATAGTATTAGCTGCAAATATAGATTTGTACTCAGCACTTATTGCCTTTGAGAAGTATGGGATCCTCTTTCTGCCAACACCTGCCGTGACACGTCAGAATCTTGGTTTATACAGTCTCATCGGAGTAACCTGTCTCAAGCATTTAGCAATGGGATTGGAACCTGTGACGTAAGTTTCAGCTTCTTACTGATATTTTGATTGATAATATTTATTTGAGAATTTCACTCATTCACATATTTAGAGATGTTAATATGTACTGTAACAGTTGAAAAGCATCAATTTAGACCTTTACTTAGAACTCAGGGTCATTGTCCTAAGTGAACATGTACTGTGAGGTTTTTAATGTCTCGTTCACTTTATATGCCGGGTGCATTGTTAAGGAACATTACTGCGTAAATGTTTATGTCTTAAATTTGATGCAGTGAATTAAAATCAAGCCCAGCTTCATGATTTTGCAAAGCGAATGCCCTACCACTAGGCTACCATAACAGACAATGATGTATTTGGGTTTTATTATATAGCTAATGATTAGTCTCTAATAAAATACAACCAACAATCTAGAGAATTTTAGCATTGACGTTTTATTGAACGCTAACTTTGTATAGCGTATATAAGTATGCCCGAAACATTCCGCATACGAGCGTTCAATATCGAACGCCTCGTTGTAAACAAAAAAAGTTGTCTAGTCAAATCCTCAGAGCTAAATTAACGAAATTTAGTGGCATTTACATAAGATGTGTTTATTTTTCACACAAAATGAAATTATTTACTAAAAATTTTGTGCGTATTAAACCCATTAAGCAAATCATATCACTCAATTGAGTCATCAGAATGATGTTATATTGAACGCTTACAGGACAGACGTTAATTTGAATAACGCTATTTGAAAAATCATTAATTTGAGTTTTTTTAGTTGAAATAATTATCATAAATTACTATAGATGTACTTTTTCCCACGGGGTCATAATTCCACAGAATCTCAATTTCTGTTTAATCTGTGGGTAGAAAATTATGCAGATTTTTTAGACAGTCACTGTATGCCTTACATTTACATTAAGTACGCTTGGACAAATTTCCGAGGAAAATGTGTGACCGCGTACATAGAGTAAATTAACATAACGCAGAAAAATGTACTACAGTCTACAGTCTGGGAAATGTTTTTGCCATATAATGAAGGAGTTATGAAAATTATTGTGTCCTGATAAGACGATTTGTAAAAGTGTAACAGCGTGTTAGGAACAATGTGCCAACACAGTGTTCGCAACACTGTCAGGCAAAGGCAACTTAAAACAACATGCACACAAAACATGCTTCCATGGTAACAAAACTTTACACAGTCTATTATGTGTAAGGTTGACGGTGTGGTGTAAACAGCCTGCTGAAACATTTTTGAAACCTTGTCGTCATAAACACACTAGCCGATTGTCATAAGCGTTGTAGTGTATTTTTACTTCAAGCTAGCGTGCAAGTGTATTAAACCAGCTAGCATGTTGTCATAAACTTTGTATAGCATGGTGTTATAAAGGAGCTAGAGCCGCATTTTTACTTTGCGCTAGCTCATCGTTCCTTATGCGATAAATTTTTGTGACTTATGTTACTTCATTAGCACACTGTGCCTAATGTAACACTTTTACAAATAGATATATCTTGATACATAAAAATTATAATCAAATGCCATCTTTCTGATTGATTAATCATTAAACAACTGTTAACCATTACCATTCCTAAAAAAATTTTTATGAACAAGTAATGTACATTTCCCTTATTTGAAATCATGAAAATCTAATGTGTTATTTTAAAACATCCTCAAATGACTGCTTATAAACCTATATTCATAATTATTATAGAGTAGTTTTACAAATAATACACATGCAGAAAATGTGATACTATCTTTGAACTCAGTTTGATGGTTTATCTTATCTTATAAGTTGCACTTAAAAAAAAAAATCAATGAAAAATTTCAATTTCTTTTTGATAGGTGTGACTGTGACTGTCATCTGAGTACTGAAATTTGCTGCCAAGCAATGATTTGATCATGATTTGCCAGAAGAGCATCTGTTGGGAGATCAGATGACAAAGTATAAACAGCGTAATGAAATTGAAACTGTCATGTGAAACAGTCTCAGTTTAAGAGGATGACTTTAAATATAGCATATTCGAATTTAGATTTGAGAAAAAGACAAATCCACAATTTGACAAATATGAACATATCAATTGCTTTCAGTTTTTCAAGAGAAATAGATTTTGTTACAGAATCTAGTATGTTTAGTTTGGAATAAATGTTCTTGTTAAATGTGTCAGATCTTGCATGTTTACATAGATATGTATTAAGGTCTTCCGTTTCTAAGGGAAGGCATACCAATGCTAATGGTTAAGATGATAAAGCTCTGTCTTCAGCAGCAATATTTAAGATATAATATGTGTATTTTTACAGTATTATTGAAGGAAAGTTACTATTTTGGCATAAACAACTACACCATTAACATATGTGCATTTTTCAGCACAAAGGACATGTACATGTTGTTTCAAACATAAGATCAAAGAGATGTCCAGTCATATTTCAAAGTCAACAAAGCACTAAATCTGTATACAGTTTAACTCATATGAGCTTAAATGCTGTAGTAATTTTTTTTCTAAATAAAAGTCACCCATTATCATCTTTGAATTAAATTCATCAGAATTTCATGTTCTTCTCAGAACCACAGGACAATTTAAGTTAAACTTGGCACAGAGCATTCTTTAGTGATGGGGAATAAAATTTGTTCATATGAAGGGCAGTGCTTTTAAAAGGAGATCTCTTTGTTGAATGTCCTGTTCAGAGAACTTTACTACACTCTTATTGAGATACCACCATTTGCCAGTTGAGGTCTGCAAATTAGAGACATGCACAACACATTCTTTGTAAAAGTATTGGTTTTTTTTTCTGACTGACAAAAAATGGAGATAGTTCATCAGTAACACATTGGGATTACATTCTATTATAATACTATCTAATTATACGGTGTAAATGTTTTTGAAGCAATTTTTAAGCTGATGATATATCCGTAGCATAAAACACTTCACTACTATGATTGCATCATAGGTGATACTAGTATATGTCTACAAATCAAAGTCAAAATATGAGGTTGTATAAATTTTGTAGGTACAGTTTCAATGGTGTTGGAGAGATTACCATTAGATTTTTTATCCTTGTGCTCACTCCAGAATCAGACTTTAAGAAAGGGTTTTTGCTGTTTGAGTCAAAGAAATAAAGAATGGTAGCAAAGTTGACATTTGAACATTTCACTTTTTGCTTATTGCTAAGAAGGAAGACCCACTCGTTGCTTTGCAACGAGCTTTGCTCTAGTTATTCTTTTTTTTCTTCTGCTTCCTAGACCGCAACTTTGAGGCCTCATATCTCACTCATTTCTCAACGGATTTCGCTCAAATTTTCAGAGGTTATGGACGTTTATAAACTCTATCAGAGTGCTGACTAAAATTTCAAAAAGTCACTTCCGGTTTTGAGTTATTTCCCCTTAAACGAAAATTTATAGGCTTTCGTTTCCAGACAAAGGCTCAGAGACGGCTAAAGCTGGAGCAGAAATTCTACTGATTTTAGATAATAGAAGGATTGAAGTTGTGCACATCGGTTTTTGTTTTTCGATTTCTCGATTCAAAATGGCGCTATATAGGGGTCAAAAATTAGAACGCTTAAAAGAACCAAAAATTACTCATATTTTGCTTTTTATCTTCTAAACTAAAAATATTTTGTTAAAATATATTGAACATCATTTGTGCAGAATTAGAAGATCTTTCAAATGATATGTTGGAAAAAGGGCTGACCCCTAAATTAAGGGATCTAGAGGGGCCAACAGTTTTTTCCAGGTATCTCAAAAAGTATTGAGAATTTGTTATACATCAAAGAAGCAAAGTTGTTGAAAATGTCAAGCTTAATCTAATAGAGTCGTCAAAATACGTCCAGCGTCGTCACTTCCGGCCAAACCGGATGTAGTCGGAAAACGCGTATTTTTGCCGTTTTGGACAAGTTTTGGGGTAACATTTGTCTCTGGGAGCTTAAAAATTAATTTTCCATGCGTCGTCGTCACTTCCGGTTAAACCGGCAGTAGCAAAAAATGGCTTATTTTTGCATTAATTAACATAGCTTTAGAGGATTCAAAGCATTTTTTGGGCGTTATTTCTCATTTTTGTTAAAAATGAAAGCTACTTCCGGTCAAACAGGACGGAAGACCTACTCGTTGCTTTGCAACGAGCTTTGCTCTAGTTATAAATACATTTGTAATAATGATAATGCTACATTGAATATTAATCGAAGGAAAGATGATAAGTATTTTTTACCTCCCCCGTCTTGTTATTTAAACTAAACACAAGGAGAAAGTTGTCTCTGAATATCTGTATAACATCCAGCTAGAGAATACGTTAAAAACTTATTTAAACAAAGTTAAACATTCAATTTAGCTATAGGTATATTATTCTTGTCCACCCTATTACATTTATTTTAGTTATATACGTGTTATACGCATACGCACATAGAATTCTTCTTCACTTGCCGTATAAAATCACTTACCTGTACATGGATTATAAAGTTTTCTGCTCATTTAATAGCACATCACTAGAACAAAATAACGTTTTCATGAGATCAATGAGATGTTAAAGAACCCATTTCATATCGATAACCATATCGAAATATTTACCGTTTTTGAGTTATAGAGCAAAAACTTTCAAGGTCTTTCAAGGTCCCTAGATCCCTAATTTGAGGGACCAGCCCCTTTTTAATGATGTCAAATGATAGATCTTAAAATTATGCACAATATTTGTTCAACATATCTTAACAAATTATTTTTAGTTTAAAAGATACATATGGAAATATATGTAAATTTTTGCGCTTTTAGGCATTCTCATTTTTGACCCCTATCTAGCACCGTTTTGAGGGCAGAAATCGAAAAAGAAAAAGCGATGTGCACAACTTCAATTCTTCTAGTATTTGAATTCAGTAGAATTTCTGCTCCAGCTTTTGTCGTTTCTGAGCCTTTGTCTGGAAACGAACAGTACCAAATTTTCATTTAAAGGGAAATAACTCAAAAGCGGAAGAGGATTTTTGAAATTTTTGAAAACATTCTAATTGAGTTTTGTAACGTTTAAAAACTCTGAAAATTTGAGCGAAATCCGTTAAGAAATGAGCGAGTTACGATGTTTCAAAGTTGGCATCTAGGTAAAAAAAAAAAAGAATAATAGGAATAATCTTAACCATCAGAATCAGTAGAAGGTCTTCCGCTCAGGCGGAAGACCTTAATAATCTTAACCATCAGAATCAGTAGAAGGTCTTCCGCCAGAGCGGAAGACCTTAATGACAAAAACCGATGCACAGAATTATGTATCTTAGTGTAGTCTACTTGTGTGCCAAGTTATATTGAAATCAGACCAAAACTGTAGGATGAGTGATTTGAATGATTTTCACAGAAATTTCTATTTCAAGTAACAACGGCAACACCGTTCATCAAAATCAACTAGAACTGTCCAGTAGGGACAAATACCCCCGCTGGGTTTTTCAGAGTAGGTGCCAATTCACAAATATTTTATGGATCTATTAAGAGGTTTCATTGTCTTAAAACAAATTGGGTGAAAATATAATTGCATGCTCATTATGTTTTTTTTAATTTATGAAACTAAGGTGCAACCAAATAAAACATCAATACTAATACACTGTAACAGTTGTTTTTTTTTTTTTTTTATTTCATTGAAAAAATAAATTGCAAATATTTGTCATGCTACTCTGCAAATTAATTGTTAAAAAAATATAATACAGAAGCAAATTAATCTTTATAACTTTATATCAAGTTCATTTTAAAAATAATAAAGTACTAGTGCCCCACCACAGCATGATACTCCCGTCAAATATTGTTAAGGTCTTCCGTTTCCAACGGAAGACCTTCTACTGATTCTGTTGGTAAAGATTTTTTTTTCTTCTACTTCCTAGACGCCAACTTTGAAGCCTCATATCTCACTCATTTCTCAATTGATTTCGTTCAAATTTTCAGAGGTACTAGAAGTTACTAAACTCTATCAGAATGCTGTCTAAAATTTCAAAAAGTCACTTCCGGTTTTGAGTTATTTCCCTTTAAACGAAAATGTATAGGCTTTCGTTTCCAGACAAAGGCTCAGAGACGGCTAAAGCTGGAGCAGAAATTCTACTGATTTTAGACAATAGAAGGATTGAAGTTGTGCACATCGGTTTTTGTTTTTCGATTTCTCTATTCAAAATGGCGCTATATAGGGGTCAAAAATTAGAACGCTTGAAGGAGCCAAAAATTACTCATATTTTGCTTTTTATCTTCTAAACTAAAAATATTTTGTTAAAATATATAGAACATAATTTGTGCAGAATCAGAAGATCTTTCAAATGATATCACGGAAAAAGGGCTGGCCCCTAAATTAAGGGATCTAGAGGGGCCAAAAGTTTTTTCCAGATATCTCAAAAAGTATTGAAAATTTGTTATACATCAAAGGAGCAAAGTTGTTGAAAATCTCTGGTAAAATCTACTGATGTCCTCAAAATACGTCCTGTGACGTCACTTCCGGTCAAACCGGAAGTAGTTCGAAACTGCATATTTTTGCCGTTTTTGACATGTTTTGGGGAAATATTTGTCACTGGAAGCATAAAACTTAATTTTCCGTCCGTCGGCGTCACTTCCGGTCAAACAGGAAGTACCAAAAATGGCTTACTTTTGCAATTTTCAACATAGATTTGGAAGATTTAAATCATAAGAGACGTCATTTCTCTCTCTTTTTTTTAAATAAAAGTTACTTCCGGTCAAACAGGACGCAAGACCTACTCGTTGCTTTGCAACGAGCTTTGCTCTAGTTCATTCAATTATTATAAACAGTTTAGAGTGAGGGGAAATCATGGCAACCTTTCAAACGATTTCCATAATTTTTTTTAATTCTTTATGATATTTGTTTAAACATCTCCTGTGGTGTAAGCATTAATTATAACAAATAATCATCAAATGGTTGCATTATAGCTTGACAGATGCTCCTCCCCCACAAACACACACATATGCATATATCTTTCATGTGGGACATGATGCTCTGAAAATTGTCACTTGATATTTTAATTTTTTTAATATATCAATTTAACCAATTAGTATTAAAAACTTAATCTATAACAAATTGATTTTTAGAAATAGAAGGCTGGCCATCAAATGACATATGCTATTTAAACTGACCAGCAGTTCTTCTGTCTACTTCCCAAAGGATACAGATAAGAGCTCCTTCATCAGAGATGATTGAGACAGCTAGCTTTCCTACATTGAACTCATTAATTAATCTTTGACTGATGCATGTCCACTAATTAATGTCAAGGCATGCAATTTTCTGTTATCAAAATTCTCCTTGACCAGTGCTTGAAAATTATACTTTGGGAGAGATAGATTATCTCTTATAAAATAACATTTGATATGGATTGCTGTAAAGTATATAATGAAAAAAAATATTATTTTCTTAATTTAACATTTTTTAAATAGGTCCCTTACAACAGTTGTTTGTTTATCTCTGTTAACACTTACTACAGTTGTTTACTTTTTCACTTACTCTACAGTTGTTTTCGCTGTCATTTGTTTCTATGTTGTATGTTGTCTTGATTTTCACTCACTACAGTTGTTTATATTCTTGTTTCTATGTCTTCACTTTTTACTAATGTGTATGTTGTTGTTTCTATCTTGTAACTTTCTATATCTGTGTATGTTGTCGTTTCTATGTTGTCATTTTCTACAGCTATTAATGCAATTGTTTCTTTGTTGTAACTTACTATAGTTGTTTGTGATTTTGTTTCTAATATGCTGTCACTTTCTAAAGCTATTTTATTTGTTGTTTCTGTGTTGTCACTCACTGCAGTGTTGTTTTTAGTTGTTGTTTCTGTGTTGTATCTTACTAAAGCTGTCATTTGTTTTTGCTTCTATTTTGTAACTTAATACAATTGATTATGTTGTTATTGTTGTATGTTGTCACTGACTAGTTGTTTGCAATTTTGTTTCTATGATGTCATTTACTACAGGTATTTAATTTGTTGTTTCTACATTGTTACTTGCTACATTTTTGTATGTTGATATGTATGTTGTTGTTTGTATATTGTCACTTACTGCAGTTGTTTGTGCTGTTGTTTGTTTCTAGGTTGTCCCTTACAACAGTTGTGTATGTTGTGTTTATTACATTTTTACCCGTGAAATACTGTAATTTATTCATTGAATAATAATGATCCTGTCACAGTGTGAAAGGATATCAAAATGATATCCTGTCATAGTGTGACGAATATCAGAAGTGCGGGAAAACTCTCGATTTCCCTTCCCATAACGAACATTGCTGTAAAAAAAATCTTCCTTGACCTATTATAAGATAGATGGAGATAGATAAACCATTCTGACAGCGAATAAAACTGTAAAATTACCAAAAATATGTTGCTAAATCCATGGTTAGTGTTTTCACTTCACATAGCTATGACGTCTCAATCGCTCAACTATGACATCACGAGCCTATGACTGTATTACAAAAAGACAGAGGCAAAGGAAAGAAAATTCAATGTTCTGTTGTTGAATATAGAATTTATTTCACTCGTGAGACAGGATTTTTTTTTATTTTTACGAGTGCGAAGCACGTCCTGTCCCACTCGTGAAATAAATTCCATATTCAACTACAAAACATTGAATATCTTTTATCTATATTGTCACTTTCTACAACAGTTTATGTTGTTGTTTCTGTGTCTTCACTTTTTACTGATGTGTTTGTTAATGTTTCTATCTTATCACTTACTATTTATGTTGTTGTTTCTTAGCTGTCACTTACAAATACAAAAGTTTATGTAATCATTACTTTGTTGTCACTTACTATAGTTGTCTATGTTGTTTCTTTGTTGTTACTTACTACAGTTGTTTATGTTGTTGTTTATATATTGTCACTTTCTACAGCTGTTTATGCTGTGTCTTCACTATTTACTGATGTGTATGTTATTGTTTCTATGTTGTCACTTACTACAGCTGTTTATGTTGTTGTTTTTATGTTGTCAATTTCTACACTGTTTAATTATGTTGTTGTTTCTATGTTGTCACTTACTAGAGTTGTTTATGTGATTGTTTCTATGTTGTTACTTACTACAGTTGTTGATGTTGCAATGCTCCCATCGTTTGTCTTTGTCTGATGTGTAACACCAAGGTCTGGAGGCGTCTTTTGTTGCCCGGCAAAATTTGTCCGGAAGTCTGCGGTCCGGGAAGTCGTTTCCATTATACGAGTGTCTATGGGGGACTTGTGAATCCCATCGTTGACAAGTGAACTGGCTGTCTGTTACCGACTTAGTCCCCATGTAACTCCGTGCTCGGCCATTGTAAAAGCAGTTGTTGTCTACAAGATTACATGAAATTGTTATTATTTGCATTTTAAAATGTTGATCTTCACGATTAATGATTTTTACAGAGGACGTTTTTCTAAAATACTAGTAATACTTGATCATTTTTTTAAAAACTTTTTTTTGTCATTGATTTAAATATTTCAACTTTTTAATGATTTGATTAAAGCCTAAAATCCAATCAAATTATTTACAATAATCATGGCACTGATCTTTTCAAAATAAATTCTTTGAGAATATACATGTATCCATCACTCTTGTAATTCATTTTAGAATAAAGTGCCGCGCCACAGCATGTTACGCCCATCAAGAAATTACAATTTTCTTGAACAGTTTAGTGTGCAAGAAAATCACGTCAACCTTGATTCTAATATTTCCATGATTTTTCCATTCCTTAAAATATTTATGCATCCCCTGTGATGTAGGCATTAATTATAATATTACATCATTGATAGATTTCTATACTGGTTGTGCTAGACCTTGTCAAATGCCCATCATATTAAACAATATCAAATTAGTCTTAACAACTTAATCTATACCAAATTAATTTTGACAAGCTAATTCAGAGAATTTGTGTCCCCCCGCTTAGGAAAAAAGTAAACCATGTGAAGTTCGGCGGGGGGTGGGGGGGGGGGGTCGGATCACCCTGACTGAATTTGTGGAATGATTAAATGTATACTGAAGCAAATAAAATATGCCAATATGGATATAAAGAATTGATTGCTTATTCTTTATTATATGTACAGAAGCTTCGTTTCATATGGAATATTTATCACACTGTAATGATGATTTTATGAGTTTGTACAAGCCAGACCTCATAAATTTTTCATTTCACATGCTGAATACTATCATTTAGTTAAAAAAAAAGTATTTCGAAAAAAAAAGAAAACAGATCTTTCAAGATTCGATCCCGGGACCTCTATCACATGAAGCGAGAGACATACTACTGCGCCACCGATCCGCTTTACACCAATGTAAATTATGTGCAAGTATGAAGTCACATTCATTATATATATATTCACGTTCGATCCCTATTGTCAAAATTTTATACAATGCATTGTGTCTAATTTAACCTTTATTAAACAGTTCTAATAGATGTAATAAGAATATAAAGTCAGCCGAGAACCTGTTTTATACGTAATAACTCTCCCCATGCCCCTGTGCTGACATGTAATACAATAAATACTTATAAAACAAACGGGGGACACTTTGAGGGGTGAGAGAGGTCTTAGAGAGTTTTAGTATAAAATGTTTTTGAAATATCGCCTAGAAATAGTAGTTATACACACAGACATAATTTATAAATTTATGAACTTGAACTTTGACCTTTTGAGCTCAAAATCAATAGGGTTCTTCCTTAGGCCACAGGGAGTTGTTATGTAAAATTTCATTGCAAAAGCTCAAAGGGTTCTCGAGATATCACGCAGAAACGCAAGTGTTTTAACAAACAGAATTTGCTAATTTATGACCTTGACCTTTGACTTTTTGACCTCAAAATCAACAGTGTTCTTCTTTATTCCATAGGGAGTTGCTATGCAAAATTTCATTGCGAAAGCTTAAGAGGTTCTCGAGATATCTGTGGAAACGAAAGCGTTAAAGACAGACAGAAAGACAGATGGACGGACAGACCCAAATTAATATCCCCCACTTTTCAAGGGGGGGGGGGGGACAAAAAGAAAAGGCTGGCTATCAAGTGACATATGCTATAAACTGACCAGCAGTTCTTCTGTCTAATCCCCAAAGGATACAGATAAGACTGCTTGATCAGAGTCATTGAGACAGCTAGCCTTCCTACATTAAACTCATTAATTAATCTTTAACTGGATGCTTGTCTATTCATTATTACGAAGAGATGAATGGGTCTGCACTTTCGACCATGATTTTTTTAAAACATAAAATACACAAAGATTTTTTTTTTGGTTGAGATTTAATGTCAGGTTTTAATATGTAATTCATATGGACATGCTGAATCCACCCCACCCCATAAAACTAGTTTTTAAATTAATAATATTACATGTATATAATATCAGATTGTATATTATGCAATATCAAATTAGTTTTAATTACTTTTCATCAAATTCATTTTAAAAAAAATTTAGGCTAGCCAACAAGAAATCCAACAGGCTTACCCATTTGCCCAATACTCAAGGGATATAGATAACACCGATGCTCTATCAGTTAGCTCCTCACACTCAAAACTCATTAATTTCTCTCTAATTTCACATGCAATTTTCTTTTATCAAAATTCTTCTTGACCAGTGCTTGATAATTACACTCATGGGAGAGGTCAATCTCTCACCAGAGGGCGCGCTCCGGAGCGGAGCGTAAAAACGCCCTCTGGTGAGAGATTGGGGAGAGGTAGGATTTCTCTAACATACATTATATTTGTTATAGATTGCTGTCAAGTATAAGCTTAAAAAAATAAGTATTTTCTTGATTTAACACTTTTTAGCTCACCTGAGCTGAAAGCTCAAGTGAGCTTTTCTGATCACCCGGTGTCCGTCGTCCGTCCGTCCGTCCGTCTGTAAACTTTTCACATTTTCAACTTCTTCTCAAGAACCACTGGGCCAATTTTAACCAAACTTGGTACAAAGCATCCTTGGGTAAAGGGGAATTTAAATTGTTAAAATCAAGGGCCAAAACCCCTTCCAAGGGGAGATAATCAAGAAAATACGAAAATAGGGTGGGGTCATTAAAAAATCTTCTTCTCAAGAACCACTGGGCCAGAAAAGCTGAAATTTATGTGGAAGCATCCTGGGGTAGTGTAGATATTAAATTGTTAAAATCATGACCCCCGGGGGTAGGGCGGGGCCACAATAGGGAATCCAAGTTTTACTTAGAAATGTATAGAACAAATCTTTAAAAATCTTCTTCTCAAGAACCACTAGACCAGAAAAGCTGAAACTTATGTGGAAGCATCCTTGGGTAGTGTAGATATAAAATTGTTAAAATCATGACCCCCGGGGGTAGGGCGGGGCCACAATAGGGAATCCAAGTTTTACCTAGAAATATATAGAATAAATCTTTAAAAATCTTATTCTCAAGAACCACTGGGCCAGGAAAGCTGAAACTTATGTGGGAGCATCCTTGGGTAGTGTAGATATTAAATTCTTAAAATCATGACCCCCGGTGGTAGGACGGGGCCACAATAGGGAATCCAAGTTTTACATAGAAATATATAGAACAAATCTTTTAAAAATCTTCTTCTCAAGAACCACTGGGCCAGGAAAGCTGAAACTTAAGCTGAAGCATCCTTGGGTAGTGTAGATATTAAATTGTTAAAATCATGACCCCCGGGGGTAGGGCGGGGCCACAATAGGGAATCCAAGTTTTACATAGAAATATATAGAACAAATCTTTAAAAATCTTCTTCTCAAGAACCACTAGGCCAGGAAAGCTGAAACTTATGTGGGAGCATCCTTGGGTAGTGTAGATATTAAATTGTTAAAATCATGACCCCCGAGGTTAGGGCGGGGCCACAATAGGGAATCCAAGTTTTACATAGAAATATATAGAACAAATCTTTGAAAATCTTCTTCTCAAGAACCACTGGGCCAGGAAAGCTGAAACTTATGTGGGAGCATCCTTTGGTAGTGTAGATATAAAATTGTTAAAATCATGACCCCCGGGGGTAGGGCGGGGCCACAATAGGGAATCCAAGTTTTACATAGAAATTTATTGAACAAATATTTTAAAATCTTCTTTTCAAGAACCACTAGGCCAGGAAAGCTGAAACTTATGTGGAAGCATCCTTGAGTAGTGTAGATATTAAATTGTTAAAATCATGACCCTCGGGCATAGGGCGGGGCCACAATGGGGAATCCAAGTTTTACATAGAAATATATATAGAACAAATCTTTTAAAAAGATCTGCATCACCCAAGTTACTCAGGTGAGCGATGTGGCCCATGGGCCTCTTGTTTTAATAAGGACAGTGCAGTACTCTTACATTATTTGGGATGTGTAAACAAATAGTAGAAAATTTTTTTTTTTAATTTCACTTAAATTAAAGGTCACAGTGACCTTGAAATAGGTCGCGACACAACTTCTACCTAAGATGCATAAACTGGCCAAGTTCGATGATTGTAACTCATATAGTTTTCTAGTTATGGGCCGGAAAGGATTTTTCCATATTTGTTACCGTCTTCCAAGGAAGACGGTATTATATAGGTGAAGTTTTTTACAGTCTTCGGACTATGCACTTCCTCTCTTTTGTGATTGGTAGAAATTGCATGATGTGAAAATTTTCAATTATTTCATTGGTTGAAATGCTGTTCAAAACAAGGGAGATAACTTTCTGATGATCTAATTTTCGTACAACTTAACAATTTTGCAAGATTTTCAATCTTAAAAAATGACAAAACGAAGAACAAAATCAGCAGCAATTACTTCTAAATAACATGCTAAATAATAACATGCGACAACTGCGGTAGGGCAAATGCCAGTAAAAAGCTAATATAGAAATACAAAATCAAGAAAAATCAAAGTACTCAGAAGTACAGAGAGCCGGGCTCATTTACAGAGTAGAATGGATTTCTTACATGAATCACGTTTCTATTCTGATGAAAAAATTATTTTAAAACTATCAGTATAAATGATAAGACACTGACAGTGAGTTTTTCAATCCTAATACCACGGTCCGATTTCGTCAGAATCAGAATTAATCTGGTACCACAGCTGAATGTAAACAAACAGGCCAGTCTGGTCCCCTCTCCTGCTTTACCTCGTATGTGTAGAGAACTAAGGTAACACTGATTATCAAAAATCCTTACGCTAATGAACTATGTTCTTTGACTTATGAAGTTTTCAAAGTCATTACTTCTAATGTTTATTTTATATAGATAAAACTTCGTTTTATTTTTGTTGCTTTATTTAGCGTTTGTATTATCTCAAAAGCGGTTGAGAGTAAGAACTATATTTTTGCGCGTAACTTTAAAATGGCGACTATGGGGTCAACATCCTGCCTTGAACAGGATCACATAAGCCGGCAATTGCTCTTTGAGCAATAAGCCCGGCTAAAAATGATAAGGCCTGATATGTAGATCAGTTTTATTTACTGTTTAAGATTGTTGCTAAAGACGGTAAGCTTTTTTAAAAAGCTCTACTTGTCTATAACTTTTTAAGTAAAGGTCAGAGCGACTTACTTTTTGTGCGCGACACACCCTCTACCCAAGATACATCAGATGACAAAGAACAAGGTTCACTTTTGCCTTATTTGGCCCTGTGAATTTCTGAAAAACTTAAACTGCATAGTTTTAGTTAAAATGCATTAAATATCACTTAGATCTTTGGTGAGTGCGTATCTATCAAAAATGACGTCATTTTCTGGTTAGTCAATGCATTATGACGTCACGAAATGCGTCAATTTCCTCATATTCTGAAAAAGTCTCCAAAAATGGCCAATTTTTAAAGCCATTTTTTTATATTTCATATAGAGTGCAATCTCTGATCTAAAATATGCAACTAGTAAATGATAGAACTGTTTCTGAGGATTAATGGACATGTTCTATTTTTTAGATCAGAGAGTGCGCTCATATTTATTATTTTTCTTTACTGAAAGTACTCAATTCTACCTGTTTACCTACAAATTCAAGAACATTGCAATTTCATAAAGCCAGTTCTCCTAGACCTGGACTTTTAGAAGAAATTTTTTAAAAGGATATTAAAGCACCAAGTCTCTATTTTAATTTAATACTTCAAATAGAAAATCAATTGTTGATCAATTAATTGGTATATTAACAGGGCCATTTTATGCATAAAGTGAACCGACTTCTTTGATAATCCTAGGCCTAATAGTATTTAAGTAATGAGCCGGAAACGAAAAAGCTAACAGACGGACAGACATGAAGCCTATAACATAATACGTCCCGTCTTAAGACGAGGTATAAAAAAATATTGAAATGACAGAAATGAAGTCAAGTTAATACACAATCAAATAAATCCCTCATTTTATGACTGCCATTGAAACAAACCAAATCATATACCGTATAGCGGGTTTTCTTGGCGGGTGTAAAATTTGGTGTTTTGCCTGCTCAAAGATATGTCAATAATTTTGGCGTAATTTATTTTAGCGGACACAGGGTTTCATCCCTTAGCATATGAACACTAAGAAAAGGACTGACTATTTTAGCGATTAAAATTTTAGCGGAGTGCCATCAAAACGCCAAAAATAAGCCAAAATTAGCACCCCGCTAAAATTAGCCACTATACGGTATGCTGATTATATTTTTATAGAAGAATCATGATAATTTTCAATTTTAAGATATCACACATTCCTGACATTGAATCGCAAATCTACGGAAGCCCGTTGAGGCCAGTTCAGAGAAGGAAATATTTTTTATTGTTTTTAAACGCAATAATTATTGCGTTTAATCGCAAAAGTATTGCGTTTAATCGCAAAAGTATTGCGATTAATCGCAAAAATATTATTGCGATTAAACGCAAAAATATTATTGCGTTTAAACGCAATAATTATTGCGTTTAATCGCAATATTATTGCGTTTAATCGCAATCTTTTGCGATTAAACGCAAAGTGTTTTGCGTTTAAACGCAATGATTATTGCGATTAAACGCAATACGTTTGCGTTTAAACACAATTATTATTGCGATTAAACGCAATTAGTATTGCGATTAAACGCAATAATTGTTGCGTTTAAACGCAATAAATAATATTTCTTTCCCTGGACTGGCCTCAACGGGCTTCCGTACAAATCTATATTTAAATATTTTCATATTTTTGGTAGAGCATCTGGCATTCTTGATAATTTTAGCTCTATTTTTTTTAAGTTATTTCTTTCACGATTCAAAGTCATAACGAGAATAAAGGCACAGATTACCATTTTATCAATGTTACATTATGAAGTATCACAGACAATTGGTGACGAGGATTAAGCCTATTCAAAGTCCCTAAATAACAGGTCCTACAGCTGCTTTTCTGTTTCTTTCAGGCTCTATTGACTATGGAAAAGTTTGGTGCTTATATATAAGTAACAGAGGAAAACGAAATTTGTTCGAACACGAGGAATTTCTTTCATTTACAAAGACTTTAGTTTACTACTATTTTTTGTCACAAGTACCGGTATTCAATAAAACCAAACTGACTACTGACAATAAAAGTCTTTAAGAAGGAACAAAATTTGAATGAATTTTATAATGGCTTCACTTCATTTTTAAGATATTGGTTCAAAATTTGGCATTTTGAAAGAAACACCATAAATATTACAACTATTGAAATGTATATTAACTATGAAGAATTCAAGAGGCCCATGGGCCACATCGCTCACCTGAGCACGTGGTTATGAAAATGTAGAAATTGGTTTATTAAATAGTTTAAATCCAATAGTAGTCACATGACCAATCATGGGTTTGCTATTCTTGATAAGATGAGTTTTAAAGAATTTTCCTATATATGTCTATGTAAAACTTTGATTGGCCATTGTGGCCCTGCCCTACCACCGGGGGTCATGATTTGAACAAATTTGAATCTTCAGTACCTGAGGATGTTTCCATATAAATATGATCAATTATGACTTTGTTATTCTTGAGATAAGGTTTTTAAAGAATTTTCCTAAATATTTCTATGTAAAACTTTGGTCGGCCATTATAGACCCGCCCTACCCCCGGGGGTCATGATTTGAACAAACTTGAATCTACACTACCTGAGCATGCTTCCATATAGATATGATGAATTATGGCTTTGTCATTCTTGAGAAGAAGATTTTTAAAGAATTTTCTTATATATTTCTATGTAAAACTTTGGTCGGCCATTATGGCCCCGCCCTACCCCCGGGGTCATGATTTGAAAAAAATTGATTCTACACTACCTGAGGATGATTCCATATGAGTTTCATCTTTCCTGGCTCAGTGGTTCTTAAGAAGAAGATTTTTTAACAAGAGGCCCAGGGGCCACAGCGCTCACCTGAGCACATCGGGCTTGAATTTACTCCCCCCCCCCCCTTCAAGGCGTTCATCATTTGAACAAACTAGAATCTACACTACCTGAGGATGATTCCATATAAATATCACTAATCATAGCTTTGAAGTACCTGAAAAGAAGATTTTAAAAGGTTTCCCTATATATCCCTATGTAAAACTTGGGTCGGCCATTTTGGCCCCACCCTATCCCCAGGGCGGGGGGTCATGATTTGAACAAACTTGAATCTACACTACCTGAGGATGTTTCCACATGAGTTTCATCTTTCCTGGCCCAGTGGTTCTGGAGAAGAAGATTTTTTAAAGATTTTTCTTATATATTCCTATGTAAAACTAGGGTCGGCCATTTTGGCCCCATCCTTGCCCCGGGGGTCATGATTTGAACAAACTTGAATCTACACTACCTGAGGATGATTCCACATGAGTTTCATTTTTCCTGGTCCAGTGGTTCTTAAGAAGAAGATTTTTAAAGATTTTTCTTATATATTCCTATGAAAAACTTGGGTCGGCCATTTTGGCCCCACCCCCCCCAGGGGTCATGATTTGAACAAATTTGAATCTACACTACCTGAGGATGATTCCACATGAGTTTCATCTTTCCTGGCCCAGTGGTTCTGGAGAAGAAGATTTTTAAAGATTTTTCCTATATATTCCTATGTAAAACTTGGGTCGGCCATTTTGGCCCCACCCTTGCCCCGTGGGTCATGATTTGAACAAATCTGAATCTACACTACCTGAGGATGATTCCACATGAGTTTCATCTTTCCTGGCCCAGTGGTTCTGGAGAAGAAGATTTTTAAAGATTTTTCCTATATATTTCTATGTAAAACTTGGGTCGGCCATTTTGGCCCCACCCTTCCCCGGGGGTCATGATTTGAACAAACTTGAATCTACACTACCTGAGGATGCTTCCACATGAGTTTCATCTTTCCTGGCCCAGCGGTTCTGGAGAAGAAGATTTTTTAAAAATGCCATTAATTTTTAACAATTTCATGATTATCTCCCCTTGGAAAAGGGCGTGGCCCTTCATTTGAACAAAATTGAATCCCCTTTACCCAAGGATACTTTGTGCCAAGTTTGGTTGAAATTGGCCCAGTGGTTCTTGAGAAGAAGATGAAAATGTGAAAAGTTTACAACAACGACAACGACTACGACGACAACAACGACAGACAACGGACAAATTTTGATCAGAAAAGCTCACTTGAGCCTTTGGCTCAGGTGAGCTAAAAATGACATTTATTTTCTCTAATTCATAATTATTTCCTTTTGGAAAAAGGCGTGGCCCTTCATTTGAACAAACTTGAATCCCCTTCACCCAAGGATGCTTTGTGGCAAGTTTGGTTGAAATTGGCCCAGTGGTTCTTGAGAAGAAGGTCAAAAATGTGAAAAGTTTACAACGATGACGACGACAACGACGACAGACAACGGACCAACTGTGATCAGAAAAGCTCACTTGAGCCTTTGGCTCAGATGAGCTAAAAACTCTTTGTGTTATGTATAATGTAGTTTGTAAAGAAATTTGGAAAGTGCAACAATATGTTTTAATAAATGGACTATGATCTGTATTATAATGTTTTTTTTTGAATTAATCTCATTTAACCTAACTGACAGCCCTGTCCCCAGAATCCATTGGCACACTCATCACGTGGGCATCTTCCAGTTTCCTTGTCACAGACTCGGTCTCTAGAGCAACGGCAGGTGAACAAACAGCGATACCCAAACGTTCCGTCTTTGCATTGTAATTGTAAGGCCTCTAAATCTACAAAATAAATGTGTATTTTTTAATATTAGCAAGTCAAAAATTATCATTAAAAAATTAAGCACTTTCTAGAATTGTTAAAATTGATGATTGCATGCTTATGGCCAAAAAGCTTAATGCAGTACGTATGCTTAATTTCCATGAATTGGGTATTTTAATTATTTATTAAGCACATATAAAAATCTTGATCATATCAACTATTTACCATTAAAAATCCTTTTCATATGTTTATAAAATATCGTTTATATACATGTACATGTGCATTTAATACGTATAATATTTTTAGCTCTTCTGAGCCAAAGGCTCAAAGAGCTAATGCTATGGCCATTTGTGCGGTGTGCGGTGTGCGTTAACTTTTTAGAATATGGGCCATAACTCAAGAACCCCTTGGCCAATTATTGTCAAATTTGTCAAAGAGTATCCTTGGCCCAAGGGCTACCATTTATGCTAAAATCAGGGGTGGGACCCTAAAACAAGGGGAGATAATCACGAAAATAAAACCAAAAGTACTGGTTGCTAAAAAATCTTCTCCAGAACCACCAGGCAGATTTTCACCAAACTTACATACAAGGGTCGGGATATGTTGAAGATTATAAATTGTTCAAGGCATGACCCTGGGGCAAAGGGCGTGGTCTCAAGGTCACTTCAAAGTTGACCAAAATTTACACTTATTAAAAACGTTGATATTTTGCTTACTGAAAGGCTAGGATCATCAAATCTTGTAAGTTGATGTGACCTACTTTTTAAATTTTACCAGCTTTTGTTTTTAAATTGATTTGGAGGCATATTTTGGCCTATGATCATAAAACTTGATGAAACTTGATAAAACTCAGTTGATGCATCTTGGGTCCACAAACAACATCAGCTTAAAAGTAGGTCATTGTGACCTACTTTTTGAATTTTATGGCTAATCTTTCCTAAAACATTTAATCCCATTATTTCAGACACCAAAAGGTTTAGAATCACCAAATATTGTAAGTTGATGCATCTACAGGCCTTAAAACATATTTATCAAAAAATAGGTCACTGTGACCTACATTCAACATTTTATGGCTAGTTTTAAGTATCTTGGGTACTAATTAGCTTAGAATCATTAAAATTTGTCAGTTGACGCATCTTGGGTTTTCGGAGATTAACGATCAAAAAGTAGGTCACGGTGACCTACTTTTGACATTTTATGGCTATGTTTTAGTATCTCAGGTACTTATTGGCTTAGAATCATCAAACTTTGTCATTCGATGCATCTTGGGTTTTCGGAGCATGTCGACCAAAAAGTAGGTCACAGTGACCTATTTTTGACATTTTATGGCTAGTTAATGTATCTCAGGTTTAGAATCATCAAATTTTGTCATTTGATGCATATTAGATTCTCGGAGCATGTTGACCAAAAAGTAGGTCACGGTGACCCACTTTTGAATATCTCAGGTACTGATTGGCTTAGAATCATCAAACTTTGTCAGTAGATGCATCTAAATGTTGATCAAAAAGTAGGTCACAGTGACCTACTTTTGTCATTTACGGCTATATTTAGGTATTCCGGGTACTTATTGGTTTAAAATCATCAAACTTTGTTATTTGATGCATCTTGGTTTCTCGGAGAATGATGATCAAAATATAGGTCACTGTGACCTACTTGTGACATTTATGGCTATATTTAAGTATTCTAGGGTACTTATTGGCCTAGAATTGTCAAACTTTGTCAGTTTACGCACCTTGGGTTTTCGGAGAATGATGACCAATAAGTAGGTCACTGCGACCCACTTTTGAATATCTCAAGTACTTATTGGCATAGAATCATCAATCTTTGTCAATTAATGCATCTTGTGTCCTCAGAAAATTTCAATCAAAAAGTAGGTCACTCATGACCTACTTATAGTATTTTATAGTTACATTTAAATATCTTCAGCCCTAACTGGCTAAGAATCATCAAACTTTGTCAGTTGATGCATCTTGGGTCTTAGGGTAGATTGTATAATTTATCAGGAGAGCGATTCAAGGCCCTTGGGCCTCTTGTTTTCTACAGCATTATTATTTTTTGATGTATTTTTGGACACTCATTTTATTTGGTGTGTACATGTGTATATATGCATAATAAGAAAAGGATCTACTAAATAGTAAGAACTAGTAGCCAATCATTTTGTATATACCTATATCACACAATAAAATATATTCAAAACAATCATCCAAAGGATCGAGAACCAAAGCAATAACACAAATACCCCCACCCTCTCTCACACATCCAGATACCAATAGATCACTGGACTAATGCTCCACGACCATGGCAGTGCACGGTGATGTTGAAATTCATTATATTTTACTGAAAATGATGCTCACATTATCTTGAATATTTGTGAACTATTTTATACTTATACAACCCTCTATTACTGTCTTATGTTAGTTATATTGGGTAAAATATTACGTATACTTTGATTAAGGTATCTGATTTAGAATAAAAATCGAATAATTCATTATCTTTAATAATGCGCGTTTTATATATTCACTCTTTAACAAAGGGAATATTGTTCAATTTTTAGAATTCAAATTCCTAGAAACATATTTTTAAAAAAATAATAGGGTTTTTTTTTATCAAGCCTTGCAAGATTTTCATATTATCCTTCAATATTTTAGTTTTTGTCTTCAATATTTTTTAAAAAGTTTCTTTCATCATGCATCAGCCCTACTCAAAGTTGTAGAAAGATCAAGATTTCTTGATCAGTCGCTGTTCCATCAATGTAACATATAAAGACGTTCGCATCATTAATACAATAACTAATCTTTTTAATCCTACTTTGAATGATTATTTAAACAGATATAAATATAAACAATAAAATGCTTTTTTGTTTGTTATTACTAATACTGGAATTAACGGTCGCAGCTATTGCAGAAAAAAAAATTATATAATCCGCTTACGCGGGTTATGTATTTTTTCTGCAACAGCTGCTTCCGTTAATTCCAGTAATAACAAACAATAAAAGCATTTTATTGTTTAAATATATAATTTCTTAACAGATTTGTCGGTGAGGATTGATAGACACAAAGCAATGCATGCGAATATATTTTCCCAGTAATGATATATAGGTTTCTTTATAAATATTTCCATTTCTAATTTTTTTTTCTCTGCGATATCTCTTTGAAAGTTGTCGGAGTTTATTTCTTGATAATTCTGCCGGAATGTAAATTAGGCAGGTTGATAGGTCAGGAGCTAAGGAGGCCTAAAATGCATGCAAATCTCGTGCGCATCTGTCTCTGTGTCTGACGCTATAAGGAGGCAAAATGTGCATGTAAATCTCGTGCTGCTGCCTAGGTGTTTGATGTCATTGGGTGAGGACTATTGAAACTGGCATGGAAGTCCTCGTGTAATTTAAGTCTATGTCTGCATTTTTAAAGTCTAAATCTATCATTTTATTTCACAATTAAATGAAAATATAAGGAATCACTGTCTAGTTAGGAGAGTATGCCAGGGACATCAACAATAGTGGGAAACATGGGATAATTCTAGCATAACGGGCTTCGCCCGTTATTCAAATTATCCCATGTTTTCCACTATTGTTGATGCCCTGGCATACTCTCCTAACTAGACAGTGATTCCTTAATTAAACACTCATACTTAAGTAATTTTACTCTCATGTGGGAACGGCGGTATGTTTTCCAACATGCATTGAAAGACATAGCGATTACACATTTTTATTTTGATTCAATCATAGAAAAAATATGAACTTCAAATAAAGGGTTTGAAATAACATTTTGAAAACACTGACCAGCAAATCTAGATCACAAAAATAAAATCATTTTAAGTTAATGTATTTTAAAAAGTTATGAAAACGAATTATTAATCTTTCCCGGCGGAAACGAGTCCATATAACTGAATGTGCAAGATAAAGTTGCCACCTGGGCACCACGTGTGCCGACGGAAGAGGACTTGACACCTGAATCGGTGTTTCGGGCACATTTTAGGAATGTTCCAGGGTCTGCCACTCGTCAGAGGTCTAACCCAAATTAAGTTAATATATTTTAGCTGTATAAGATCTCTAGCATGGTGTTTCATGCAATGATCAATAATTGTAGTGGACATGTATTGTTTCTATTCCACTAATTAAGCTTTGTGAATAAAAAGCTGTATGGTTTGAAAATGTCAATGAATAAGACAATATCAAGGAGAATTAATATTCTCCAAGGTGCGAGCTTAAATCATTTGCTCGTCTTGTTTTGTGGTACAAATTGTACTTATTCGTTTGAAGTGGGCGGGGCGACCGTCACTTAGTCGCGCTGGGAGAGTTACTGCACGTGGCATGAGAGAAAGCGCATTGGTTGTTTGTTCTACTTCTACTTCTACCGGAAAGCGGCCGCCATCAATAAGCTGATTATTCTGCCACTGTGTAGGGTGTGCGCGTTAAAAAAAGGTGCAACTATACAAGTAGTGAGTTTAAAAACAGAGCAGAATAAACTAGGCAGCCAGGTGAGTCTTGAAGGATTCAAGGCTCACTGCGGACACTGTACTGGAGGGGAGGGCGTTCCAGTCTCTGATTGTCCTCGGGTAGAAGGAATCCCGTCTAATATTTGTTGAGCATTTTTGTTGCCTGAATGAGTTGCCATTATGGGCTCTGCTTGCTCTTCCTGTTGGTATTAGCTTATCACTAGGGTCTATTTTCACTTTGTTGTTAACGATCTTGTAGAATAGGCATAGTCGTGTGTTCTTTCTTCTGTCTTGTAGTACTGCCCAGTTTAGGTCTTTCACTATTTTGGACACTGATGTTGCACTATTGTAGTTGTAGTTGTTTCTTACGTATCTAGCCGCTCTTTTCTGAACTCCCTCCAGTTTGTTGATGTTGTTTTGTTGATATGGGTCCCAGGTTGAGCATGCATATTCTAATGTTGGTCGGACTAGCGTTTTGTATGCCTTTTCCTTTAAGCTAGGGTTACTGATGTTTAGATTTCTTTTCAAGAAGCCGAGAGTGTTGTTAGCTTTTTTACATATGTTGGCAATATGTGTGTTCCATTTCATGTCTGACGTTATGGTGATCCCTAGATACTTAGCCGATGTAACTTGCTCTAAGATATGTCCATGGAGGGTATATTGATGTTTAATGGGTTTCCTCTTCTTTGTGATGGTTAAGACATTACATTTATCCGGGTGGAAATTCATCATCCAATTCTTTTCCCATTTTCCTAGTGCGTCAAGGTCTGATTGTAGTTGTTGGCTATCTGACTGTGATTTTATAGTCAAGTACATGATGGTGTCGTCGGCAAAAAGGCGGACAGTTGATGTTATGTTGTCCGGCATGTCATTGATGTAGAACAAGAATAAACTTGGTCCGATGACAGAGCCTTGGGGTACTCCTGATTCCACATCTATGTATTCTGATGTTTCTCCCTCTATAACTACTGCTTGTCTTCTGTTGTTTAAGAAGTTTTCAATCCATTTGTTTGTTTTACCCTGAATTCCATAGTGGCTCAATTTCATGACTAATAAGCTGTGGCTCACTTTATCGAATGCCTTACTAAAGTCCATGATTAAACAATCCGTTTGTTTCCCTTCATCGATGTTTCTTGTGATGTCATCAATAAATTCCACAAGCTGGGTTTCACATGAGAGGCCCTTTCTGAATCCATGTTGTAAAGGATTAAGGATATTGTGTCTGTCTGCATGTGACATGATGTTGCTTGTAACTAGATGTTCCATTATTTTGCATGTTATACAGGTTAGGGAGACAGGTCGGTAATTGATCGCTTCATAATTTTTCCCTTTTTTGTATATTGGACATACTGATGCTGTTTTCCATATGGTTGGTACTTGTCCTGTTTGTGTAGGGTATTGGATAATTGACAGCCACCTGTTTCCTGATATATGCTTTGCATGCTTTTCCCTAGCCTAAGCGAGATCATAAAGTCCGTCTCTCTTTCCATGTTAACAGCTTAATGTTATGTACCAGAAGCGCTTTATTAATACAAGATTTATAACAAAAATTAAAAAGGACAAAAATATAATTTAATTTTTCATTGAAATATTTGTAAATAATTAAATTGATTTCAAAAGGTCTGAGAAAGTGTATAGAAACATAAATTACATGTTAAGGTCTCATTGTATGGAATTCTCTACAAATTGATCATTTGTAATGAATTTTGATACAATTCCAATTTAATAATCCCGATAAGTGGCTATAACCGGAACTAATTGAAATTTTCGAAACTGCTTTAATTCTCTTATATTTAATGTACGCGAGTTTTATAATATTATACAATTATTGCTGTGTTTTGAGGTCAATACAATGATTTAGCCATCTGAGGAGTACAATATTCACCGAGCCCGAAGGGCAACGTGAATATTACATACTTCAAAGATGGCTAAATTATTGTATTGACCGAAAAAACAGCAGTAATTGTTTTATTATATGATTCACTGATAAAATGATACAGCTCATTAATTGTTTGCATTTAATTTAGTCCTAGCCAAATACAAGAGAGAAGCAGAATTAAAATCTGAATAAACCTTACCAGTCGTATAAATTTGAAATGGTTTTTGAAAGGTGTATTATCAGGGAAAACTGACTGCCAAAAAGTAAAAAATGAAATGTTGTTCAGTAAAAGTGTTGGAGGGGGGAAGCTGTCGGCACACGTGATGCCGGGTGGCAACTTTATCTTATACTAGGAGTTGGGCCCGGTATGTGCTTTGTTATGTTACAATGTTTCCCCTTTCTCTTTCTCATGATTTACAAAGGGGATAAACAAATCAAACCACTTGATGTTTGATTATTTCAACGTCCATGTATTGATGAAGTTCGTCCAACCCCCAGTGAAAAAGGTTTCCAGAATCAGATAGAGCACTGATTTACATACATTACCGTAAACTGATAAGTAAAAATATATACTTACCAGAGTTTTCGGTTGAAATAGGATTCACAAGAAACATGAAAAGTAATAATCCAATATGTAACATACTCAGGATTCGGCATAAATAACTTGAAAATCCATCACAAAAAATACTGAATTGTACTTGACTTCATGTACAAAAAACAACACCAAAGGATAGCCTGCTCTACATTGTAAATGTTATTCTAATTTCCTCAGTCTGACAGGATGAAAAAGATGCATGAAAATAATCAACGCGCGTGCGTCATGGTGCTAAAAAGCCATATAAAATTAAAAACTAGACTCTTGTTCAGAAAACCAGAGCAAATTTTGATCGACATTGATTTAGAGGATGCTTATATATAAATATATGGGACATATAATCTTTCATGGGAAATAAATTTGTAGATTATGAGAAATTTATGCCCTGTTCACACGGAGAGTTTAATTCGAATTAAACGTAAAGTTACTGCGAATTAGCTTCGCTTAGCGTTCACACGGAGAATTTAATGCGAATTAGTTTAATTCGAATTAGTTTACTGCGCATTAAATTACTTCGCATTAGCTCCGTGTGAACGCTAAGCGAAGCTAATTCGAATTAAATTTTGAGGCATGCGTAATGGCAAAAGTAGGTCAAATGCCACATGTCCGTGGTCAGCTTGGAGTATTTGTGCTATTTTTGAGTGAAAAACTAAGGAAAAGTGTGTTAATCACTAAAATGTGTGTACAGACACTGTAACATTATGTCAAATGCATCTGCTCCTGCATAAGGTGACGTGATTTGCAAATGACGTCATAATAGCCTTACTGACGCCTGGCCGTAGAAGTAGAATTTTAATTCGCATTAGTTTACTTCGCATGAGCTGTCGTGTGAACGCAATTTAATTCGCATTAATTTGATTCGCATTAGTTTACTTCGCATTAATTTACTGCGAATTAAACTCGTCGTGTGAACAGGGCATAAGAAAAATGTAAATAATGGTATGATCCTGCCAATAAAGTCACGTGATAGCCCAGTTACGTTAGATGGCTTCCGAAACGAGTATATAACTCAATTAGAAGCTGGACGTTTCAACACCATTTCAGGACAGAAGGTGATGCTGGATTAGAAAGTAAATGTCTGTGAAAAAAATCCATTACTGATTTAATTCTGTCATCTCTTTAAAAGCAAGCTTTACACGGAAGATTTACAGTAAATTGATTTTTGTCTTCACTGTAAAACGGTTGTTTAAAGAGCCGTTTGCGATCATTGATAAATGATAAATCGTATATATTTTATTCCCAAATCTTTTTTTTTCAACTTGATTCTTAGAGTCTTTATCCACCCATTTTACTTGATGTTGGAAAAAAATTTAGGTCTGTCCGTCCGTCTCGATGTTGTGTGAAACATTTTTGTTTCTGGACAACTCTTAAGAAGCCTTTAAGGTTTTGCAATTGAAATTTTATACATGTATAAGCCTATGAATAAAAAGAACCATATTGATTTTGAGATTAAAAGGTCAACTTTAAAACACTTCCAGACTTTGTAATAAAATATTATATTAGGCCAAAATAAAATTATAGTTTGTTTGGAATTGCCTCTCGCCTCATTGAAATGCCCCCTCCTGAAAAAATTTTATTGATCAAAAGTAGGAAGATTTTTTTTTTATTTAATCAATTTTTTTTGCCCATTACATGTAACACATGCACCATACAAAACACTGAAATATAGTGTAGATATCTATGTAAAATTATGTTTGTTTTTTTTTGTTAATTGTAGATATTTTTGTTTAAAGTCAGAAAATGTATTTACTGTTTACTCAGAGATATTTATAAAAAATTTAAAATTTTTCTTCCATTTAAAACAAAAAAAAATTTCCCTCCCTCCCTCCTCTGTCTGAAAACCTTCAGGCGGCAATTCCAAACAAACAATTTTTTAAGGATGGCCTTACAACTCCCCAAGGTCCAAAGTTTAAGGTCTGTAATACCGGTTTATATTGCATAATTCATATCGTTTTCATGATTTTTCTAAAGCAATCGCAATGAAGTCCTGTTGGTTTTGGGGCCAAAAACTGAAAGGTCAAGATTGATTTCTTTTTATTTTCCGTTATAAATAAGCATATAAAGTTGATCAGGTCCGTCTTCCGTCCATCCGGTATTTCTCCTTCCGTTGCACTTTGTGTTCAGCCCAGTTCAAAGCTCAGTTTTCAAAGAAACTCTTCAAGATATTTTTATTAAATTTCATATGCTGATACATATTGATAAAATATATTCAATTTATAAAAAAAAAAAATGACCTTCACCTTTCCTTTAACTATGACCTCACTTTTCTAAAATTAGTGTTTAGCTCAGTTCTAAGGAGCCTTTTTAAGAAAGTGTAGTCAAACTTCATATGTTGATACATATGTTTACTAATGTCAACTTTTCAACTGCATTAACATTTTTTTTAATTGAGCTTTCTTTTGACCTTGACCTCAATTTTCTAAATTTTGACATAAAACATGAAAAATCATATTTCTACCTAACTTTTCATGCTTTTTCTTACTTTAAAATTTAAAGTGAGACCTGTTCAACTGCATTAAAACTTTTGACCTTGAATTTTCCTGTGATTTTGACCTCACTTATCTTAAATTTGCATTTAACTTAGTTTTAAGGAAACAAAGATATTTTTTACGTTTGATTATGTTTTTATAGGCCTACATAATTTGATAGAACCTGTGACACACATGTATAATATGTTTAAAAGAAAAGCTTTTCAATTTATTGGGGGGAAACACAGTTTTATGAGGAAATCATGCCAAAGTGACAGTATTTTTTTTTTTAAGCATTTTTATCAAGTTTTATTTCAAAATATGAATTATTCTAATATTTTCAGTATTTTTATACAGTGCCTGATTCAATTGTCAACAACTGGTGTGTATTTCATTCTCCTCATTCTACTGAGGCCATACAGGTAACCAACCTATCCTTTTTGTTTTTAGCTCACCTGAGCAGAAGGCTCAAGTGAGCTTTTCTGATCACATTTTGTTGGTTGTCCGTCCGTCTAGCTGTCTCTCTGTCTGTCTGTAAACTTTTGACATTTTTGACTTCTCAAGAACCACTGGGCTAATTTTAACCAAACTTGCTACAAAGCATTCTTGGGTGAAGGGGAATTTAAATTATTAAAATGAAGGGCCAGGTCCTCTCACAAAGGGAGATAATCAAGAAAAGACAAAAATAGTTGGGGTCATTAAAAAATCTTCTTCTCAAGAACCACTAGGCCAGAGAAGCTGAAACTTATGTGGAAGCATCCTGGGGTAATGTAGATTTTAAATTGTTCAAATCATGACCCCGGGGGGTTGGGCGGGCCCACAATAGGGAATCAAAGTTTTACATAGAAATATATTTGAAAAAATCTTTAAAAGTCTTCTCAAGAACCACTGGGCCAGAAAAGTGGGGTCATAATAGGTATTACAAGGGGAAATCTGGCTAAGAATAGCATAGTCAAAGCTTCTCAGGTGAGCGATGTGGCCCATAGGCCTCTTGTGTTTGTTTTGATTTTTTGTCTCCTTTTACTTTTTATTTATAGGTGAATAAATCAAATAGTGGGCAATTTCACATTATTTAGAATAAATACACATGCAGGCGTAATCAGAACATATACATTGAGGGGTGGAAGGGGGGGGGGGGTTGCAAGTTGTTGTTTTAACATGGATGGATATTGCTCTCAGGATGCTCTTAATTTAAGAAAATAATTTCACTGACATTTTTCTTATTTATAGATAACATTTATTTAGGTTAGCTTTGTAACTTTTTACTACTTAGTTTTTTATACTGATTAATTTTTTTATCTTTCTCTGATTCTTGTTAGGTCAGTTGTATGGGGTACCAGAAAAACAGAGATACACACATTTTTTGAGGTAAAATTTCTATAATATATTCTTTTTGTCACAAAATGATGAAATATGTAGTTTCAACATCAGTTGAACCATAATAAACAAACTATTAAACAGGCTTTTTCCTTCCTTATATTCACGAGAAATGTTATTTGGAATATATAAGAAAGACCAATTAAATTTTCATAAAGTTGGTTATTATGTATAATTATAAACTTTAATAGTATAAAAAACTATAATCACACACTCTCTCAGTATAAAAACAATTTTACCCCTTATAAGTTTGCCCAGTGACAGTTCTGTGAAAGAACTTAAATTCACCTTGTTTTAAATTTGAACACTTGTTAGCTGAAGAGGTTCTCTAATACAGTATATATTTACAAAAATAAAATTTCCTTGAGCAAAAAGTCTTACTGTCTCTCTGACTCTGTCGTAATTACCCAATAATAAATTTCTAGCAAATGTGGCGGTCAGCTGGGTTCGAACGCAGGTGGCCAGATAGCTCATTTGGTAGATCACCTGACCAGAGATTCAGGGGGGCCGAGTTCGAATCCCAGTCTGGTCTGCTGCATTTTTCTCCTCTCCTGTTACAATTGGTGCCGTACCATGCCCTGGAACTGACAGGTGAGAGGCCTGATGGGGATGAGCCTGGGTTAGGGTCTCTGAGGGACCATAGACCTTTAAGGTGGGAGAAATGTGGCAATCAGCTGGGTTTGGTCCCCAGTGGACAGATAGCTCAGTCTGTTGAGCACATGACTAGAGATTAAGGGGCCGGGTTCGAATGCAGGTCTGTTCCGCTGCATTTTTCTCCTCCCCCTTTACACAAATAAGACATGATTAAAATAAGATCTGAGAGGGCAACACTATTGTGGATATATAATAAATAAACAAATTGTTTGATTTCCTATACATAGATATTGTCCACCCTGACAGTAGGTTTGATGCAGTCTGTACCCCTCCTGGTGACCCTGGGAGCAAACACTCCCACCCTCGAGTATCTGGTTCTGGGATGTATTGGATTGACACTGTTAATAGGGGTGGTCATGATTTTTTTTACTCCAGTGGAAAAAGTTGAAGAGGTATGATTTGCCCAATTTTAAGACCTTTCTGTCATTGCATTATTTTTCATAATTATCATCTTTTTCATTTTAAGATAACTCCATTAGATGGAAACCTAGGCTCTTCCAGTGAAAGTGTGCATTCACGACACAACAAAGTCGCACCGGCCCCTATGACTTACGAGGAAGTCATTCAAGAGAGAAGGAGATATGTAGAGTTTTCAGGAATAATCCTCATTTATAGTTTTAAGAGATATAACCTCATTTTGAATTTTAGTGGATTTACTCATGGTTGTGATAGATTTAATTGTTTACATAAAAAGGTTCATTACTCAATGAATGTAATTTCTAAACACTTCCTGGAAATAATGAAAAACTGATTTATTTGTTTTGCTTACTTTTTTATCAATAAATAATTAAATATCAATTTTATACTTGTTTTATACCATTTAAACTTGTCATTTAGATTTTTAGCTTTTGTCACCATTATTGAATTGGACTTCATTTGAATTGAGTGTGTAAAGAATCATAACTCCCATAAACCTGCATTTCCTTGCTGAGATATTAAATGTTATTTTTTATAAATCTGACATTCTTGATCAAGGTCATAAAACATTTGTTGAGATCAGTTAATAAAATTCCTTGGATCCTGGATGCCAACACCAGAATTTTAACTTTTCAGCATGATAAAGCCAATATGATATACATTTTTAATTTTTTTAATAGCCATATAGCTAGCAGCACAGGCTGCTGAACATTGAAAATACATTGTTTTGTTTATACCTTTAGTTACAGTCATTGCTCAGTTTACACTTTATGAAAATGCATACCCAAGGTTGGTATTTTTAAAAATATTCTTGCAAATCTACTAAATTCTTAACTTCCCACCCCCAAGATTTTTATGTGCCCGGATCGAAAGATCCGAGGCTATATTGTTTTTGTCCTGCCTGTCCTTGTCTGCAAACTTTAACCTTCGCCATAACTTTTGAACCATGAATGAAAGAGACTTCATATTTGGTATGCATACTCCACTACTAAGCTCTTTTAAATGACACCAACGTCAATGACCTTGTGACCTTGACTGTGACCTATACACTAAAAATAGTTTTTTTCTGCAAACTTTAACCTTGTCCATATCTTTTGAACGAGAAAGATACAGATTTATTACTTGGCATGCATACTCCACAAAATAAGCCCTTTCACATGACACCAAGGTCAATGACTTTGCGACCTTCTCTGTGTCCTATATGCTAAAAATAGCTTTTTTGAACCTTCCCCATAACTTTTGAACCATGTAAGATAGAGACTTCATATTTGGTATGCATACTTCACTAATCAATTTCTTTCAAATGACACCAAGATCAATGACCTTGTGATCTTGACTACAACCTATATGCTAAAAATAAGTTTTTTTTAAACTATGTTGCTGCTAAGAGCATAGTGTTTCACAAACACATCTTGTTCATTCTGAATCTTTTCATCATCAAAATTATAAAAAGAACAAAATGATTAAATCATTCTCAATGATTTTAATGGACAAAATGTTTGTTATAAACATATCCATTATAAATACTTTTTCTGTTGAACAGAAAGATAAGTAAATGTAAACGAATTGTTACATTCAAACATAAATCTCTCTAAATCTCTGATACATGTACTCTGATACCTAATGGTAATGATTCTCAGTATTACATATATACACTCAGTTAAAACAAACTGATGATTAGTGTAGCTTCTGCTAACAATAAACAAAATCTTAAACAATTCAGCTAAAAAAAAAAATTATTACAGTATTTTTAAAAGAAATTGAAAATGATGATAAAACTACACAACTGCTTTTGATAGGGCAAGTGTTCATCATTTCTTCCATTCTAACAAGTGAATTTAAGACCGTTGCCAAGCAATTATTCCTTTCCAAATGCACATTGTAGGATGCAGTATTACAACTTTAAAATGCCCTAATCTTGTGTATTTTTTATGTAATGAAACTCTAGTTACTGTTATAATTTTTTTTGGGGGGGGGGGGGTATAATAGAGCATTTTTAGGGGAACAGTAATCTAAAAGAATACAAATATTTTGTCTATGTCTACTTTTCAAAATTATTCTACCCATCTCTCTTTTCTTTATAATCGAAAACTAAATTTATACCAACAAAATCTGACATCTAAATTGAGCTGCCCCATATACTGTATACAGGGTTATTTTCGCCCCGTGTTATTTTCGCACTTTTGCACTTGTGAACAGTTTTGCCCCGTTTTAAATTCGCCCAATCATAGTTCTGTTTAAGAAATTATCCTGTGTAATTTCAATTTGCTCCATCTTAAATTCGCCCATTCAAGAAGAAAGTTTACAGTAATTGAAAAAAAAAAATTAAATCTGAGGGGTGCTTTTACTTCACCAAGAAAAAAATCCTTTTTTCTTCCTAGATAACATCTTATATAAAAAGTCAATGCTAAGAAAAATTAAAAAGACAAAGAAAGAAAGAAAAACACATACAGATATCCTTTTCACTCACACATAGATGAAAATATACTTATCCATTGTATATACAATAATAACATTTCTGAAAGCACCTTCTCTGTGCATAATAATTATATATCAAGTCATTCTACAATGATTGATACTCAATCATGTGATATAGAATATGGTGGGGAGGGGGGGGGGGCTTTAAATTACAAAGAAATTTTTAAAAAATATAACAATGGAGGGAAAAATACTTCTCTTTTTTGGGAAATATTTAAATCCTCCTATGAAATTCATGAAAAAGCAATCTCCAAAGAACAGTCATTTTCTGAGCATCTTGTTACAAAGATATTTAACAATGTGAAAATGGATGGGAAAAATATATATTTTATTTTTTGAAGATGTATATTTTAATCCTTGTTTGAATTTCATAAAAAATGAAACTCTTATTAAAAGAACAGTCATTTTCTAAGCATCTTTTATTTTTCTATACATTTACATTGTGTATTTCATAGGTTAGTGTATTTTGCATCGTCGCAAACCTGGATTTTGAGTCCGCAAGCTTCCTCAGTGATGATAGAGAGAATCGACGTGAATCACCCAGGGGTTACCGACGATGTGTATTTTGAAACTATATATTTCCCAAACAAAAACAAAACAAACAGTAACATTTTCTAATCATTAAAACAAATATTGAATTTATTAAAAAAAAAAATTAATAACCTTTACAAATTTCATAATTTTTTTTATTCAGCACTTTTGTATACTTCAAGAGATGCCCATTTCTTTAAAGCTTACTGAGGGGAAGGGGTGCGGGGTAAAGCTAGGAATGGTTATTAACAAAATATAAACAAAAACAATATCTGCCACACCTTAAATATCAAAACAAAATACCCCCTAATTTCCAGTTAAAACAACCAACAAATTATTGATATTCCTAAATCAGGTCTCTAAAAAGAGGATAGAATCAATTTTAGAATATAAAACCTCTTCAATAACAAAATTTTGTCAATATCTTGTAACAAAATATAGATGGCACTTTCTCTTTCTGAATAATGTCTTAGCACTACCGATTGCTTTTTTATTATACGATTTAAAATTGAATCTGTTATCTTTTATCTTGTTTCTGCTCAATTAACTTTTTACATGATTAAGTAATTATTCCTAATCAACAAAAAATAAATAAAATGATTTTTAACACTTCAAAATGTACACAATGCAATGGAATGAAATTAAACTTTAAAAAATATACATATCCTGTAGTTAGTATGATGTACCTGCCCATAAAAAATGATTCCCTAACAAACAACATTTGCGAGATGAAATTCAAATGCTACAAATACATGTAGTAATTAATATTGCATCATTAATCGTGTGTGCGATACTTTTTGTCGTTTATTGGTGTACGATGCGGCGTAATGCCCCCCGATGCCCTGTGAATGTTGCCCCACATACTCCCCCTCGGGACTGGGCTCTGGGGCTGGTAACAAGTGACTGTAACTTCTCTTCTGGCCTTGTGGGGTCTTCTGAAATTTAAAAGAAGTTCATCATTAACTGATGTCAAACTTCAGGCGGAATGATTTTAGAATCCATTTTATTGGTTTCTTACTAACCAGCCTGTGTTGCACATTAAGATATTATATTCCAAATTTAATTTGTGAAATATTGGCAAGTTTGACAACCTTATTTGATTCAAATTCATCACCATGAACCATTTATTTGTAAGTAACTGTGTATATATAAGGAGTATTTCCTCATTTTCCTGGGACACAAAATTAACAGTCCTGAACAAATTTCACTCGATTTATCTAAAAAAAAAAGTTGTCTCAAATAATAGTTATTTAATAGAATTAAATGTAAAAAGAAACATCGTAGTTTGCATGTAAGTAAAAAAAAAAAAAGAAGCAAGTTTGGCTGTCCTGAAAGGCTAACTTGTCAAATGTATTTTTATTTTAATTAACATACCAGTAAAGGTTGATTCTCTGTCCTAGATGTACCAGGAGGCTGTATTGGTTCTTTATATGACTGGGACTGTGCTGAAGACTGATGGTAATAATCTATGGTCTGCAAAAATAAGAAAACAATTGTCTGAGCATCATACCTTATCTAAACAGAAATGCATGCTAATTTGGATTAAAACATTGTACCATGACACTATTTTCTGAATTTATGCCCCACCTTTTTGGGAAGTGGTTCGGCAGAGGATGAGCTATAGGGGTGATATGATTCGTAGCTGGACTGAGGCGATGTCGCTGAATGATGAGTGGGTGTGGCCTCTGTGTGTCCTCTGTAACTATAATCGGAACTGCTGTAACTGTATGAGTCGTCATAATCCTGACCCGACACACTGCCGTAACCTGAGCTGTACGATTCGTCATGTCCACTGTAACCATGGTAACTGTAACCAGGTTGGTTGTAAGCGGCGTAGGCCGCTGCTTTAGCTGCTATATCTTGGTAATGCTGGAATTTATTCACATGGTTTCAATATGTTTTAATTGTGAGTTTTGTTGGTACAATACAGTATATTTTCCAAGGATGCAGCGAATTTGATCTTATTTTTATTTAACAAAGCACAATTTATAAACAATTTCATCAAAATTGAAGTGCAATACTTTGTTTTGGAGAGGAAATTTACAAAAAATCTGAATTTGAGAAACACTGATGTTACCTGATCATGGTTGTAGTTAAAACTTTCTTCTGCATAATCATAAGTGCTTCCTTGATTCTGCAAAAAATGTAAGAAATTAGATGCAACAAATGTATTAACTATTTGACATATTCTTCAGAGTTCAGGTAATTTTTAGCATTAGCATTGTCTTGATTCTGTTATGATTAAAATAATTCTGTTATAATAATAAAATGTCTTACCTGATAACTAGAATTATAATATCCACCATCACCCTAAAATATGTAAAGAGAGGATTAATCGGTACCTCAAAATGCAGTTCTAATTTTTGCTAAAAATATTTACAAACTCATCTTGATTATGGAACAGGGAATGAGAAGGAGTAGGGGGTGGGGGATTTCAAACTTACCCTGTTACTAGTATATCCATAGTACTGATCATATTCACTCAGTTCTCCTTTTCCTCCCTAATTATATATAAATTCATATTTCATTACAATTCCTTCCTCAAAAGAAATTGTAACATTACAACTAGTATTTGTAATTTAGATCTTTCAGAAATGAACAAGATGTATATTGTCTATATTTCACATGAGTATCAAGAACCAACTTTTTTGAATCTTCCTATATTTTTTCCTCTATCTCTTTGTCTTCACAATTCATGACCTATAAAATGACCTATAAAAATCCATAGTAAATCAATGCTATTACCTGTGGATTTCTTTGTTGAGTATGTGTAGTGTCTGGGTTTGGCAGCAGGCCTCCACCTTTTGGTCTACCTCCCCAGCCAGGCATCAGGTTCTGAGGAGGTTCTCCCAACAGGGACTGTTTAACTTCCCCCTCTTTATTGGGCTGACTGGCAAACAAACTTTTCTTTGGTGGTAGCCCTCTATGCACTAATCCAAGAATTTCTGGGGGAGCTGCCCCTAGCAATCCCTCTTTTGAATTTTTCAAATCCATGAGAGGAGTAACTTCCCCTGAGGTGCAGCCGAGATCATGACCTAATTGCACTGCGATCTGACCTATATTTGTCAGGCCACTGACATCAATGTTCTGTAGGTTTTGTGACACTGATAATAACATGGAACTGATGTCAGAGCCCGGGTATGGCTGATTTGGTTTACCGGGGGACAGTTTGGACAGGAGACTGTGGAGGATAATGTTGGACTGGGAGGCATACGGGTCCCCCAACAATGACGGCTTCTCGGTCTGAAATTCAGGAAAAGAAAATTTATCAAATTATATATAAGACATCCAGGTCTAAAAAGTCAGTTAATCTCTTGAAATGTTAGGACCAGAGAATTAGAACAGAGGAATAAGAACTGTTCTTTCTTACAACTTTAAATTTATATAACAAATTCTGTTTATAAGTACAGCTGTACATCTTTTTCTGGTTGATGAATTCCTAATATCAACACTGATATTTCTTTCATGTTAAGGTGCTCCTGTTATACCTGGTTATTGTTGACCTTCTTTGACATTAAAGTTGCAAGATCTACATCAAAAAACTGCAAAGATACAATATAACCCAAATGATGAAGAATTCTGTAATATTTATGGAAAATGCCTAAAAAAAATCATTCAACATTTCAAAGATAAAAATCAATTTCAAATCTATACAAAGTGCAACTTGTTTAGTCTGGATATCACTGGTTTCATAGCAATCTGTTGGATCAGACAACATTCTGAATATCACATTTTAAATATGAAATTACTGATTGGAACTTGCAATTTACATTGTACTAAGCAAGGTTTTGGAATATACAACAAAAAGATTAGACAAGTTGTACTTTAACTTGTTTTCTTTTTATCAATTTGAATACAAATTACGTTCAAATGATTTCTACATGAATTGATGTACAACAAAAATTTCTCTGTATACAAAAGCTACGTTTGTATTCAATTTCAAGAGGCAATTTTGTAAAGAATTCACCAAATCCTGGTATATTTTGGCCTTGTTTTCTGACCTGACTGCTGGGAGCTTGTATCTGGAGTTGGAATGCTAGCAGTATAAACAGCCCTAGCTGTACATTCACGTTCATCAGAGGACTTAATGGCATGGCTGGAGCAGGTCCCAGTAAACCTGTAACAAATGTCAGCATACACATCAATATTCAGTCCCTGCTTACACTAAAGCTAACATTAAATCTTTACAATGCTTTGTCACTTTTGAAGAACAAAACTTGCATGGTATTAAATTCAGATTAAGTATAATGATGGAAAACTGAAATTTCAACATCATCTTAAGATTTCTAAATCATGTCTGCTAAATCTTTATTTGAGCATCTGTTGTTCAAACATAAAAAAAATTCTTTAGAAGAGTTGATGCATAGGTCATGGAGTGAATAAAAAAAAAAATACTTGTATTTTTCATTGAATTTGTAGAAGTCTGAATTTGAATTTGAATTTGTCTGAATTATTGAGTTATGTTTATTAATTTTTTCAGCCTACCTGGTTTCTCTGGGTTGGAGGTCAGCTGTTTTATGTAGGTCTTGTGCATCTTCTCTAATGCCTCTTCAAACTTTTTCATCACTGAAATTTGAAGCATAAAAAAATTAACATTGGCTTTTAGATAATATTTTCATTATAATTACAATTCAAATACCCTTTAGCTAATAAAATCAGACAGGGCAAATCATTAAACCAAATATTGGATATTCTATCGAGAGTCCAAAGAATTGTCCTTATCTGATATAATGAAACATTTGAACCTTTATTAGGGATGGGGTGGGGATTCAGAGCAATAAAAAGATTGCATGATCAAGTGTTTCAGAGGTTATCTCTCTTTGTTCATTTATACTAATTCTACGCCTTGTCTTGTATCAAGGTAGAACACCAAGTATGAACAGTTAGGAATGAAAATTTGCAAAGTCCTTAAAAATTGGACTGACAAAAAGCAGTGGTACCATTATCTCAGGTAAAATAGAATTAAGAAAAGTTTACAAACATACTGGTAATGGGCAAGAAAACAGTTAAGACTTCAAACTGAATTCAGTTTGTCCAACTCAATAAAATCCATCTAGACAGTTTCAGTTGAATACTCACACGTAGGATGTTGTGAAGTGAGGCGCTGAACGAGCGGGTTACACAGTAGTTCTTTACAGGGGTGTACAGGGTCTGGTAACAAGCTTGGCTTACACACGTTGTCTGCAGGATTGTCCTGTATATACAAACACACAAAAACAGAACTATAAATCCAGATTAGAAATCACAACTTGTTTTCATTATAGCTGCAGTTCTTAAAATCCAAATTAATGAGTTTTCAAAACTCTTTTTTTTTTATATTTCAAAAGCAGCCTTTTTCATTTATTTTTAAAAGAATCTTACATTGAAAATGTAAAAAAAAAAAAATTTGGAAAAATATTTTAAAATTTTGGGAAATTTTTTTTCAGGGAAAACAGCCTCTTTTCGGCTTTTGCCCTTGGGTTTGATGAATCATAAAATACACTGAAAGTTATAATCTTCACGAAAAAATAAATATATGTTTAATGAAGTCTGTGAAAATTGTTTCCTTTTATGACAGAAATCTTCATTTTATGCATGGATATCTATGCAAATACTGGGAAAACTTACAAATTTACTCATAAGCCTAGAACATATTGTGACTGCTGAGATCCCTGGAATACAATATGTTATCCTCATTGGCACATCCAGAATTTTGTGACCGTTAAGGTGTCTTTCGGACTTTTCTGCCTCTTGCCAAGACCTGTACTCGATTATTCCATAACCTAAGGACTTTCCATCTTTCATCACAATCTAAAAAGATGAAGTACGTATAGGAGAAAGAATATACAGAAAATCATATGCCTAAATATGGTCATTTTTTCCCTAATTTCAAAAAGTAGTTAATGATATATCTGAATTCTGATATCATATAGTCATTGCGACAAACAATTTATCCTAATATACTACATTTAGTTGATATATTTTCGTATGTAAACCAATTCTTTCTGCTGACAGAAACTTATAATTAACAAAGAGGCTAAATCAATTAAGTAATCATTCCTTTTTGTAATCTGGAACTTTTAACTATACCTGGCAGTAGAGTGGACTAGAGAGAGCACTAAAGACATCCCTAAACTCTGACGTGTTAGTGAAATCCTTAGGCAAATTGTCCACAAACAAACACTTGGAGTTTAATTTCCTGTAGGAGGAGAGACTTTTGTCCAGAAAATCACAGTGTATATGGTGTCCTTCCACTAATTTCCAGTCCAGTTCTGTACGTATACTCGATATTTGAGTGAGAGGAGCACTATATTCCACAACTCCACAGAATTTAAAGTCATCTGTCAAACAAAGCAAATTACATCAAGAATTAAATTTTCATCTGTTTTTCTACACAAAAAATAAGTCACCTCAAGGGATCTTCAGAAAATTATCATTTAGTTCTTAATTTATGAATATATAAGTGATTTACCATAATTTATGTACCAGTATAATCAGTGTTCGAAATTCGGAATTATTTTTTGTGGGTCTAAAGGACCCACTGATAAAGGGTCTACACAAGTCCTTCCAAGGCAGAATAGGCCCCAAAAAAATACCATCAAATATTTTGGGAAAATAAACTTTCATTAACAATCTTGGTAAGTTTATCAATTCCTTACCTATAAAAAAAAATCCTGTTATCTAACTAAAAATAAAGTTAATATTACTGTATAAATGTAAACATACTTTTTGTTTCCTGTAACCCCCAACCCCCCCCCCCCCAAAAAAAAAAAAAAAAAAAAAAAAACAGGGTCTGTATGTAGGGGTTTTTTTTTGCCTGTTGTACGATCTCAGATATTGAAGCAAAATAAAGTTTCCATTTAAAACATTAATTTTCACTTTCCCTACATATCTAAATAAATAGGGCCAAACATCCTAGGACTGAAGTAACCAGGTGGGATATTTACAGTAGACACCCAACATGGCTGTCTTAAGATATAGAAAACGAAGCTAAACAAATATTGGGGGAGGAAATGCTAGACGATATAAAAATGATCATTCCTCTTCAGGTTGACAAGGATAACATATTTATATTTCAACTATACTAAGCTACAATTAACATTCTTTATAAAAATTGCATCAGCTGATTGAAACCGACACAGATATGGTAGTAATTTGAATGTGTCGGTCGAGTTATAGGAAAGAAACATTTTTCAGGCTTTTTTCTTGGCTAATCATCATCGGCCCAAAATCATTTCAAGGACCCATTTAGTTATACTATACATGAGTCCTTCCGTTTGTACGTCGGCGCAGGACCGACGGACCGACGCTAATTTCGAACACTGAGTATAATACATGTATACGGTGAAACTTGTCTTTTCAAGATGTTACATATTTCAAAATCTTGCCTAATGTGAAGTAAACTTTACTGGTAAGTCCCTTTTAGTCAATTGTTTAAAAATGTTTTCCAATTCCATAATGCTTTCTAATCTGGCCAATATTGTCCAGATTAGATTAGATCAGCTGTTCTTAGAAATAATTGATTTCTGCATTCATGTATCATTACATTTAATAAGTTAAAGAGAAAAGAACTTACTTGTAGTTTGGCCTCGATAGAGAAAGCACTTTTTGACAGCACAGAATGGAGACACAAGGGCTCGGAATTTTTGTAGAGTGTAATCCTGAGGCAGATGAGCGCAACATAAAAGTTTCTCAGTCTCACATCGATCTATACTTATAACACAGTCTTGGAATTTGGTGTTATGTAAATCTAACATTAACTGTTCAATTTCACTCCCACTCTCAAGTACAACCACAGCTGAAAAAGAGAAAACATGCATCTTTATGCATTCAAATCTTATATAAATATCATTTTGTTATTTTAATAAAAGGACAATTTACTTTTTTTGGTACATATCCAGTATGCATAACTTAAATAGTCAACACAACGAGACAGGATCCGACTGGCAGTCTATTGACTCCAAGACTAACAGACTAAGTACACAGAGCTAATGCACTTACTCTAGAGCTTCAGAAAAACAGTACATGAGGTTGTTATTACAAGTAAATTCAGTACAATTATAATTACCTTTTCTTTGCCCTGGAATGATTTCAATACTCTTTGCTATGTATGCCCCTAAAAGCACATTTATGTCATCCTGAAAAATAATAGTTATGAATATTAATATATATATCTTTAAAAGTCTATCTCATATTTATGCTTAACTTAATAAGATATCTATTTCATCTTTTAAATAATATGTTTCATCTTAAAAAAAATATTAGGTATCATTATAGCAATCCAGCAAGCTCAATAGACTAACATTTTCTTATAAGAACAGAAAAAATCTGAACTGAAATAAAAAATTATGTGTAAAACCTTCCCAGATTTACTTTACTACCAGGATTTCATGCAATAATGGTAAATGTAGCATGCCCTCAATTACATAAAATTAAAATTTTTTGCAAGGAGCTTGAAAATTGATGCATGCTTTTGTTTAAATATTGCACTTGGTCTTTTTACTCTTTAAGGGACAAGCAATTTATAAACACATCATGTGACATTAGAAATTATATTTTGTCTCATACAGTTTGATTCATTCATGCATTAAATGTTGTTTAAATCCCACCCGAGAATTTTTAACTCGCAATAAGACATCACCATATCCCAATAAAGGGCTTAAAATTTTGACCTTTACTCTGCACTCAAGGCATTCTGCAGATAAGGATCTTTGTCGTGCCAATCCCTACAGTGACATGCCATTATGGGGCCTTGGTTTTTAAGGACTCATCCAAAGGACCCACAACATCCACTTCAAAGTACTGTTCAAAGTACTGAGCTCGAGGGCATAGCGAAATAACAGTTGCTACCTACTTTTATTGACTTAGGTCAGTCATAACCAAGATTCGAACTCATGACCACAAAGGGATTCATGCAGTTTGAAGTTTAAAGAGTCGGATAAAAGTAACTTAAGTGTAAACAGTACGATTCTGCACTTGCCCAAACTGTCAAACCGTAAAACATTATTTTTTTAGGATGCAGCAGTTAGATTGGATAGACTTTACTTAAATAGTTGTAAATGCATACAAAGTTTCATACTAATTCATATATGGAAACATCTGTACAATAGCCTTTGGACTTAAACTATTTTCATTTTTGATAACTCTTACTTTCATTTTGAATATTCAACTCATTTCTCCTATTGCATTGTACTTCTCTAAGAATTCTGGAAGGTCTGATTTCCTAATCACTGTAGCATTCAATAGAATATATTTGAACCTAAGTGATAAGGTGCAGATTTTAACATTGAATCCTTGATTGACCATCTTACTTCATTTGCAGAAACTGGCAAATTGCTGATCAATATTGGTCGATCTCTGTAAAATTCTTCCATAGACAATTGGAGAAGCTCAGTAGGAGATTTTCCCGCTGAACTGCTATTGCGATTTGAAGAAATCTTCGGTGAAGTTTCTGTTTTTTCTTTATCCATATCTGGATTTTGGGAACCACTGATGGCCGTCGCCATGTTGGATTTATAAGATTTGAAACCAGAAAAAAATGTTTTTATTCCGGAAAAGTTTAAATGACGTTAATTATATTTAGCCGAGTTGATTTAGTCTTGAGTCATCTTCTTTTCAAAATGGACACGCATATAAATTTATATTGACCAGACAGTGGATAAAATTTTAATGATCTATATGTCAGGATCCGGATTATGTCCCTTCCGTTTTGCTTTTAGTTTTCCCATCATTCAGTAGAAAGTTTACATTTGTGGAGTAAACATCATTACGAAGAAAAGTGCTTTCAAACTTGTTCTGAGTTATATCAAACACTGTGGCATCAACATGCAGTATTTTAAAAACAGTGATTTAACAAATTGATGGATGTGACATTTGCACAATTTTCTCCGTCTTTATATTGATGACGGATGTTATCATGACGAAAAAGAAATTTTGCCGGGTACTTTGTTGGCACATGGCCAATGACATTTCCTCGCTTCCCTAAATTATGCATTGAGCATAATAACTTGTGATTAGGAATATTATTTATTTAGATTTTTGCAAAAATTACTGCGATGACATGAGTGCATGTGTTCAATCTTTTTCTCAACTTGAGAAAAGGTCATAATGTTGATAGAGAAGATGACATCCATGAAATCCAACCTGCGGAGATCCCGGACCATTGCGGAGGGGGATTACGTTTCTTCAGGGGTGGAGGAAAAAGAAAACTCTCCTGAATCGTTCCGCCCCGCGTCAAACTCCTGTCAGGCCCTGAAGCATGCAGTGTCGGCTTTGACGAGACTTGATGACTTCGTCCTAGAAAAGGTCGGACAGGGGTTCTTTGCTGAAGTCTTCAAGGTATAACTTTAAAAACAATTTACAATGCAAATGAAAAGAATTTTGACAAAAAACACTTTACTTGTAATAGGTTCAGCCTTTTATGTATCTGCACAACTTTTAGTTCAGTATCTCCTAAATCAGAATATGTACATTCAGACTACCAGTATGTTTTTGCCAACTTGTCACATGTAGCTGCTGCAGTGGATTGTATGCAACATTAATACGTAATGCATGCTTTCAGTTTCTTAAACTGTCCATTTTCATTTTTCTGCAGCCATGATGTAAAAATAAATTGCTCGGTAGAGACTAAAGTTCAATTATTATTTTTACTCTTATAATTTATAATTTTCTTTTTTATCAGTCTGTAAAATAAATCACAAAGTTCTGGGTAAATTGAGAAAACAACAAACACTTACAATTAAGATCATCTGTATGAAAATTTTACATTTTCATGATATGACATGAGTTTACTTGGAAGATTATTAGATATAAATTAACTTAAAGATTATAAGATGATTGATCAGGATTAGGGGTGAAGGTCATCTAAGTGAGATTTGTAAAGACTAAAAATAGTGGTCTGAAGTCTCTCCCTTAGATCCAGACTGGCAGAGAGACGTCCAGCCAAAATTTTTAGTTTCTACTTTCTACAAATCTCACTGAGATCAGGGTTAAGGGTCAGTGTATTAAGATATAGAGGGGTAAAAGTAAATCAGAGAAATGCAGATTTGTCTATAAAAACTGGCGATATATAAAGGAAACATTGAAAAAGTTTCATTAGTATATGGCTATCTGCATCTATCGTTATGTAATCTTAATATAATTATAAATTGTCATATTATGTAGTATATTGAATGTTTTTAATTTATAAGGATCTCTTTTGGTATCAATTTTAAAATTTGAAAAATAGTCTGGTTAGAAAAACCCAGTTCTCAAAATTTAGTTCACTCACTTTGTTAGTAATAGTTCAAAAGCTTGAAAATCAAGTATATAACACATTTGAATATTGAAATTCAACTTCACAGCAAGAGCAACCCGGTGATGAAAATCAAGTGGCTTTACATGTGATTTATAAACTCTTCATGCTCAAAATGAATTTGAGATGAACTAGAGGGGGTCTCCAGACTGAAATTCTTGATAATCAGAGAGTAGAAATATATCATATGATAGAGTACATGTAATAAAATCCAAGTTGTCTGTTTTAACAATTATTTGGTTTTTAGGGCTGGGACGATACAACTTTTTCTATATCGATATGTATCACGATATTTGAGCCACGATACGATATGTATCACGATATGTTTGATTGCTGATAAATTCTTTTTTTGCATTGAAATAAACAAATAAGAATAATTTATTCAAAATAATTGTTTACATATTGTAAAACAAAAATATTTTACTCAAGTGGTGTTAATTATTATTTATTTCATATTTATATTTATATTTAGCTTATTTATTTTATATATTAAACCCCAAAAGTTAAATAAACAAAGAAAAACAGAAGTAAGATTTTTTTGGGCGATATTCCGATATTTCTTCATATGTATCAATATGCGTATCGTCCTAACACGTATCACGATATATCGATATCTCGATATATCGTCCCAGCCCTATTGGTTTTGATATCATACCTACCTATATTGGAAAAGCAGAAGTTCATAAGTAAAACACATATCATATCTATTAAAAAGTATACCTAATGTAGTAAGTATTAAGTGTTTCTCTGCCCATTTGCCATCATAAAGGATTATATAAAGAACTATGGGTCATATCCCCCTTCCCATGGGTCAGATTTATGGTTTACTGGAACATGTATTAATTAACCAACAAGGTTACTCATTATATCATATTTCACTAGGTTGTAGTCTGCTTCATAAAACATTTACCCTCATGTACGTAAAACACTGTAAATGTGCACGGAAAATAGCCACTTGATGACTTCAAATAGTGAAAAATTTAATATTTGTTCAATGTACATATCAGTGCATCTCTCCATACGAAAGAGCTGTAAAGCCAATATACTTGAAGTTGTGTCTCCAAGTTTGACCATGAGATGGGTAGATGCAATAACTTTTTGATAGGAAATATTTAAAGTACATGCATATATATATCACTTAAACGGTGACTAGATACCTATTGCCTGTTCATAAAACACAGGCTATGTAAATGCTGCTATTGACACAATTCTATATAAGAGCAGGTTAGTCAGAGATTTTTCTTCCCTCCCCCAGTGTCTAGATGTTTATGATGTAATCCCCCTCTTGTCTCAGGCATCTCCTTGTTCCCCGACAAGTGACAAACACAGTGCCGATGTATCTGTTTTTGCCACTGGAGCAAAGTGGCCTGGTACATAAGTATATAAACATTTCTAGGTGCAGGTTTCTGCCTATAGACGTTGTAGAAACTGCTACCTGTAAGAAGTGTGTCTACATTGCCGGCTGATAGAGCTATGCATACACAAACAATTTTAAGGACAGATATGACCCAGTAAAAGAATATATTGCCTTTTATTTATTACATTTAATCCCCAAGGAGTTTTCTGGGTCAGATGTTTATTTGACTAGACAGTTTGAGAAGGTCGTTTACCAGCTGAAAGTCTGACTAAGGTTCAGGCAAACTGGACACACCTATCATAAGTTGATACACGATCATTATGCTCATCAAGTCATTGGCTCAAAAACTTTCACATTTATTAATTAATACAGGTAATAAATCTCATGTAAACAAATGAAAGGAATTCTCTAAGTACCTTACATACTTTAGATCACTATATTTTTGTGACACCTTATTTTCGCAAAAAAAAAAAGTCATTTGCTCTTTATTAGCAAAACATAATTTTCATGAATCGTGGGTATTGCTCTATATAATCTATATATCAAAATTAAAATACGCAAGAATCAGATATTTTCACAAGCACACTGTCTTGCATAATTACGCAAAAACAAAGTTCTCTCAAATAAAAAGTGTTTTACAGTATACATCACATTTAACTTGTAGTTTTATATTAACTTTCTTTATCTAATATACATGTGTTTGGATGGACATAATAAAAGTCATTTAGTATTCACACTCTCAATTAAATGTTGTAATGATGCTGACCACAAATGAATTGTAAAAAAAAAAAAATGAATTTTTGAAGTACATGAATTGTAGTTACAGATCAGCAGGATTTTTATTTAATGTTAAGAGTGCATGTTCATGTAATGTATTAAGGTGTGTACATAATCTGAATGTGTGCAAGGTGGCAATGAAATGAACGTTGTATGTGTATTCTCATCATGTCTATAATTAATTGTTGTTGCGTTAATGAGAGATGTGTTTATTTCCTCCTAAAGGTCACCCACAAGTCGACTGGTCAAGTGATGGCACTAAAGATGAACATACACTCCAGTAACCGCTACAACATGCTGCAGGAAATCCAGCTCATGAATCGACTGTCTCACCCCAATATACTCAGGTATAACTCGAAGTCAAACAATTAGTATGTAATACATGTAATATGCATGGAGTAATTTCTATGGATAATCTTTGGAGTTTCAGAGAAATTGCAGAGATTGCTAAATACGTCAATCTGTAGAGTCCTCAAAAATTTTAGATGTAGTCTATGGAACAGTACCGTTGATTGAGTATATATCACATAAAAAAGAATAGGGGTGGGGGAATGTGCACATTGTTTGCAACTTACATAAAGATATAATTCTTATTTATTTCTCAGGCTTATATTTCATTGAGAACCATACCAGTAATTTGTTAGTGAAAACTTTTGCAAGTGAGGATCAGATCAATATTACATGTACACCAATTGCAGCCATTACCTGTTATATTCAAAATTATATTAAACCTTGAGGGCCCTTGATTTGTGAATAAATAAATATTTCATTATATAGCCATGTCAATGAAAGAGAAATAAAGAAAAAGTATTATAATTGAATATTTTATTAGCTAGCATGAAGGAAGGAGGAAGGAGAATTGTTGTATAGGAGTGACAATAATTGAATGCACTTTTAGAACTTTTTTTGGGGGGGGGGGGGAGGGGTTGTTAGTAAAATGCCTAAATTCACTTTCTTAAATGGTATCCTTAGGGGTTTGTTACCAAATGTTGATCAAGATGTACAGGTTGAGTGATATACAGGTTTCCAAATTAAACAGGAAACACGGATACAAACAGGAGTCAAAACTAATCGATCACCATTCTCTAAATATCCCTTAATCTGTCCTATCAGCTCGTACACAAACAATTAACTGGGCAAATGGAAGCTCGAATTTTGGACAGTTTCTGGTGATATCTTGTTGGCATGCTTCAAAATTGATAATTTTTTCCTCCCCTATCAGGCCAATAATTCATGAGGCTTTGCTCCTGACTTTGATCATTGCATTGATGTGAATAAGACTGTATCTTTAAGTGGGGCATGTTTATCAACAATTTATAATTAGTTAGAGAAACAAGAAAAAGGTGTTTTATTTTCCCCCCAGAAATAACAATTTGTATTACATGAGCAAAACAGATTTTGTGTTTTTTAAATAGGTAGCCCCTGCTGGTCTTGGGGGAAAACTAAAAAAAAAAGAAAATAAAAAAAAAAGTTTAATATGATTCAAACATTTTAACTGTCAGAATGTAGTGTTCATTGCTTTCAACTTTATTTTGACACAAAACAATTTGACTAACCAGTTTGTAATACATGTAATTGATTTTTTTTTACAAGAAATACTTCTCTTATCCATAAATTGGCTTTCAATATATATCTGTCTAAGTATCAAATAAGTTTTACCCTATTTGATTGCAAAATATATGAAACCATTCCTCTCAATTTGAATGATCATTTGATAGTTCTGTTTGTTGAAGAAAAATATACAAAAGTCATGGAAAATCTCAAATTAAATGTGTCCTTTTACTTCTGATCATGATGATATACAAGATTGGTGAGAATTTCAACTGTGAACATGGTCAGGGAAGTTGACACCTCAATTTTTATCTGAACACATGCTCCAGTGGAAGAATTAAATTACACATCCTCATTGTCATGAAGTGTGGTAGGAAATCATTTGAAGGGGTAAGGAAGGCATATATAGAAATGCAGTCACAGAACATGTACACAATAGCACTTTTTGTCACATTCAGATAGACACTTTATGTACATATACATGTTCATATATCAACAGAATTATTTAGTTCTTTTCATTATGGTTGCAATCTGATTGTAAAGGCTGGAGAGTTGCAATTTTGTCTGCATGTTTGTAATAATGCTTTCCATTTGCAAAATCATCATTAAGAAAATGACACTTTCAAGGAGAATTTTAGATTTTATTTAGTTTTTTTTCCATTGAGTTTTAAGTGTAAACCATTTTTGTAAATTCTTGAATGTTAAATAATTGAAATATGTAACCTGAAATTTTTCCGTAAAATCAATGTTGAGTGTTTACATTTTTGGGCAACTGCAAATACAAGTAACTATTAGTATTAAAGTATATCTGGAACATTGATACTTGAACTCTCACATGATGGTACATGTATTTACAAATATATTTTGTGGTTGACGGTACTTGTACTGGAGGGTGTAAATATAGATCAATCCCAAAGTAGTAAGTCATTTAGTAATCAGTCAAAGCAACCATCTGTTTCCCCCCAAGTACTAGTACCACTAATTCATTAAAGGTGTACTTTGGTCCGGTACTAATACATTGTACTACTAATCAAGAAAGTGTATATACCTCTGTTTCTCAGATTCTGCAAGGATTCTCAAAGTCCAGAGGCAGCCATAGCTGAATTGACTCAATCTTGTTTTTTCGTTTTTATGCTGAACATCTCAGAAAAATTTTTTATAACAAGTTTAGCTATTTTTCTTACAAACCTTTAGAATCTGCAAGTTGCATGTATTATTCTCATGTACTGAGAGAGTTGTAAGTTATAATGACTGCCTTGATCTGCACTTTGAGGATATTACATGCAACTTGCAGATTCAACACGTGCAGTTATGTCATATCTGAATTGACTTGGTCTTTTTTTTCATTGTTATGTGCTAAAATTATTTTTTCAAGTATTTCTCAGAAACCTTTGATTTTGCAAGTTGCAGGAATGATCATTCCTGAATAGAGGCAGCCATAACCGAAATTGCCTCGATCTTGTTTGTTCATCATTACACTGGAAATCATTTTTTCCACTCAGTCTTTAGATCAGCGTTATAGTGTTGTTATGTACGGTACCCTCATCAGCTCCTGCTAGGAATTTGTTTAGATGAGGAGGTAGATGATCTTTATTGTTACATTAAAGCAGGCTGATATTACGAAGGAAAACTCTGTAGACAACCCCCCTCCGCATGTCAAGGTCAAACAACAAAAACATCAGACTGGTGACTTTACGTACATCCACATCGGAGGGATGAAGTTCTCATTGTTATTGTAGCGATTGTGTGTGTTTTATCTTTTATCAAGCAATATAAATTCAGGAAACCCAGATGTGAATCTATACGAAAAGGCAAAATGGAAGAGAATTAGAGATAAAATTGATATCATAATTCAGTATTTTATATACAAGATAGAACCTCTCTTCTTTCAGAATGTTAATAAGATTGTTAATATTATTTGAGAGTGGTGATTTGCATGAAAATACCATTTTAATGCAGATGGTTTTATAACAATTAAACAGATTTTATTAACACCAAGATATGCATGGACATATTAAATCGTTCAAATACATGTTTAGAAAAATCCCTCTTGACATGTTGAAAAATTGTGTTAAGTTATGAAGTAGGTTTTGTGAACGCAGTTTTATACTTAACCTAGTTTCATTCATCTTGAATTAAATATACACAAACAGGATGCAATGAATGTCATCTTTAGACATCAAGTGTGTTCTTATATATACATGCATACTGTACATATTCAAATTGAATGTAGTACTTGTTTTACGCTATGCATGTTGACCATTAATCAACGCCAATACGCATTATTTTTATAAAGGCTTGTTGTATTATGAATTCATTTCAAGGGGCTTAAACAGAAAGAAAAATTGAAATTTTTCTGACACCTGTTTTAAAATATGTACATACATTGAAAGCAAAAGTGTTAGATCTTTTTTTATTATTATTTGTATACCTTTTTACATTCTTCGTTAGAATGCACTGACCCAGAACACAACACTAAATGGAAAAGCAATATACCTGTTGAAAGTCTATTAGCCATAGGAGGTCATTTTGTTCATGGTTTTTTCTATGCTAGATCACTATAGGCCTTTAATTACCACTTAATATGTAGGGTTTAGAACTTACTTTTATCTAAATTGAATGTTGTGGGCAGATAAAATCATGACAGGCCATTGGCAGCTCCTAAAGGGTAATAATATTATGGAAGTGAAGTCCTATACATAAGTTTATAACTATATTGTTAGGACAGCTGTTGGTGAACTTGTTGAATTTGAGTAAATTAGAGTAGTCATTTTCCACTGGGTATTTAAGGATAAAAATCTTGTGAATGAAATTTCTTTATGCAGAAAAAATAATAATGAATTTCACAACTTAATATACAATAACTGGGAAGAATCATTGATATCTGAAAAGTAGATATGATTTTTTTTTTTTACTTTAACAGAGAGGGGGATTTAAGATAAAGAAATGCTAGGTTGTTCTGATGTATCATTTGAAAGCTAGCTATAAACAGCAAAAGGTTTTTCAGGGCTATTACTGTCTCAATCCACATAGTTCCCTTGCATGTTGCAAAGCTAACTTGACACTTGCCATATTCTTGTGCATGCAAGTATCTGTAAAACATTGTTCACATGGATACATTATTTCCTACCATTATTCATGCTCAGAACAGTCTGTAAGTCTGTTGTTATTATTTTCAAACAATTGTCTAGAAACCACTCATAAAAGAAGTATGCAATATTTGAAGCATACAAATATATTACTAACAGAAATTCTTTGTGACTGTTCAAAATTGGCAGAAACACTTGGTACATTGTGTGTTTGTATATGTGTGTGTCATCTGCACAGTAGATACCGGGGTACATAAGAATTCCTGTCTTCTGTCTGTTTGTCTGTCTGTTTAGGAGAAGTAACTTTTTAACACAAATATATATTCAGAATATTCTATTCTTCTGTCATTTCACATGGTCTCAGTGAGATGATACCTGTTGAAAAGTCAAGGTCAACAGTTTTGTCACTCTAGCTGTGACTCTTTTACCCATGCTCTCTGGCATAACTAAAGGCTAAAAGAACAGAGAGGGGGTTGGGTTTTTTTTTCTCACAAAAATGTTGAAATAATTCTCTTTATAATTTTTTTTTCGTTGTAGATTTCTAGGAGTATGTGTACATGAAGGCCAGCTACATGCTTTGACTGAGGTAAGCAAAATTCCACAACTCATCAATTGGGTCATCTTGAGTTTTATTTCTGAGAAAATTGTATTTAATGGTGCAAGCAACTGTTTAATGTGTTGCCTCTTATGCATTCTCATCAACTGAGTAAAGCATTTTTTGCATATTTCATCCAACTACGCAAGAAACATTACTACAACAAAAGGGCTGAATGTGAGCTGATTTTATAATTATCAAAATTGTAGAAGCTTTTAGAAAAAAAAATTGGAATGATGTAAGATAAGATGAATGTACTGTTAAGTTACCTGATTGATCAAAGTTTTCTGCAAGATGTGCACAAATTGCTCTCAATGTATGCACAGAAGACAGACGGCTTTGATGAATGTGTCTAAGAACCAGTGTTCTATTACGATGTACATTTAGTATGTAGATGCAAGATTTTTTTATCATTTGCAGTTTTAATAAAAATGGCTGAGCATCATTCTCCTATGTTTATTAGTGTTTAATCCAAATAAGTTGGATAAATTCTCTGGGAAAGGAAGGGAAGATGTAGCTTGTCCCTCTCCCTTTTTTCAAGATAAATAAATTGAAAACTTTCAAAACATCAGCAACTTAAAATATGAAAATCTTTAAAATAATTGTCACTAATTTCCATTCATAGAGCTATGTGCATGATAAAGTCTATTATACAATTTGAAAAAAATTGATTTTTAGCAACTTGATGAATATGTATTTTTTGTAGTTTATGAATGGCGGAAGTTTGGATCGTCTGATTGCTGATGAGAATATTGAGATGCCATGGACACTGAGGATAAATCTGTCCTCTGATATTGCCAGAGGAATGAAGTATCTACACAGCAGGGGCATATTCCATAGGGACCTCACATCAAGGGTAATTGCTGGGGTTTTCATACCTAAAAATTACTGCTGAATTTCTGCTGTGTTCTCTTGAAAAAAAGTTGTTGAATATTTCAAAAATGGTGTCATAAATCTCCAATGAGGTTTAATGGTCAAATTTTTAAAGCAAATTTTGTAATCTTTTACCTGTAAGATATGCTTTTGCATAAGTGGTGTCAGGAGGTTGTGTGATTGTTAAATAAGTAGGGTGTCAGGAGGTTGTGTGAATAAGTAGTCATATGTGTGGGGCTGTTTCCCTAGATAGTATATATATATAGATGTAATTCACTAATTGGTAATATTTACATAAAAAATCTCTTTAAGTTTACTTATAGCCTAAATTATTCCAGGCATAAATTTCCTCTTTAACAGTTTTGTTGATATGCCAGAAATTTCCCAACCTGTCCCAGAAACTTGTTTTTCAAATAATTCCCAATATCCAAAAACATTGATGATTTTTCCAAATTTTGTGTGAAAAACATCATAAACATTTCTAGTGTACATGAATTTTCAAGAATTTTTTTCCTCATTTTTGCTCTTTTTACATTGTGCATTTCCTACATACCTTACATATTTTTATTAAATCTAATAAAGAACAAAATAACATAGGCTGGTAAAGTTATAACGATATGATCTGTCTCTCATGCCTTATAATAGGGAAGTAGGAATTGTTAGTTATTGTGTTATTGTAGTGTCTGGTACAGTAGGAAGTCTTATGGATAATAATAGGTCCTATTCCTCTTTAAACTTCCTTGAGAGCCTTTCTTTACTGTTCAGAGCAGGATTTACCCATGTAATACCGGGCTTTTCCTCTGTATCTATTTCCTTTAAATCCTATCTGTCTGAGGCAAGCATGTGATCACTGTGTTTATTTTCATTCATAGAGAATTTTTTTAAAACCATATACGACTGAAATTAATTTCTTGGTCGGGGTGGGGGGTCAATTCTTTGTTGGGGTGGGGGTCAATTTCTGCTGATAAAAACAACATGCAACAATGAATATTTTTATGGTACTAAAATTAATTTGCTTTCATTCATTAATTAATGCCTTTTTTCTTTTCACAGAATATTCTGTTACGAGTGGAAGGTGACGTGTATCATGCAGTGGTCTCGGACTTTGGTCTGGCAGCAAAAGTTCCAGATCCTTTGTGAGATATCTAAAATCTTATGAAAATCATTTCAAGCAAAGTTCATTAAACTTGTAATACATATTCCAAACATATGGCAAACATTAGATTCTTTTTCAATTTTTGGCCATTAAACAGCATTTAATCTAAATTCACAGAATACTATAAAAAAAATTCTTATGTGCAAGAAATATGTCCACAAGTTTCATGACTTTCTTTTATTAATAAACACTACTGCTGGTAAGCATTCCTTTTGTTGTTTATTTTTGGAGAGTGTGTGCCCAGTCATGAAAATTTAATTTAGCCATTTGATTTGAGTTCAAACTGAAAAATTACATAAAAAAGGTGCAAATAAAAGTTAGTTTACAGTATACAGTTTGGAATGATTAACAATTACACATACATTTATTTATCACAGTTATATTGTAAGATTTGTGGTTGACTTAGCAAGATCATTGCTTCCTCAAGGTGTCTGATGATCATTACATGTATATCAAGTGTATTTTTGCTTACCCCTTGTAAGTTGTTAGAGACCAGATAATTACATAGTAAAATGCCTATCTGTCTGTCTGTCAGTTATGTTAATAATTTTTCAAAACTCTGTATAAGTTTTTGTTTATTTCAATAAGAGTTCATACACAAGTAGACTATGCATGTACTTAGAAACATGATTTCTCTATATCAGTTTTTGATTTCAACAAACTTTGTTGCTATATTCATCGAAAACAAAAATATTTTCATCTTCAGGGATAAGAGCACAAAACTACCAATAGTGGGATCTCCATACTGGATGGCACCGGAAACCCTGAATGGTCTGTGGTATGGACCACAGGTATGAAACTTTATATCTTGTCTGAAGTTCTGAAAATCATGGGATATTTTTCATGTAGCATCAAGAAATTTTATGGCTTTCTTTGTCTTTCTTGGTTATAAATTTTGCTCTTTTCATATTTTCACCCAGTTTATTTCCTCAATATCGTACTTGATAAAAAAAAAATGCATGCACCTTTTTTTAAAGGACAAAATAAAAAAATTGTTAGCCTTTTTCGAACCCACAAATTTCTGTGTAGGTAGATAGGTTAATTATTTTTTTTATTGTACAGTGCATATATTAATTAATTATAGAAACTATATGAGTATGTCTGTTGTTTTCTATTTTAATTAAAATATTTTCTCTACTGCATGTTGCAAGTGATCTAAATCGTTTTAACTTTACAAAGTAAACAAAATGGGGAAAAAACTTTTCAAACAAGAATTAAATCTCAGCAATAAGGGTCTAGGTTGCACCTCTACCTCCTCCTTACTATATTTTTTGTGATATTGGAAGCTCTGACAAAGCTGATTTTCATTACATATATCTGAGGGAAAAAATAGGTGGGGCAAGGACTGTGCTTATATAAAAATAAAGACAGAATCAATTTATGTAGATGAACACTTATAGCTATCCCAGTGAAGAGAGATAACTGGGTTACAAAACCAAAACTTGTTTCCATTTTTCGGCAACGTAGAAATGCTAGCAGATCGAGTATGAATTTGATATACATAAGGAAAAGCATGATGTAACATTACTGCTGTGCCTAAACAATTAATTTATGTGTATTGTCTGCTGTCATTCAGTGAAATTATATGTAATTCATGAGCATGCCATTAACTGTTAGCAAAACCACCTGATTTCAAGTCAATGTTACCTTAATTTGATAATTATCAGTAATGGTATTTATGAATGCTTAATTTCTCTGTCTCCAATGATGTTATTTATGAAGACTTAATCAAATTATTGCCTTTTCAATTTATTATTTTACTGAAGGTTCCTTTGTTCTGGTTGGTAGTTATCCTGCATTTAGAGCTGTATCGTGCACAAGCAGTTTTTCACACCCCAGCTGTGTGGCCCGTGTAGCACAAAAACATCTCCAGATAAAACACATGTTCTCAATCATGCTAGAAATTAAGATGTGTTTTTGAAAACGAAATTTATATGTCATTGTTCTCATTAGATAGCCAATCAAGATTTAGTTAAAAAATTGCAGTTACTTTTCTTTGTATCTTTTGTGTTTTCTCTCAGTCAGGAAAGATTTTTTCCTGTTGTTAAGAAAATATATTCAATAGAAATCATCATGAGATTTTTAAGACCTTAAAATTTCTCACAAGAAATACAATTGTGAAATATGAAAGCCATAGCACCACCTGTTCAAAAGTTATAGCCAAGTGAAAGATTTTTAAAAGTAGGTCTAACTCCTAGGTCAAGGTCAAAGGGTCAAAGTTGTGGTTTCTAACAAAGAAAGGTCTTTTACTATACAGATGCTTACCACCAGAATATTTGTTAAGGCAAGTCCTTGCCTAACATTCTTTGAGATGACCATTACACCTTTGTTTTATGTGTATTTGAAGCACACCTGTCTCTTTTCAGGCTGATGTGTTTTCCTTTGGAATTATCGCCTGTGAGATAACTGCCAGAATAGATGCTGACCCTGACATTATGCCAAGGACACTGGTAAATATGATACTTTGTCACAAATTAATGCTGGCTTGCTCTTCTTCCTGTAAAGCAGGATTGTAACTTTTTGCGATAGAGGTGTCAAGAAAGACTGGAGATATTTCAGGTGATCATAGGCAAAACACTACCATTATAGGTCTTTGAATTTTGCTTTATATTACAAATTCTCTATGTATGATATTGAAATGTGTATACAATGTATATTTAGATTTAAGATAAATTAACAAATAAGTTAAACCTGCGAGAATGTTAGTTTATGCCTAGCAGAGGAAAAACACCAAGAGTATCCCAAAGGTCAAAGATCAAGGTCATATCGTTTTAGGGTTAAGTACACAAAATCAGTGTGCCCCAGTTGATAATATTTAAAATTGTTACTGAGAATTAATTGTTTACAAAATTGAAATTTAATTATTAATATTTAGTTAAGTATTATTGGTATAAATTAAATATTACAGAGATTTGGTGTTGACTACATAGCGTTCTGTGAGAAGGTGGAGTACTGTCCCTTGGACTTTCTAAGATTGGCATTCACTTGTTGTCAGGTAAGATCAAGATGTATACAAGTGAAGAAATCTCATCTGTAGAAGGGGGGGGTGTAAATTTAAATACTATGGGGAATGATAACTTATCAATTTATTAATGTTGAATATCATGTACTGTAATCACAACTTTTGTTTGTTTAGATTGAGCCAACAAAGAGGCCTACCTTTTCAGACATTGTAATGTCACTAGAAAAAATTCAGAAATTACTGGAGGAAGATCCAGAAGAAATGAAATCAAGGAAAAGAAAAGGTTTGTTTATCTAAAATCTAATAAATGGATCTACATATCCTATAGTCCAAGTTTATTAGGACTTTAATTCATTAGTATAATAATTATCGTTTCTGTGTTACAACAATATGCCTTTTTGTACTTGTGTGGAAATTTGAATGAAAAATGAATAAAGTACAGAGGCTATTTACCTTGGGTTAAAAAATTCTTTAAAATGTGAAGCATACATGCACCTTACCGTATATTTACCTTAAAAAATTATTTTTAGATTCTGGACGCCATGGTCACAAGAGGTCATTGTCAGCAGACAACATCTTGGCAGCTTCAACAGATGACATTACACCTATGACCCCACAAGTGATAGGTGAAGTAATGAGTAAGGATGACCCCTTCTATTCCCCAGTGGGAGCTAATCCATTCACAGCTTACGAGTCCTATGGGGGCAAGATTCTTGGATATTCCCGAAATGGAAAAGACTCTTATTACAGTTATGAACTTCCCTCCCCGTCTTTTCCCCATACCCCTCCTGGGACCCCTATCATGACCCCTGAGGGGACCCTCAGAAAAAAACACAGCAAAGTTCAGCAGACTCAGTCTCTTCCCTCCTCACCTGTTTTATTACGTAAGGCAGCAGAGCAGTTCCATCTGGAGTCTTTACATGGATCTAACTGTCGGCGGAATTCTGCTGTTAACAGTAAGAGATATTCCCTTCATTTTCCAAAATCCAAAAGTGCATCTGTGATGCCAGATATATTGGCAAGTAGATTAGAACGTGAATTTTACAATGAGGACTCAGTGAAATCTACAAACAGTGGACAGAGATCGAGGAGATATTTGCGACAACTGAGTGCGGACACGGCACTTAATAGATGCAATAGAGACAGCAACGGTGATTTAACAAACGGACTTGGGGACAGAGGAAGTGATAAATCTACTTATCAGAGTGACGTCAAGGGTTATCGGATGTCGAGAAGTTCTACGGATTCGTTCAACTCCATTGAAGAGCAGATAGTGGAGGTAGAAACTTCAAAAATGACGTTCATCTCAGAGACGATATCGGAGGATTCGAAAACGAGTATCGGTTCTGATGGTGCAATACTAGAAACGCATTTATAGTTTTATTGGGCTATTATTTTCTTTTCTTTCTGTTGACGAGTGCTGCTTAATTTATGTATTACAATCCATTTCATTTTGGTGCCATTTCAGATTGGCCATTCTGTTATCAGTATTTATTTTTGTTCTGTTCATAGCATTTGACATTTCTAATACTGTGTGTGTTATCACCTCCAATATCAGGTTTAAACTGTGATATGTAATGAATAATGACAATGGACTTGTATTCTATTATGTGCATAAATGAATTATGAAAATTATGGTTACGAGGGATTTTTTTTCTAAATATCTGAAACAGTACATGTTGTAACAAATGAAATTTATATGATGTAATTCCGTGAACTTTTTCATATGCTGGTTAAAAAATTGTTCAAAATGATTTAAAAATCATGTCAGGGACTGTTATAGATAGTTATTGCCTTGTTATTCGAATTATAGATTGCTTCTTGTTATTAGAAATATTTTTCTACAAATATCTGTCATTATAAACATCATTAAATCTGTAGTACATTGCAGTGACTATCATGTCTCATTGTTGAATTTAAAGTCTCTTGTTAAATATATAGTGTAAATGAAATAATAAGTAAAATTTTTAAAAAAAAATTAAAATGAAATTTGCATGTATGACATTTATATGTACCGATACTTAGTGCTATTTGATGCATGTATTATAAATTAGCCATTACCAGATGTTATACATCAATCCAGTTATGTGTGAATTTAATTTCTCTAGTCCTTATCATTAGATTACAATTCTGTATTGTTCTAAATACTTATATTTCTACAAAATTTTTATGCAGAGTTTCTGTAAATCATTAAATGAAATCCCTAGATCAGTGCATAATACAACTAAATTTTTTAGCTGTTAAGAACATAGTACAGAGTTTACGAGACACAGAATGTGATACCTGTTTATTATCTACCGGGTACTCAGTTCTTGGTAGTTGGTAGGATATTCAACCCTGACCTATACCCTTTAGCCCCTTGTTGACTGTGTGTGTGGTGGTCCTGTAACCCCCCCCCCTTTCTTCCCCTCCCTTATATTTTCGTCTACCTCTTCATGCAATATTTTTTTTCTATTAGGGAGGAAAATTAATGTCACCTCCCCAAAGGAATGTTAGTCACAAAATATAAATGATTTTATAGCAACTCTTAATGCACATATAACATTTAATAGCTTGGTGGCTTCCCATTTAAACATTGCATGCATTTCTCATGCCTATGTACTATTATTTTGGATTCATACTGAACTTATTTCAATGTTAGGATAATGTTTTTCCCTTTTTGAAATTTGTGGATTTGTTAAAGTTAATGGTAGATTGATGAAAACTACTTATTATTTTTTGATATGAACATACAAGGCATGGTTCTTTTATATATTATAAATATAATCTTTGTGATACAATATTAGTATAGTTAATATGATGTCAGACAGTTCATATATATCATATTGTCCATTATGAAATGAGCATTGAATTTTTTTTTTCAATAACTGACTGAGCTTTTTTCTAGATCAAAAATAAGGTTTATTAGTGCTGTTATGAAGGTCACTTCTGTGTTACAATGTTTGATTTTGTTTGAAACTATTTAGGGATTGTGTATAACTTTATCCACCTCAGATATTCATTTTGATTTGTCAAAGTAAAATGGTATTAGTTTATCAAATGATATGAATCATAGATTAGAGATTTTCATTGTTAAATAGGTAAAAGGTTAGACTTCATATATTTAACATTTTTTTAGATTAATTAAGTGGTGTCCTTTTTTGGTTCTTTCTTAGACAATCTACATGTATTATGATTTTTAATGAGTCCTCTTTTATGGGTTTTTTTCAGCTTTTAAATTTAAATTAAGGTACATTCAGCCAGTTCATAATGAAGAAATTTAGTCTTTTTTTATTTATTTAATTTTTTTTCTTTGAACATTTTGAAAATTCAGGGAAATTTACCTATTTTGTTAGGCCAGAAAAAGAAAGAGTAGGGCTTTTTTCAGGAACTGAAAAGTATTGTCATTACTTTGAGTCTGACTTTGTGTTTAATTCTACGTCTTTCATCCCATACATTCCTTTGAGAGTTTTTTTTTTTATCTTGCTCATAAAACATTTTTCTTAATGTGAACAAGTGCTATCTTTTGGTGGAAATAACATATTTGATTATTCCATTTTAAAATGAATATTTTAAAAATTGATTAATCTGCAGATGAAATCTATGGTGATTATAGTACACTGTATATGTATAAGACATTTTGTAATTATAGAAGAAATCTTTTGAAGTTAGATAGTTATGTAATAATATTGACAGTTATGACAGTTTGTTGAATATTATATTGACATAAAATTTGATATTATAGAGTGTGTGCTTTAGCTGCAGGTGTAATAGGTAATCTATTTACAATATATGTATACATTTTGTTTCGAATTATTGTCCCTTGTTTTTGTTCAACTGTTGTATGTGTTCATTGTTATGTTTTATAATTTCTCTCTATGTGTATCTTAAGATAAACTTGAATAATTGTAAACATGGAAATTTACATGTGGATGTGAATTAATCATGCAAAAGGAACTGTATGTAAATGTAGATATTTTCTCCTCCCTTGAATATAATATACATATCAGTCTTTAAAAAAAAATCCTCTACCCCACGACATGTCCATGCATTAGATCTTCTTTCAATGATTTGCATAATTTTAACACCACATGAAAATTTCTGTCTTTACAGAGTATAGATAGATATAGATAAATATATGTTCATTTTATATTATAATGATTGCTTAAAACTAGTGTTTGCTGACAAGGTTCACAAAAGTTTTATCATACGTGCTATATACTGTAAACCAACTTTTATTCGCGACTACTTTATTTCGCGATTTAACAGGGATAGACTAGTTCGCGACGATTTATTTTCGCGATCAAACCGTTTTGGGTCTGTTGTTAATAGACACATACACTTTAAGGACCGGTTCGCGGCGAGAAATATTCACGATGGCAAAGCTCTCGCGAACTTCGCGAAAATTTCTCGCACGCGAATAAAAGTTGGTTTACAGTATTATGTGCAACATTTTTTTATGGTGCCAATATTTGGACCACCTTTTCCCTACCCCCTCTATACTCCCAAAAATTACAGCTCTGCTTCTTTCTGAAAAAAAAATGATGTATTGGCATTCATAAAGAATTCCTGTACATTTTGTGTTTTGTGCTATAATTTCATATATTAACATTTGAGAATGGGCATTTTTAATTTTAATTTAATATTATAAACTTATGCTTATTTGATATACTTATTTCTTCCATTTCATGCACACTGCTCAATTTAACAGTGTTTAATATTATGCTGAGGTTTGCCTCAAGTTAAATTTTCTTTGGAAAAAAAAATAAGAAGATGCAAACCATTTGAATAAATCCATCCTTATGATTGCATTTAACCCCCCTCTCCCCTTAATAATGGTTTACAACTGAGGCCATAATTGTAACCAATGTTACTAAATTTATACAAAATTATTATCTTATAAAATTTAAAAATCAACAGCCTCAAAAGTATTTGTTTATGTAAAATTCTAGATCTGATGTGCATGTGCATATTGCATTAGTTAGGATACTTTTTACTGCAAAATTCATAGAAATTGCAATAAATTATGTTGTAACATACCTATATATAAATATATATATTATAATCATGTGTTCAATACACAATGCCAAATTGATTGTTAATTAATTTTGTATGAGACTAAACAAATATCATTCAATAATTGTTGTTTTTTGAAGAAAAAAAGTTTATTAAAGATATATAGAATTCTTTTGTTTTAACTTGTATACCTATCTATTTTGATTACTGGATTGATTTTTTTATTCCCTACAAAAGCTAGGGGAGATAACACTCATTTTTCTCTCACTCAGTTGTCTGTTCCTAGCAAAAATAACCTTGATCAATGAAAAATGAGATGAGCTAGTTGAAATTCAGGAAATTTCTTCCTGCCTTTAGCAAAAAAGATTGAATTCATGGTTTAAATTTGCAAATGGAAAAGTCAAAGTCAACCTTGACCTTATATGGCTTTCAGTAGAGGTCATCCAAAGGTTGGAGAAATTCCTGACCTCAAGTTTTCTTTTAAAGAGAATTAGCAATAGTCACATGAAACTATGTGTACAATATGTAAATTTATGACTTTTGACCCTTGGACTTTAAAATCAATAAAAGCGGGGGACATTGTGAGTTCTGATTGAAAAATTCTTTGTAAAAGTTAGCTTTAAAAAATACTGTATTTAAAAAATAATTATAAAATAAAACTAGATCTAAGGTACTGTGAGCAATGAGCTCACTCGATGATACGCCAGCCTCCCATATGAATATAATGGCAGCGTTCAATTGTTTTGCAATGGGGAACCCTAAATATGTGTTGGATTAAAAGTAAAATAGGAGGTGCACAATAGCAATATGTAAGGAAGATTCTTTGAAAGTCTCATCAAATTTCATTCATTGGTATGAGAGGAGTTGCAGATAAGGACCGACATCCCAATTACTATATACCCTACTGCTTTTCAAGCAGGGGTATAACTTAGGGGATTATATGGAAACAATACAATTCTCTGACTTCAGTGACAAACTATTTTTTGCAATTATGAATACATACACTTGTATTGATATCTGACCTTGACCATTTGGCCTCAACATTAATATGGATCTTCTTTAGGTCATTAGGCTTGTATTATGTAATTAAAAAAAATTATTTCAAAGCAAGAAAAACAGAATTTACTAATTTTTGCTCTAAACCATTAAACTGACCCTAGCTGCAGATCTGTAGCTCTCCGAAAAAAATATATTGATAGACCAGAGAGCTACAGTGCCACCCACTGAAAAAACTGTATATTTATTGCACACAAAAAAAGTGCGCTCGGTTCTTGATTAATTCTTCTAAATTCTTACCTCAATTGCAAAGAAGGAAAGATTTCAAAAAATTCCTTTATCTTCTATCAAGTACTCTCGTGGTTGACATCCGAACGAAGCATATTGGATCGAATATCTTTGAAACCAAAATGGCAGTATAAATAAGCGAAATGTTCGATGATTACAATATCAGGGTCAGGAGGACTATTAACAACAATTATGAGGAATGTTTGGTTGTGGAAACAGCGAAAGAATATGTTGGGAACACACGGTTAGTAATATTTTGAGATTACAGTTTTAAAAACATGGAGAAATAAATCGAGAACCGAGCGCACTTTTTCGTGCGCAATAAATATACAGTTTTTTCAATGGGTGGCAGTGTAGCTCTCCGGTCTATCAATATATTTTTTTCGGAGAGCTACAGATCTGCAGCTAAACTGACCCCAGAGACAATATAGTGGTACGTCCTTTTTAATTCACCTGAGCCAAAGGCTCAAGTGAGCTTTTCTGATCACATTTTGTCCGTAGTCCGTCTAGCTGTCAGTCTGTCCATCTGTAAACTTTTTATATTTTCAACTTCTTCTAAAGAACCACTGGGCCAATTTTAACCAAACTTGGTACAAAGCATTCTTGGGTGATGGGGAGTTTAAATTGATAAAATAAAGGACCAGGTCTCCTTCCAAGGGGAGATAATCAAGAAAAGACAAAAATAGGGTGGGGTCATTAAAAAATCTTCTCAGTAACCAGTGGGCAAGGAAAGCTGAAACGTATGTGAAAGCATCCTGAGGTAGTGTAGATTCTAAATTATTAAAATCATGACCCCTGGGGGTAGGACGGGGCCACAATAGGGAATCCAAGTTTTACATATAAATAAATAGGAAAAATTTTCTTCTCAAAAGTCAGTGGGACAGGATAGCTGAAACTTGACGTGGAAGCATCTTGGGGTAGTGTAGAATTTAAGTTGTTAAAATCATGACCCCCAGGGGAAGGGCAGGGCCACAATAGGGAATCCAAGTTTTACATTGAAATACATAGGAAAAATCATTAAAAATCATCTTCTCAAGAACAAGTGGGCAAGGATAGCTAAAACTTATGTGGAAGCATCCTGGGGTAGAGTAGATTCTAAATTGTGAATATCATGACCCCCAGGGGTAGGACGGGGCTACAATGGTGAATCCAAGTTTTACATAGAAATATATAAGAAAAATCTAAAAAAAAAAATCTCCTTCTCAAGAATGAGTGAACCAGGATTGCTGAAACTTATGTGGAAGCATCCTGGGGTAGTGTAGATTCTAAACTGTTTAAATCATAACCCCCAGGGGTAGGGCAGGGCCACAATAGGGAATCCAAGTTTTACATAGAAATATAAAGGAAAAATCTTTAAAAATTTTCTTCTGAAGAATCAGTGGGCCAGGATAGCTGAAGCTTATGTGGAAGCTCCTGGGGTAGAGTAGATTCTTAATTGTAAAATCATGACCCCAGGGGGTAGGGCAGGACCACAATGGGGAATCAAAGTATTACATAGTAATACATAGATTACAAAGTATTACATAATAATAATACAGGAAAAATCTTTGAAAATCTTCTTCTCAAGAATGAGTGGGCCAGGATAGCTGAAACTTATGTGGAAGCATCCTGAGGTAGTATAGATTCTAAATTGTTAAAATCATGACCCCCGGGGTAGGACGGGGCCACAATAGGGAATCCAAGTTTTACATAGAAATACATAGGAAAAATCTTCTCAAGACACAGTGGGCCAGGAAAGCTGAAACTTTGGTGGAAGCATCTTGGGGTAGTGTAGAACTAAATTATTCAAATCATGACCCCGTAGGGGGGGGGGGGATAGAGGGCCACAATAGATATCAAAGAAGAGGGTAAATCTGGTAAAGAACTGCTTCACCAAAGTTACTCAAGTGATGTGGCCCATGGGCCTCTTGTTTTTCTACTTATAAGCATCAACTCAAAATTGTTAATATTCATTTGAAGAGAGCAACAAAGTTGCATATGGAAATAATAATTTTGCACTCATTGCAGCAAAACACTGCAAGATGAATTGATATTTTACAATGATTTTTTAAAAAGTTTGATCAGCTGAGTCTATTGGCACTCCATACATCCAGTGATGTACATACAGTGAAACCTGTCTGACATTATCTGGGAGATCAATTTTGTGTCAGAATAGACAGGGTGTCAAATTACACAGAGTAAAAAAATGGAAAATAGTGAAATGGGAAAGAAGTTTAACTTCGGAATTCACAGGATTGCACATGTGTCAGTCGGATTAGACAACAAACACCAAAACTTCTCCTCTGCTTTTAAGGGCTTGGAACCTTCTGCTTGAAATAGCATGTAAATATGTTATTTCAAGCAGGCAGCATTAAAAGTTTTGTGCCATTTTTTTTCTTTGTAACTTTCTCTTTTTTTTTTCTTTTTTTTTTTCCTTTTTTTTTTTTTGGTTTTTTTTGGTTTTTTTTTTTTTGATTTTTTTTATTGTTTTTTTTTTTTTTTTTTTTTTTTTTTTGTTTTTTTTTTTTTTTTTTTTTTTTTTTTTTTTTTTTTTTTTTTTTTTTTTTTTTTTTTTTTTTTTTTTTTTTTTTTGTTGTTGTTTTTTTTTTGTTTGTTTTGTTTTTTTGGCACAAAACTTGCCAATGAGATTAAATAATTTAACATTTACAATTCACAATTTCACATTAACAATTCACAACTTGACATCAACATTTCACAACTGCATTAAAAAATCATGATATTTTAACATTTCAAATTATGAAATGAACATAAACAAAATCACAATTTAACATTGACCAATTACAATTAACATTTTTAGAGGCAAATCAATATCTTGCATTTTTCAAATGAAATTAATTTTACATCCATTTCTTTCACTGCATATTTAGTCACATCAGTATATAATGCATTCAATTCCACAATAAGCTTATAACCAAGAGGCAACTACACAAATTATTATTGCAACAATAGCTGGAAAAATTTACACATTCTAGGAATACTTATGTCATATTTAAAAATCATTATATCTGGAACATATTCAACTTCATCTAAACAATTACAATAATGAACTATCATCTCATTGGCATAATAACAAGGAAGGAGAAAAGCGGGGGTCAGTGTGGGAGGAAGACGGAGTACCCGTAGAGAACCCACGTGTCCGAATGGGCGACCCCATACCCTAACATAATTCGGACACCCTTTACAAAAATATTTTAAAAATAGTCTTTGAAAAAAAAACTGTTACTAGGATGCATAATTTCATCAGTGCTTTGAAGATTTGGATTGATCCTGCATTAATTAAGTCCTGCTTCTTCATCCACATATGTTACTTCTAAAATTTCTTTTATTTTCTGTAAAAAAAACAAGGCAAGACGAAAAATGCAAGTAAACAACGATCCGTAAGATAACATTCAATTCTATGAATATAGCCATGGTGTCATCCAATAACTTCTAACTATGTGATGTGAGGGAAGGACAGAAAGACAGATGACAGACATGACAAACACTATATGACCTGGCCATATTCATGGCGGGGCATAAAAAATACTAACACGAAATATCTTTGTTTGCTTGTCCGTTTCTTGTTTAAAGTCCCTATTGAAAATTTGTCACTCATATGACGCTCTAAAATACCACTGTGCCATGCTGGCAACAACACAAAATATAATAAGAATTTCACAACATAAATAAATTATATCATTCTGGGGGTTTGTATACCTCTTCCGGGGGTAAACAAGCAGTAGAAGGTCCAACGTATTAATTAATGTGCACAGATGAGGTCATGGTGGGGACTTTTGCAGCATTAGGTGTGCATCTGATTACATACTGCATCAGTTTTAGTATGATAACACAAACTGTGTTTATAGTTTAAAAAGGACCCAATGAATACAACATATTATAAAAAAAAATTAGTCAAAAATCAGAAGAAGATGGGAGAAAATACATATTTACCAATGTTTGTTTATAAAAATCTACACTTCAACTTCGTTTGAACAAGCGTTTGAGAAAAATGTATCTGCAGTGGTTTGGAGTATATATCACAGGTGGTGAAAAATCAAGTCTCAACCGGGACTCGAACCCAGGGCCTCTGGCGTACCGTGCCAGCGCTCTAACCACTGAGCTATTGAGACCCGATATATTGACTGACTTTCACGCACCTGTGAACCCGGTGACATATTCCCCCTCTTTGTAGAAATTCGTCCTCGAATTCTATATATGAGTTAAGGAAATGCGTGAAGAATATTCCAAGGGAACAGTGGGTTATTTTCGTTGGGCGCCAAATGTCACAGGTGGTGAAAAATCAAGTCTCAACCGGGACTCGAACCCAGGGCCTCTGGCGTACCGTGCCAGCGCTCTAACCACTGAGCTATTGAGACCCGATATATTGACTGACTTTCACACACCTGTGAACCCGGTGACATATACATTACACAACATATGAATTTCTAGGTAGAATTTTAATATTGGTGTGAATTAAGAGACAACATATTTGGTTGAATACCATTACAAAAGCCAGCTATATTGCTGATTACCAAAAAAATGTGCCCTGGACTAAATATTTGGTCTACTAGTTAACTAAAAATTTGACCTGTTTAATACATTGTATTTATACAATAAGATGATTTTAGAACATGATAATGGCATACCTGATCAGTATGAGCTCTCCACTGTGGTATGTCTTGGTGGATAAGTCAACCTCCATTAGCAAGTCTTGTCGGGTGCATCTGCTGTTTCCACATCTTGAAGACCATAGTGTCCATCAGGTTTGTCTGTTTTAGTTGTTTCCACTAATATCTTTTGGGTGCAGTTGGTGTTTTTGCATATTTGAAAAATCATTGTCCATAAAGTTTGCCTCAATATTCATTGGCCTTGCCTCCTCCAGATTTTTTCACCAAGTCCTTTTGGGTGCATTTTCTGTTTTCCCATCTTGGAAGATGTTCCACAAGCTTGTCTATTCTAACTGTTTCCACACGGTTCTGTTTGCTGCAGCTGCAGTAAGAGTCAAAAGAAGAACAAGTGAGAAAATATATCATTGATGTTTGTTTAGGAAATCCTGATTTAACTTTTTTAACGAGTGTTCATGTTGTTTCAACAGTGGTTTAACATATGCTAAATATATTATTAAGCAAAAATTCAATATTGGTGTAAAGAGTTGGTTCATCTGGTTTAACACCATAACAAAAGTCAGCTATTGCTGACTATAAGAAATAAGACCAGCTAAAATTTTACCCAGTAGTTAACTTGACTTTGTTAATAAAATGATCTTGGATTATGATAGTGTCACATACCTGATAAATGTCAGATCAGCATCCTTTGGCTATTCATCCTCCATTTGTTTCTGTCAGGTCCTTTTGGGTGCATCTACTGTTTTCACCATGTACTGTTGGGTGCATTTGCTGTTTCCACATCTTGGAAGATCATCATTTACTGGCTATGTATCATCCAGTTGTTTCTATCAGTGTCCAGTTGGGTGCATCTACTGTTACATGTCTTCAAGAGAACATCTGCTGTTTCCACATCTTGGAAGATTAGCATCCATTGGCCCTGCCTCCTCCAGCTGTTTCCACCATGCCATGTCCTTGTTTACTATCACAAGCTTTCTTATTGTCTCTGACCAGTATATCTAAAAATAAGGCAGGCTAAAAATAAAAAGTCAGTTAGCAATTTTGACATGGTTAATTAAATGATCTTTAATCATGATTTTCTCATATACATGTACCTGATCAGTGTCAATTATCTCCTTTGGTATGTCTTGTTTGGAAGGTCAACATCATCAGGCAAGTCTCCTCCAGTTGTATCTACCATGTCCTGTTAGGTGCATCTGCTGTTTCCTCCATGTCCTGTTGGGTCCATCTTCTGTATCCACCAAGTACAGTTGGGCGCATCTGCTGTTTCCTCCATGTCCAGTTGGGTGCATCTGCTCTTTCCATTATAAGTCAAGTGATTGCATCTGCTGTTTCCATCAAGTCTAGTGGAGTGCATCTGCTATTTCCATCAAGGCCAGTAGGGTGCATCTGTTAAAAATATCAACAGCTTTATTTCACTGCATGAATTTTACACTAAAATAACTCAGTCGCTTTCAACTAAGATTCCATTTCCTTAATTTCTAAGATTTCTAACTTTTATTCTGCATCTTAATTTTTGGATTTTAATTTGTTTAAAATGATCGCATAATAAAGGTGACAACTTAATAATAAGGTTTTATAGGATATTTCATTGGGAAAAAATAAAATGACCACCTAAGAAAGATCTCTGCTGTATAAAGTTGATTACTATAAAGTTTGGCTGTATGTTATTGATTTGAAATGCAACATCATAAATCTATAATCTAACAATTATACTTCATTTCAGTTTTCTCTATATTTTTCAATAATTATCAATTCAATATTTTCTATCATACCTTTTTGATGATGGTTTAGAATTTGGCTAATTCCTCTTCATCTTAAGTGAATTGTCCAACTATAAAATACTAACAAAATTTTAAAATAGAGCTGAAATAATAGATACAGTAAAACTCATTCAGTAAAAACACAAATATTGCGAATTCATATATAGTGAAGTTACCTTGAATCTCTAGCTATATAAATTTTATGAAATCATTACATGGATATAACAAATTATGGATATAGCGAAATAATAGGTCCCAGTGACTTCGTTATAACCGAGTTTTACTGTAATAAGGCCTTCATTAAGGTTCATTGATACTCTGATAAGAGAGATAACTCTACAGATAAGAAAGACATTTTGTCATGAAATTCAGTAATTTGTCATGCCAGAGTTTACAGATCTCTATCATAAGGACCATTTTATTGTTAACTCAAGCAAACCTAACCCATCGTTCAGAGGTTGATTTTTAGTTCTATTGCTAGTATATTTATAAATTATTTTTAATAATTCACCTAAAACATTTATACTTAGTTCCTTTAAACGGTATAAATTGATAAAAAATCTATCTCTAAACGTGTAAGTCTTTTAATTGTACAGAAATAACAGCCGCAGAATTGTTTATAAACATTTAATTAATATTTTATTTCATTAAAAAAGAATTTCAAGGGCGATAATGGAACGATAACTCTTGTTTATGGATGCATTTTATTTTACATGCACAGAAAACAATTTGATATTCTGATTTAAAAAGCATCGCTCCAGTATGTTTTCTAAAGGGAATTAGATAGGTATGAGAGTAAATATTATTTTTATATATACCTCATATTTCTAATTTAATTGTGAGATTAAAAATAATTGATCTTTCTAATGACCATATCAAATTTTCTTCAAATCATGATTTGACATATTCATTTCTGAAAAAGTAAGCAACGCCTCATACTCCAAACTATTTTTTATTTGAATTGAATGTTATAGTTGTTGCTGAAAATCAATGTTTGGAATTTTAAAAAAAAAGTTGTGAAATGTGGAGCAGAGGGATATTGTCCCTTAAGACAGGTGCTTTGGGTGAAACACACTGTTTCCTCCTTATCCAACATGTCTAATGTTGATGCTATTGCACTATGCAACACTAGACATATTCTTAGGAATAATAAATGCAATAACAAATAAAGCTCGTAACAATAATGTAATTAACAAAAACTTATAACTATAACAAATAACAAAAAATCTCAACTAAAGCAAATAACTAAAACTCATAACTATAACAAATAACTTCAAACTCATAACAACTAATTAAAACTCATAACAACTAACTTACACTCATAACAATAACGAATAATTAAAAATCACAACAAAGGCAAATATCTTAAGCTCCTAACAACTAAAACTCATAACAGCCACAGTAACAAATAACTGGAACTCATAACAATGTCAACTAATAAAAACATTAAAAACACAATGTAACAATTAACAAATAAAACATGAAAATAAATAACTTTTACAACCCTCATAAACAAATGACAATGATAACAACCTAATAAACAAATAAACAGTAATAAAAACCTTATGAACAAATACTAACAACAAATACTAACAAAGGAAAAAAAATAGAATACAAAAAGTAAGAAATAAATTAACAAAGAGACCTAACATCAAATTAAATACAAAAAAAAACCTCCATTCCAGCGTTGGTGGCATGCTGTTCCAATCCAAGATGCCCAGCCTCCTCTAAATCCTCCAACGATGAAGTCCCAGCTACCTCCGAGTCCACCGGATCCAACGATGAAGTGCCAGCAAAGAGAGAACAGAGAAGATTAGACAAAGAAAAAACAACAGAACAAAAAACAAGTTGAAAAAACTATTACCAGAAAATGTGCTGAAAGTGGAGGAGGGGAAGGAAATGTTAGTACTAATTAGTGAGAATGCAAAAATGATAATGAAACCAACTCACCTCCGCTTTTCCTTAAAGACTAAGATATACCTCAACTCCAGCATTGTTGGCATGCTGTTCCAATCCAAGATGCCCAGCCTCCTCTAAATCCTTCAACGATGAAGTCCCAGCTACCTCCGAGTCCACCGGATCCAACGATGAAGTGCCAGCAAAGAGAGAACAGAGAAGATTAGACAAAGAAAAAACAACAGAACAAAAAACAAATTGAAAAAACTATTACCAGAAAATGTGTTGAAAGTGGAGGAGGGGAAGGAAATGTTAGTACTAATTAGTGAGAGTGCAAAAATGATAATGAAACCAACTCACCTCTGCTTTTCCTTAAAGACTAAGATATACCTCAACTCCAGCGTTGTTGGCATGCTGTTCCAATCCGAGATGCCCAGCCTCCTCTAAATCCTCCAACGATGAAGTCCCAGCTACCTCCTAGTCCACCGTCTCCAACGATGAAGTGCCAGCAAAGAGAGAACAGAGAAGATTAGACAAAGAAAAAACAACAGAACAAAAAACAAATTGAAAAAACTATTACCAGAAAATGTTGAAAGTGGAGGAGGGGAAGGAAATGTTAGTACTAATTAGTGAGAGTGCAAAAATGATAATGAAATCAACTTACCTCTGCTTTTCCTTAAAGACTAAGATATACCTCAACTCCAGCGTTGTTGGCATGCTGTTCCAATCCAAGATGCCCAGCCTCCTCTAAATCCTCCAACGATGAAGTCCCAGCTACCTCCGAGTCCACCGGATCCAACGATGAAGTGCCAGCAAAGAGAGAACAGAGAAGATTAGACAAAGAAAAAACAACAGAACAAAAAACAAATTGAAAAAACTATTACCAGAAAATGTGTTGAAAGTGGAGGAGGGGAAGGAAATGTTAGTACTAATTAGTGAGAGTGCAAAAATGATAATGAAACCAACTCACCTCTGCTTTTCCTTAAAGACTAAGATATACCTCAACTCCAGCGTTGTTGGCATGCTGTTCCAATCCAAGATGCCCAGCCTCCTCTAAATCCTTCAACGATGAAGTCCCAGCTACCTCCGAGTCCACCGGATCCAACGATGAAGTGCCAGCAAAGAGAGAACAGAGAAGATTAGACAAAGAAAAAACAACAGAACAAAAAACAAATTGAAAAAACTATTACCAGAAAATGTGTTGAAAGTGGAGGAGGGGAAGGAAATGTTAGTACTAATTAGTGAGAGTGCAAAAACGATAATGAAACCAACTCACCTCTGCTTTTCCTTAAAGACTAAGATATACCTCAACTCCAGCGTTGTTGGCATGCTGTTCCAATCCAAGATGCCCAGCCTCCTCTAAATCCTTCAATGATGAAGTCCCAGCTACCTCCGAGTCCACCGGATCCAACGATGAAGTGCCAGCAAAGAGAGAACAGAGAAGATTAGACAAAGAAAAAACAACAGAACAAAAAACAAATTGAAAAAACTATTACCAGAAAATGTGTTGAAAGTGGAGGAGGGGAAGGAAATGTTAGTACTAATTAGTGAGAGTGCAAAAATGATAATGAAATCAACTCACCTCTGCTTTTCCTTAAAGACTAAGATATACCTCAACTCCAGCGTTGTTGGCATGCTGTTCCAATCCAAGATGCCCAGCCTCCTCTAAATCCTCCAACGATGAAGTCCCAGCTACCTCCGAGTCCACCGGATCCAACGATGAAGTGCCAGCAAAGAGAGAACAGAGAAGATTAGACAAAGAAAAAACAACAGAAAAAAAAACAAATTGAAAAAACTATTACCAGAAAATGTGTTGAAAGTGGAGGAGGGGAAGGAAATGTTAGTACTAATTAGTGAGAGTGCAAAAATGATAATGAAACCAACTCACCTCTGCTTTTCCTTAAAGACTAAGATATACCTTAACTCCAGCGTTGTTGGCATGCTGTTCCAATCCGAGATGCCCAGCCTCCTCTAAATCCTCCAACGATGAAGTCCCAGCTACCTCCGAGTCCACCGGATCCAACGATGAAGTGCCAGCAAAGAGAGAACAGAGAAGATTAGACAAAGAAAAAACAACAGACCAAAAAACAAATTGAAAAAACTATTACCAGAAAATGTGTTGAAAGTGGAGGAGGGGAAGGAAATGTTAGTACTAATTAGTGAGAGTGCAAAAATGATAATGAAACCAACTCACCTCTGCTTTTCCTTAAAGACTAAGATATACCTCAACTCCAGCGTTGTTGGCATGCTGTTCCAATCCGAGATGCCCAGCCTCCTCTAAATCCTCCAACGATGAAGTCCCAGCTACCTCCTAGTCCACCGGATCCAACGATGAAGTGCCAGCAAAGAGAGAACAGAGAAGATTAGACAAAGAAAAAACAACAGAACAAAAAACAAATTGAAAAAACTATTACCAGAAAATGTGTTGAAAGTGGAGGAGGGGAAGGAAATGTTAGTACTAATTAGTGAGAGTGCAAAAATGATAATGAAATCAACTCACCTCTGCTTTTCCTCAAAGACTTAGAAATACCTCAATTCCAGCATTGTTGACATGCTGTTCCAATTAAATTTCCCCAGCCTACTCAAACTCCTTATTACTCCAACAGTGAAGTTTCTGCAAAGAGAGAACAAAGAAATCCATTCCAGCGTTGTTTGCATGCTGTTCCAATCCAATATGCCATTTCTTCTCCAAGTCCTTATTACTCCAACTTCATAATGAAGTCAGTGGGAAATTGCAAAGAGGGAATAAGGTGAAAAAAAGGGCAAAAAAACAAATGAACAAAGAAAACACTTTGTTAGAGAATTGGGAAGGAGATGAAAACATAGGTAATCAGAGATCACAGAGTTTACCTCAACGAAAGTTGTCTTTAAGTAAGGCAAAGTCCCACAATTAAGGAGGCTGGGGGGTCAACAAATTAACCATAAATTAACCACTAGATTTAACCAATTTTTTTTAGATACAGTATCTTAAGCTGTCAACTATCATTTGGCAAAGAAAAAAATCATACATTTTAGTTTTAAAATTTGATCATTTATGTATATCTATATATGGAGCTCTTCTTTTAAAGGCGATCAAAATAGTCTGAAAATGGCTGCCACACCCCAGCCTTGTTAACTAACATTCTAAAAGTATACCGTTATTCTTGAAATTTTTGCTGTAGATAAACTTTTAGCAAATTTGCGAGTTCATTGCATTCGCAAAAAAAATTTTCTTAA